TTTGGCGTCATTTACACAGTTACAATGCTTAATCATACCATTAGTCGTGCTGCAGACGCCATCGAAGCTCCGCTTAGTTAAGGTAGAAGGTTCGGAAGATTGGCGATCATAAGGCTGCCTGTCAAGCCAAAAAGAGGTGCATCCCACTTCATTACATGAGCAATAGATTGCCCCGGAATATGTCTCCCGGCACTTTAATCTTTGGCCCCCAACTTACAGAGCTTTTCTTTCTGATTCTGACCGCCACAGATGGCTGTGCTGTCTGTGCTCTGTTGTGGCTTTCAGTTGGATGGGATGGGATGGGATAATTGGAGGTGGGATACTCCGTGGACAGATTTGAGTGGGATGAGATGAACCGAGTGGGATAATGGATCTATCCGCGGGTTCCATTAAAACCTTAATTGTGCATATGAGGTTCTGACTGGTCGAATCTTATCGGTTTACCCCAATTTTCTGTCCCATCCGCGGATGCCGAGCTGAGATATCCCACTTCAACATCGGCAATCCCACTCACGATTACCAAGTCGACCTTCAAGGGATGGCCCCCAATGCAAGGCATACGTAACAGCGCATCGGCTTCGGTTTTTTCCCAGCCAAACTATTCGATAAATAATACACCGAGTTTTTGGCTCGCAATCCAATCCCACTCGGTTCGATACCCTCATATCAAATCAAAGGCAGTCATAATCCACCACCATGGAGATATCCCACAGTGATCGTGATAGAAGGTATGTAACGGCCAGCCACAGGTGGGATCACCGAGTGGATTGTATGTATCATGACTAACACTGGTGAAATGATGTATCAGATCCTCCGCTGACAGTGCTGAACCAACGCCCAGTCGACATACATGCCACTGTGGGAAGAGCTTTATCAGAAAGGAACATCTGAGGCGCCATCAAGCGACCCATGGAGAGCGCAATTTCGTTTGCCCGATTTGTCAACGATCCTTCACACGCAAGTTAGTACATGTCTCGTATTCTTTCCCAGTTAGAGTGTTGATTTCTTTTCATAGTGACTTGTTGCGGCGCCACCTGACACGGCATGATATGCCTACAGCTCCAGATCCAAGAAGAGGAAGAGCTTGCGATGCGTGCCATGCGAACAAGACAAAGTGTGACGGTGGTACAAAGTGCACTCTCTGCGTCAAGAGGGGAATTAACTGCACTTATAAACATGCGTCCAAGAGTAGCAGCGGGAGTAAGAGTCCAAGCGAGGACACTGCAGATCCTAGAGCGGTGGCCAATGGTTTTACTTCGCCGTCCCTGATACAGAATCTCACACCAGGAACACCGCAAATCTCACCAAATGACGAAATCAAAGCGGGCTTCAAGCGAATCGCTAATCATGTTCGATCTGGAGAGATTCCGATTGGTGAGGATACTCCGGTACCTGCACTTGACAAAAATTGGATCGAGGGAAATTCAAAAGAATACTTTGGGAGGTTTCATGATACATGGCCTATTCTCCATGGACCTTCTTATGTCACTATGGATACATCACTGCTAGTATCTGTATCAATAGCCATGATCAGCTGCTGGCTGAGAAGTCCGGATGAGTTTGAGGATGTAGTTCTACAACTGCACGACTCGTTGATGGGCGCGTTCTCTGATTGGATCGTAAGTCATTTAGCCTGACAGATGTTCCTAGATTAACAAGGGCTTTAGGCGAACCCCAGATTTCGACATGAATATGATGAACCATGGCCTTTTGAAACATATCAAGCCATCCTCATGAACATTATCTTTGCTTTTTATCACGGTGTAAGTGACCTTCGTACTAATACAGTGTACCCGCTGACCTCAATTCTAGAATGAGAAATTAGTCTCGAAAGCATCATTATTACGAGGCACATTCGTTGTAGCTCTTCGAGAAGCAGAGTTCTTCAACAGCGACAACGCAGCTGAGCAGCAACGCGTTCACTACCCCGGGACATTTGTCCCATGGCTCATGACTATTCGAGATCGTTGGAAGCGGTAAGTTCATTGTCCCCGCTCCATTGATACAATACTGACATATTTAGACTCATCGTTTCTCTCTTCAAAATCGACACATACCTCTCAATAGCCCGCTTTCAAGCCCCAACCCTCTTCCGAGAAGAAATCGATCTCACAATGCCAGCAACCTACTCTCTCTGGAACGCCTATGGCCTCAACATCTTTTTCAAACGCATCACCCTCGAACCAACAGACCGCTCAAATTTCAAACTCTCAGAGGTCATCGCCAATCCCAACACCCCAGCAAAACCTCTTCTCCTCTTTGAAGATATCCACCTCGCTCTGTGTGGCTTATTACCTGCAATTTGGAATCAGACTCAAATTGTACGTCGGAGCACAGAAGCTGGCCGATCAACGCAGAATTCCACTTCGTCTCTGGCATGGCAGCTTGAGGCGTGGAAAGCTGACATTGAGAGATTGAAGCATCAATGTTTTCATGCTGTTGAGGTTGGAGAGTTTCCTTTTACTGCTTACATCGGTGATTATGATGAAGATCCGGTGAGAGCTAAAGCCTTGGCGATGTCGAATATCAAATGCCTGATCTCGGAATGCTTGATGACGTATCATCTTCAAGGACTTCAGCTCTATGCTGATCCTAGGATGATCAACTCAGTGGCCATGGCCTCAATTGTATCTCCGGACCATGAAGCTGGAGTTCGTCCAAGACTACAAAAGCTTCATACCCAGCTAAACATGTGGGCTAAAACTCCTGAGAGTCGAAGAGCCTTACTGCACGCCCTCGCAGTTCTTCGTCAATGCGAATCTGATCTCCAAGCAAACGAGCCCCAAACCCAGTCCATCGACCCAACATCCTATCTCACCATTTCAATGAGTGCGTTGGTAGTATGGGCGTGGCTAGTATTCTCCGAAGCAGCATGTTCTTGCGTTCCGACAATAAACCACATAAACATCGGTGATGATCCACTGGATTTACAGAATACAGCGAGGCTGGAGACGTGGATTCAGGCAGAGGGTACTGCGGGTATGAATAACATTCCGCTGTGCAGATGTGTTTCGGAGGGATGGATGGCGAGGTTTAACGCGCTTTTGCCGTTGGGGAAACGGAGATGGGAGATGAGTGATGAAGTTGCGCCGATTTTGAATTCTCTAAGCGCTGGACGCTAGAGATTATTGATACCCTTGTATTTCGGCAGTGAACTTAATGGATTCATCTTGATTTGGAACTCACTTTGCTTTTTGCTGCTGGCCAAAAGTGAGCTTGTGTATGGCTGTGATTAACATGCCGATGTGAGATATGCAATGCACCAGATTTCGAAATGGGCAAAAGAAAGAAAAGAAGTCAGTAGAGAAGGGACATTGATGTACATGGGAAATGATCCTACAGACACTGGCATTTGTCAGCTCGTCCTGGTATTGACCCGAAGGGCGTTGCTATGACGTTGAAAGGACAGATTGCCAAGTAGCGCAACGTCAGCCGCCATGATATATAAGACTCTGCAATACGACAATACACGCAACACAATTGAAGCATGCTCTGGCCCGTGTGATCAAGAAGGAAATATGGGGTCTACCACCGAATCTATCAATATGCCCAAGTTGACACTCTATCGAGCCAATGGATCCTGCTCTCTCATTCCTCACGCAATTCTTCGTCACTACAAGATCCCCTTTACTGCAGTTCGACTCAAGTTCGGACCCAATGGAGTTGAGGCAGTTGACGGAAGCTTCAGTAACGCTCAATATCGATCTGTTCATCCGAGAGGATATGTACCGGCCTTGGCTGTTGACAACGAAGTCATCACCGAGATGCCGGCCATTCTGAGCTATATGTCCTCACTTGTCCCTGAGGAGAACTTGTTTGGCGTTGGTACTATTCAACAAGCCAAGGTTTTGGAGTGGCTTGTCTTTCTATCGGGCACACTGCACGGCCTTGGATATGGAGCTTGGCTGCGTCCTGGGAGATTCAGTGACGATGTTGCAGACCACAAGAGGATTCGTGCCAAGGGAAGGGAGGTTATCCATGAATCTTTTAAGAGGATAGATGATGCGCTGAAGAATCGGGAGTATATCGTCGGAAATGCTTTAACCTTCGTGGACTTCAACGTCTACATCTTTGCTCGTTGGGCGCAGGAGGTGGAGATTGATCTGGAGAAAGAGTACAGTCATTATTATGAACATGTTAGAAAGGTTGAGAGGATGGAAGGTGTTAGGGAAGCTGTTGAAAATGAGGGACTCAAGTTTGCATTTCCTTAGACTTCACTCGTCAATGCTGGGGTATAGCGAGCCTTTAATGGAACACATATCGCATTTCAAAAGGAAGAAACTTCATAAAGAATGTAAACATGCAGGTATTTGTCTATATGGACCGAACTCCAACTCCAAAAACTTACTGCCTACCCACCTCAGAATCCCTTCGCATGCCGTCTCTTATGCTTCTTCAAAAACGCCAAAGCCGAAGACTTGTTAATATACAGATTCATCCTAGCCAACCCACCGCAATATGCGAGATTATTCCCAGGACAGCCGATGTTGCAATCCGTCATGGAAACATTCTTGCCTTGACCAAAAGTTGGTAGAAGACCTTGCCAATTGATGGTGTTGCCGCACCAACATTCGCGACCGTTCTCGACACCTGCGTATTTGTACATCCAGCATTTTTCAAGACACGTATCAATCGTCATGGAGTTACCATCGTTCATGACAAGTTGAGGCAGTAAACGGCCGAGGAAAGGCTCCGAAACGCACGAGTAGCTTGTGAAGTTCTTGTTACCCTGGTCCACAGATGGTGTAGTTGTAGTCTTAGCACCAGCCTTGTAAAGCTGTAAGCGAAGAGTTCCACCACAGTAGTCTGTCTTGTCACCTGCGCAGGTAGCAGAGCAGTCCTTTTGGTTGAGGGCTTGATAACTTCCGAAATTGAGCTGATTACCACAGTAACACTCTCGACTGTTCTCGGTACCGAAGTAGGTGAAGCCACTACAGAAACTAGCGCAGCTTTCGAGGGTCATGTCATCACTGGCGGTGGCCTTGGAGTTGAGGGCGCGGATGAGGAAGCCTTCTGTCCAGCAGCCTTGGAAAGCCCACGTTCCGACCGTGTCGGAGATTGAAGGGCCTGTTGCTGTTGGCTTGATTGATGTTGAGGTGGTACTGGTAGTACTAGTAGTAGTTGAGGAAGCCCTCGAGGTTGTGGAGCTGCTGGTGGTTGAAGTACTGGAGCTAGTTGTGGTCGTAGAACTGGCTCGTAATGTCGTGCTAGAGGTGGCCGATGTCGATGACGTGGACGAGCTTGTAGTCGAAGACGTCGTTGAGGAAGGTACACCGGAAGTCGAACGAGATGTAGCGGTTGCAGAATTGACGCTAGATATGCTAGAAACACCAGCTGGACCTCCCACAACCAAGGAGCTCAACGAAGAGACAGCCGAGGCACCCGATGATATGGTAAGAGATGAGGAGCGGCTAACGATGGAAGACGTCGTCACTGAGGATAGCGCACTGAAGGAGGCGCTTAAAACACTCGAAGGCAACGTGTTTGACGATACCACGCTCGAGAGTACCGAACTCGAGATTGACGAAGTCGTGCTGGCGGTCGTAGTAGTGGAGACACGCGAGCTTGTTGAAGAGAGTGTGGCGAAGGTCGTCCATGTTGTTGAAGAAGTACTTGAGCTTACACTAGAAGTTGTCGTCGACGAAGTAGAGGCTGTAGACCTAGAAGAAGAACTGGTGCTACTGCTGCTGGCAGTCGAAGAAGCACTCGTTGCTGCGCCGCTCGTGGAAGAGCTGAAAACCGAGCTGCTCGAGCCTCCAGAGACCGAGAGACTCGTTGCAATACTTGTTGAGCCTGAGCTCCCATAAGAGGATGTCGCTACAAAGCTGGAGGCGGAAGAGGATGCGCTGTTAAGGCCACCGGCGAAATTGCCAAACACGCTCAGAGAAGTGCTGAAAGAGCTCGTGGAGCTTGTGGATATACTGCTAGAGACAGGAACTGAGATCGAGCTGCTGACTGAGCCTGTGCTAGTCGAAGCGCCGTTCGAGGTTGAGCTGGACACCCTACTAGAAGACGAGCTTCCACTTGTTGAGGTCAAGGAAGATGGGAGAGAGGCGCTTGAGGAGCTAGACGTAGCTCCAATGCTGGTCGATGCAACTGAACCAGAGCTCGACACAGAGAGAGCAGCACTTGAAGAGGTAGCGATCGAGGAGCCCACGCTACTAGCTGATGAAAAAGCTCCCATTGATGTGGGCAATGAACTACTGTAGACGGCATTGAGTTCATAGACGTTCAGATGGCTAGGGCCACCACAGTATTCGCTCGAGTTACCTAGTCATGTCAGTATGTCCCTGAACAAACCCAAGTATGAGTACCCACCATTGCAAAGCATACCGCAATCAGTGATCGGAGCAGGTACCGATCCATCGCTGAAGCTATTACCGCAATAACACTAATCTTGTTAGCACATCTCTGGAGACCAGTGCCGGAAGCTGGGCAACTCACCTCTCCACCATATTCCACACCAGCATAAATGAAGTTCTCATTACTACAAGCCTGCACACAGTTCGCAACCGTAGGCGGATTATTCCCCCTCCCATTAGGAAGTGCTCGAGCATTAGTAGCCTCAGTATAGCACCCAATGCTCGTATACCCACCAACACCAGGGTTTACAGACGGTCCTTGAGGCGTCGCAGCGCTGGCACTACTACCCGTAGTAATGCTTGCATACGACCCATCCCACTGAAGTGTATCAGCGAAGAGACTGATATAAGCTCCACTGCCGTCAATGCCATTTCCGCCGCAAATCTGGTTCAGACTACCCGCACAGTCGAAGTTACAGTTTGCATCGTCGACCTTTTGCGTGGGGATTTTGTTGCCTGCCCAGCATTCACTTCGATATTGCGTTCCGCAGAATGTGAGACCTTCTGAACCACAGGCATTGATGCACATCTCATTGGTGTTGGAGCTATTAGCATAAAGCTGGTTGGAGAGCTGGCGGCCGGGATTGTTCTCCTTGAAGCAGCCGACGTATTGATACCGTCCTTGTCCATTGGGGAGAAGGGGAGCAGCTTGTTCAGAGACAGCATTGCAGAAGAATTGCACTGCACGCTTTTCGAAAGACCATGTTGGATCGTTGGTGTTGATAGTCCACTGGGCGGTACCGTTGTATGATGGGAGGTTCCATTGGCTTTTGGGGACGGTGCATGTCAACGTTGCTGTCTGGCTTTGACCTGGAGCGATGAGTGTTCCTTCGGCGAGATCGATTTGGTTGGCGGATTTGATGATTCCTGGAACACCGAAGGGTGGTTTGGAGACTGTGAGACCGAGCTTGACACCACCGGGAGCAGCAGTGTTTGAGACGCGGAATTTGAGAGAACGAGATGTGTTTTCTGTGACGTTTCCGAAGGTAAAGGGATTGTTGGCATCGTACTTGACCCAGCCGCTTCCATCTGGTGTTTGGAACTCGAGAAGAGCGGTTGGAGGATCGCCAGCGGCAGCAGACAAAGACACAGTAGCATTGCCTCCGTTGGTGACAAACTTGACCCAAGCTGTGTAGTTGCCCGTAACGGAAGTATCTGGCTTGACAGAGATGGCAGTGTCGTTTCCTCCGGGGACTGTGCTTGGGATGCCAGTCAGTGTGAACTTACCGACGGTGAGACTACCAGTGCCAGACCAGGTGGTGAATGGACCGGATGACGAGGTATTGGAGTACAAAACTGAAGAGATCTGCAGATCACTCGATCCATCGTTGCCGATAAGAACGCTCTGGGCTTCAGCTTGTGTACCGGTGACGAGACCAGTGAACACCACAGCTTTGGGACTGACATCCAGCAGAGCATTTGAACTCTTGCCAACGCCCGTAAGCCTGACCTTGACAGACTTGCTGTACGATGCGTCCGAAACGCCCCAGGTCTGAATATTGATGGTAGTGCCCAATCTTCCAACACTCTTGGGCGTGAACTGTGCCGCGAATTGGAACGTATCCCCCGCAGACATCGACAATGGCAGACTCGGTGTCTGACTGATGTTATAATTCGTACCATCTGCAAGCGCAACACCTGTAACGCTGAGATCAAAGCCCGCCGTACAATTAACAAGCTGCACTCCGCTTCCCTGAAAGTCCACGGTCCCAAAGTCAATTGAACTCGTGCAGTTGAGTGGAAACTTATTCGTCGACCCAAGACCATAAAAGTATCCCACCGTCGTGCCGATATACGCCATACCATCACCAAACACAGGCCTGCTGAACTTGGTAATGCCCACAATGGTGAAGTTTCGAATGACGTTGAGGTAACCATTCTGAGGAACGGCGTCGTAGATCTTGAAGTTTGTGTTTTGGACGTCGGATACCCAGAGGAGACCTGTGCCTTCTTGGTTGTTGAGGGATGTTGTTGTGCCGTGGCTTACGCCGAGGATGTAGGCGTTGTTGGTGGGTGAGTCGGCGACTTTGGTGAAGTAGGGTGTGTTGTTGAGACAGGAGAATTTGAAGACGTGCGTTGGGTATTGGATCACTAGAATTGTTAGTAAGAGGAGTAGAGGGAGGTTTGAGTGGGCGTACCGTTGATGTAGATGTAACCTCCCTCAAGAGGATAAACACCAGCGCCCGCATACACAGAATTCTCATTCTGAAATGTTTGGATGACTCTATCCTTGGAGTTGGGACCATTGCGATAACCGCCAAGATCATCCAGATTAAGCCAATACGTCTTTCCAGACTTGCCCGTAACAATACCCATTCTCTTAATATCACCACACGAGAATTGACTCGGCAGAATCTCAAGCGGACTCGTTCCCAGATCCTTATCCGCACCATCAAGCTCCTGCTTCTCAAAGGGCATGAAGAAATCCACAATTGAGAGCGTACCATCACTGTTGATGGACATGTGAACAGCCGCTTGCTCCATCGCAGTCGGGGGCGTGAAGCCATTGACGGGAATGGTGGATAACTGAGAAGCGTAGCCGTTTCCAGTAGCGAAGAACATTGATCCTGCGTCGTCAGAGGCAAGACCGCCGCCAGATTGCCAGATTCCTGCGCCGGAAATGTTACTGCTTACGCCGAGACCTTCGGAAGCCCAGTGCTCGACGATTTGGCCGGTGGTCTTGTCCCAGCCCATGATCCAGCCTGTGAAGTTGTACTGCACACAATGTGATGCGAAGCCGGCGTAGACGTATTGTCCTGTGTGGAGTAATCCGGGTCGTTGGTGGTGGATGCCGCCCGTGAACATCCTCTCCGGATTATTTCTTGCAATTGTACCCTCAAGATCGACGGGGAAGTTCTGTCGCTCCGAAAGATCATTTACATTGATAGCGTGTATCTTATACCTTCCAGCCGGTCTGCCCTGGGGAACCTGACCCGCATTCTGATTAACATAAGTCTTTGATGTGATATACCACGTATCGGTATCAGGATCAATAACACCAGTTGCTGTGACACCAACAGTAGGGTTAACATCAACACAACCGTCCAAATCAGCAGTAAGGAACGGAATGCCGATGTTGCGCGATGCAAGAATAACACCAGTCTTTGCATCGAGTTTATAAATATTATTCTGAGTCGTCGCGAGATAAACATATTGTGCCGTCCCGCCTGAAGGAGTGTAGACGAGAGGTTGCGAGAAGATCTGTTCAGCGGCGCCGACGTATTTTCCAGGGAGGGCTGTTTTGAAGACGATGTCGAACTGAGGACTTCCTACGATTGCGGGATCCATGTTATGGTTACTTAGAAGTCAGTTAGTGTGAGTAAGGGCAAGGGAACTGGGGTTTGTACGTTTGGTAGCCTGTTCGGGAGTTGTCGCCTCCCCAGGTGATGGTATCTGTCGATGCGAGACCGCATGTTAGGCCAACCAGGGCCGATAGAATGAGTGTGAGTAGCAGCTTCATGTTGAAAGGAGTGGTGAAGCGCAAAGAATGAGTGAATGAATGAATGACGATGTCAAAAACGTTCCCCTAGGGACGCTGCGTGATGGCAAGGCCCGTTCTATATACCCTCTCCCCCACCAACACTCGCTCAAGGCCATCCCGAAGTCCAGATCGCCATCAAACTTCAATTCAACAGTCTTGGCTCGTCCACTCCGGGCTTTCGGATCACTTCACGGTTTGAACATGCCGATGCGCCGTTAACCTTTCGGCAGACCGTCCAGACAGAAGATGGGACGTCGCGCCACGAGTCGAATACATTCCAGGCATGATGCAAACTCTTAGAATTGATGGTCTGTGGATTCAAGGTGTCGTGCTAGGGTGAAGCCACAGGGGAACGAGGCTGTTGGTGATGCCATTTCTGGTGTCTCTAGACTATTTGCGGTGGTGGTTGTGGCGACAATGGCTTTGTTCCTGATCGCCGTGTGGGGAATGGTGCCTTTCCAGATCCGATTGTGTCGGACCCTGCATCGACCTGCAAGAAGTGTCGAGATTTGATTTGTCTGGAATGTTGCAGGTTTTAGTGTTTTGCCAAAACATTAGCGGTTTCGTGCCTTGCATTTATGAGCTTCGTACCTGGCATTGCCTTCACTGCAATTATAACACTCTCAGGGGGCCCGTTAGTGACTACCAATCACACAAAATGTGCCGATTTGCAGGCAGTTACTGGCCTACTATAAGAGTTGTCATGGATGCCGGTATGAATAGCTCGACAGTTATTTTTTACCAAACGGAGAGATGTGCTCATTTCTAACTATCGCTTTTTGGTTTTTTATTTATTGTCTTCGTTTTTATTAAAAGTATCGATTCGCTGAAAATCCATTGGGATCAGGGCAAGCTGTATTACAGCGCCTCCCATTGCGAAGATAATAACTAGAGCGGCTTTTAACACCACTTTAGAAATGCAACTCATTATTATTAAGAGTATAACTTCGCAGCGCAGACTCGTAAAAGAGTCCGAACAGACGAGTTTCACTGGCGTGCTAATTCTTGAATAAGTCATTTTAACAATCATAGATACCGTAAAGTGACAATGGCCTCGCGGGTGGGGGTGGGGGGGAACACGGCCCTTGATGGGTTTGTCTTACACCAAAATTCGCTAGCGATCCACCGATTTGGGGTCTGTGTTTCGTTTCCCCCCTAGAATCACCCCCTTGAAGTCAGAATTTCGCAGTGCATGGCGGTGCCCTTCACTGCATTTTTAGTCAAGCCTGACCTGGCTGTCTTAGCGAACAAACAGCGTCGCTCTCGATCTTGCATGGAGATTGGGAGGGAACATTTTCACTGTATTTTTAACCCATCCTAAAGTCTTCCTCTCCTGATCAGTTAAGATGAGTGAGCATTTAGTTGAGAGCCATGGAAGGCTTCGACATCGCCCAGTCGACCCTAAGTCCCTATAGCCCTGGCTGCCAAAATCACAAATATGAACGATTCACTGTGTTTGCTAACTTGTCGCGAGGTCATATAATAGGCAGTAGCTGTGATAATTTTGACTGGTTCCCCTTTGCCTGCTCTGTCTCTACCCATAGTGAGTGATGTTTATCGGGACAATTTATCGGGTTTCATCAAGAGAGGTACTTCATATCCAGCTACTGATCCAGGTCTCAGGTAACTTATAGTAGCAAGGTAGAGTCTAAGAGAGTTATTCCTGGATCTGTGTAAAGCGGGCAAACTTCTTTGTATGTCTATTGAAAGCTGGGCTTTTATTGGGTAATATTCTCAGACTCATTTCCGTCAAATTGTGTTCTTTTCAGTTACCTGCCTACTTTTATCCTTTCTACTAAAAATGAAGTAGCTGGCAGATAAACAATTCATCAGGCCATGGTTGGTCAAGGGGCCGTGCCAATAGAACACGAGACTGGATATGGTGGTACCCCTACGGAGTAGATCGGTGGATTTTGGTGCAAGCCAGAGGTCAGCTAGTGGCCCGCCAGCCAGTCTCACGTCACAAACGGGCTCTTGGGGCTCCAACTTCACTGCAATTTTAGCCCATCTCATGGATGTATTCCACGCGAAGTAGGTACAAAGGCTATGTCACCCAAGCATCACCAATGTGACAATCTTTATCTTCGCCAACGCATGGCCTGAGATGGGTTGTTGGCATCACCTTCACATCAAATTCACTCTACATAGGGACTATACACACTTCCATGGCTAAACCCCAAATGTTAGTATGATGAGATCCCAGAGCACTTGTCCTTGGATATTCACCACATAGCCAGGTAACACTCGCATCTCCTTCAACTAGGATCATCCTTGCAGAGCCTTTTCACTGCATTTTTAACTCATCTGGACACGCCACGCCCCACTAGTTTTTCAAGCTCCATCCTTAATTTCTTCTTAAAAACTATCGAGCCCTCGAGGGAGCGATGCTCACTCAGCCTGATCTTGCGAGCTTTCTTCTGTAAGCTATTCATCAGTTTCATTGCTGCTTGACCCTGATGCCCAACATTTTCGTGGGGTAGTGATCTATCCTGGTCGACTACGCATAGATATCAACTCTGCATAGTCCATACCAGCCACATACAATCTTACCCGGAAATGGAGAGGCCTGTCGATACGGGCCACGCCCTGCCGGCACTTAAAAGAACGCGCGTGCAACGATATGTATGTCGATGCGATGCTTGTACAAGTTTATTTTCCCGACAGGCGCTACATAATCTGAACTCCTCTTCTGGTTATGGCCATAAAACCCGGCAGGGTCTCTTGACTTCAGCCAGAGCTGGCTGTGACCTGTGCGAGCTCATTTTGGAGGCTGGGTTGAAAGAGTTTGGACACAATATCTGGAACAATGAGGGACTTCTACGTTTCTGGAACTCGAAACCGAATTCAGCAGGCAGAAGCTCAGATCTCAATACCTTGACTGGTCGAGTGAATGGTCTAATTGGAAGTATCTTGCTCTATCCATTTGTGAAAGAAAGTTCGGGATAAGCCCTATTCTTCTTGCTTTCTCGTCTAACATGCCTTCCCAGATGATCCCCTCTCCTCCTTGATAAAACGGCGGCCACTACGCAGAGATGTTTCAAGCCCGGAGGTTTATTCATCCGCTAAAATGTTGATAGAGGCTTGTATGGGTCCACATGCATCAAGCATGGGTCATCAAAAGTGTCAATACTCAAGAGATATTGTCCTTCCCACGCGCGTAATAAATGTCAGTGGCCATACTGCGCAGCTCCAGATCAATGATACAGAAGCTCGAGGAACATACCTCGCCTTGAGCTACTGTTGGGGTAAACCGGACCCGAAAATGCAAAGCCGACTATCAGAACTACGCCTAAATAACGAGCAAGATCTCGTAAAGGAGATCAAACTTCAAGAATTGGAACAGTCTGTCCAAGACGCAATACGTGTGACTCGGGAACTGGGGTTTTCTTATCTCTGGGTGGATAGATTGTGCATCATTCAAAACTGCACAGATGATAAGAGACGAGAGATTAGCAAGATGGCGACGACATACAAGAATGCTGCTATAACATTGGCTGCTGGGACTGCTACAAGAGCATGTGAAGGATTCCTGGGAAAATTGCCTGGAAAGAATGCTACGTATTTGCCGGAGAATCAGTTCGACATACCGATGAAGGATGGAAGTACAGGGACTGTCTATCTGTCAGGAAGCCCGTATCAGCCTAACCATCCTTTAGACAAAAGGGGGTGGACTCTTCAAGAGTACATGCTTTCGTCCCGTATGCTCATCTTCTCAGATTACCAACTCCTTTGGCAGTGCCAGGAAACTGAACTGCAGAGCGTCACAGGAAATGATATAGGTATAGAATACCAGCAACATCTTGAGTCATTGCCGTGGGCTTCCTTCGACGAGGATGGTGAACCATCCTACGGAACACATGATTCAGAGAAACTCTATCTCTGGAAGACAATCATTGTTCAGTATACACAACGGCAGCTGAAAGACCCCGAAGATAGGCTACCAGCGGTCACGGGTATCACAACTGAGTTACAAAAGGTCTGGCGAGACTCTCATATCTACGGTCACTGGGAGCGATGGTTTATCCAACTTCTGGCATGGTACAAGCCTGATAACGGAAGAGTGAAGGAAAGACACCCTAAGAGAGCTCCCAGTTGGTCCTGGGTATCAGTCGATGGAAAGATCCGATTCGAAGACCCGATGGAGGTTGAGGATGCTAAGATCGAGGTTTTGACAGCAGCCAAGGTTAGGCTATGTTGTCGAATTCTTCAATTCAGTGATATAAGCCCCCATAAGCGGTGCACGCTGTCCACAATGCTGGATCTTGTGGAGTCAGCTTCAGATGTTGAATTCGGAGGGAGGAAATGCGAGTATCTTCTCCTGGGCAAAACTGGCAGTTATCAACAGGAAACCGGAGTTGCTATAATGATACTCAAAGCCCCTAGCGGAAGTTATAGGAGAGTAGGCTTAGCCCTGTTCGAAGACATGGCAGTTTGGACTGGCGTAAAGTTCCAGAGTGTTGATCTGGAGCCAAAAGAAAAGTAGGCCATCCTTTCAATGCCAACCTAGTGTTCCCAGATCAAATTATCACTGCATATTCTCTTGGAAGCACATACTTTCCAGCGAGGCAAGAAATTTTGGGCCGCAGTCCCCAAATGATGTCGGTAAACTCAATACATCTTACATAGCTGTAAAATTGCTCAAGGAATGTTGTATAAAAGTTCAAATACTGAGCTAGATGTGTTACCTGCAGTCGAGTTCTCTCCCTGGGAGCCTATACCAACACGTAGAACCTAGAATCCAGCTTCTCTCCCTCTGTATCAATATCCCCTCTTCGCGTGTATCTTCTCATGCCTTCGACAGTCATTAATCCTAGCAAAGGCTTTCCTACAGGTCGTGCAAGAGTAAGGCCTGTCCCCAAAATGACTTCGCTCGTGGCTCTTGAGATTGATGTTTCTCGTGAATGTCTTGTTACAAATCTGGCAAACGAATCTTCCGGAGACCTGTCGACGGCTCAAGGTCTCAAAGATGGCAGGGCCTTCGCTAAGTTCCGCATGGTAAATATTGACATGCCGTTCCCTGTCCTTGTTGCTTACAAAACCGAGAGGAGCAGCGTTGCAGGATACAGGGCATTGGAAAGGTCTCTCGTGTCGCTTTCCGTGATTATCTCGGTCTAGCGTGTTGTTGTAGCCCGCATGGAAGAAACGACAGAGTGTGCGATCACACTTGTAGGGCTTTGAGCCATAGTAGTCCTCCACGGTATCCTCGTCACCGACTTCTCGGTGGACAAAGAGAACTTCCAGCTGCGTTCTATTGTCCTTGAGCCCATTCTCGATCTGCTTAATGCCAACTGTGTTTCGTGTTGAGTAATCCCCTCGCTGGTGAGTATATATGTGGTTCCAGAGAAAGTAAAGGTCTTCATAGAGTTCCAAGTCGACGAACTTCTCTATGTGGTCCGCGACTAATTCAACGTGCTTGATGGTAGTTAAGTCTGCACGATGGGTATTGACAAAATGCTTCAAAGCAAATGTGAATTCTGCTGCAACATTTCGAAAGGTCTCAGAGGTAAAGACCTCACTGCACTCTCTGATCAAGGTGTCGGTATGATGAAGCCAATGGGCGCACGCGTAATCCTGGAAAGAGAACCAGCCCAATTTCGCATGCTCGCTTCTTTGGTGCTCTCTGTAGTTGATGTCCTGGATAAAGCAAGGAAGGGTCAAGTATCTGAGACACATAGTGGTCAGCTGGCACTGAACTTGCTTCTCACTGATATGCCTGTTCTCTATGATATATCTAAAAGCACAAAGAGTTAGTCACTTGCCATTAACGATTCTCAGTCAAGACTAACCTGCATGCGGTTGAATGAACCAGTCGAATATAACCTCCGTCAAGTACATGAACGATGGAGCCGAGATACGTCTCCATATCTTGTCGCAACATGTCATTCTCAAAATCGATATGGAGTTTATGAGGGTCGAAGCATAAAATTGCTTGTATCTCGTTCCATCTAAGTGGTCGCTTGGCACATATGAGCCACCCAAAGAGCAGCTTTGATCTCTCCCACCTCGCAGAACCTCCTGACTGGGCCGTGAGATTGCTCTTGACAGAATCCAGCAATTTTTCATACCTGAAATGGTAAGTTGAAGTCAAATACTAGGATCAGAGTACATACATATCTCCAAGCTTCGGGGGTAGTATCCCTTTTCTGAGTAGGGTCAACAAGCCACCTTTGGTATCTTGCTGTAAAAGAAATTCAATGGCCAGATGTGCGTAGAGAAACGAGCCTAAAATGTTGGATCAGCCTGAACCCTCCAGTGATACGGTGTCAATCCATATTGACCTTGGCTTTGACGGCATATTATGCGTTCAACGTCTAATTTATCAGCTTCAGAAAGACTGAAACCAATACTGTGACTTGACTTCGAGAATTCTGGAAGTTTCTTCTGCACAAAAGCCCTAATGTCGTCGTGGTTGTCCTCGGGCCTGAGCGCTATACTGATGCAATCATCTCCAGGGACATACTTCTTAGTATCAGATGTTTCTCGGCCGATGAAAAGGACTCTCAAATGCCCCAATCTAATTTGCGTATCGTATGCCGACACCAGATCCTTGAAGAACTTGGCAGTTTGGTCAATCTCGGCTCCATGACATTCATCTACTCCATCTATCACGATGTAGTGCCTTACAGAGAACTCAATGAATGTCTTGATGAGCTTTTGAGCTAGCTTTGCATCAATTAGGATGGAGCCTCCACTGGAGACCTTTTCCTGGTAGCAATATGGGATTATATAGTCCTCGGCCTCTACCATCTGCAGGAGTATGCCCTTCAGAATATCAAGATGGTTTCTGTGTTCAATGTCGTTTTCTTGGCAGTAAAAGTAGCATGTTTTACTGTCGTCTGGAAATGAGGGCATGGTATTATGGAGTTTCGATGACTTTAGTTCATCAACTATTAGTGATGCAAGTACCGTTTTGCCTGGATTCATCAGCATCGTATTGAATGTCTCTGGGGAATACTTACCATATCCGACGTTCGCATGCAGCCATATGGCTGAGTGAGGAGGGTCTTCCTCTCCCATCCATTCTGAAATATCGCTGTAGTTTCGGAAAAGCCAACGGCCACTCTTGGGGCAGATCGCCATCTCGCGAAATTCGTTCTGCAATCGTTGCATCTTCCGAGAAGAGGTGATCCATTCGGTCACTTCGTACTTTCTTTCTCGGCGCCGGGCTATTTCGTCGATCTCGAAGTTCTTCCAGGCTGACTTGTTGCCATACGAGTACTGCTGGAAAGGCGCATGTAGGGTATCGGAGTCTTTGGAATTAGACGATTCTGTTGAACTGTTATGACTTGGAGGCTCACCTTGGATAGAATAGTGGTCTTTGATAAACTTTGCGTGTCTGCCTAAAGAGGCTGATAGTTTTGAGAATAGGCCACTTGCGTCATCCCAAACCGATCTCTGAAGCCGTTGCCATACTTGAATAAGTCAGTAGAGTGACACTCGTCCTTTTAAAGGATATCTTACGCTTTGCTGTAAGTGAGAAGAGTTTGTATGATGTGAAATGAAACCGCTGTATGTCATCGTAGATATTGACTATGCACTCTATGGCGGGCGGGAACTTTTGGAATAACTCTTCGAATTGAGTCAAGGCCAGGAGTTGGGCTCCAAGGAGTCCGTAAACATCGAGCACTCCGTCAAAAGCCCTTTCAGAAGTGTTGGTAGTCTGTGAGCGTTTAACTGAGTCCCGTGCATGAACCAGAGCCCAATAATTACCCTGAGTAAGAACTTTACTGAGCCCCAAACCATTGACATCACACCTCTCGTGCCAGGAAACTTGAGCTGCAAGAGGACTTTCTCGAGTTCTTCCATGCCGTCAAGAAACATCCGCAGTCGATTCATATCCATCATGTTGTTTGTTTTATCTCGCAGCAATTGAATATCTCGGATTTCTTTTCGCATGTCTCCATCAGTCGTGCTTTCGAACTCTTCTTCGTGGTGGGATTTTAGGGACCTCCTGAAACCTTCAGCTAATTCATAAAGCCGGTCCATCTTGATGAGCGATTGAGTGACAATGGCTAAAGCCCTTGGAGATCCAGCCATGAAAGGCCACTAAAATAATGAGAAAGACAGGACCAGCGGTGAAGGACCCAAGGGCAACTGTAGAGAGGAGAGCCTCAAAGTCGCCTTGCTGGGAGCCTTTAATGGCGGTGTTGCATTTTCAAGCCTTACCATCCAATCGCTGGGTAACACACCCGCACAGCGAACCAGATATGATGATGCGGGTCTGCCTTTTTGGCCAAGCGAGCTGCAGTTGGCTGAAAACAGAGATTCTGATTCGACGTTGGGTCAAAGACTTCAGGGATCTCCTGCATGGAACAAGCGCTTGCACAGCCTGATTCTTGTATTTTCCGTGTGTCAGCAAGGACTTGGCCGTTCAAGTTCTGATACTTCAGCAGGACGCGGTTCAGAATCAGATACTTTCCATTGCGTTTGAGTATTTCGAAATATACACAATATGTCTAACTTGCGGGATCTTCTTAATCCCTTAAGTGACGACAAGCAGCATGCGTCTCACTCTAGCGACGAGCTGGGAGTAGACCGAGACCGAGACCAAGATCCCTACATGAGCGATGCGTTTAGTGCGCAAGTGCTCGGCAACAATGGGTCGATTGATGAGACCTCACAAGCATTTTGGTGGGCTCTAAATGGAGACGTTACTGAGGCTGATAACTACCTCCAGTCGAGTCTTACAAACACCCAGATGTATGTAGTTTTCCATATCAATTAAATCTATGACTAATGATAAAAACCAGCGATTCTCTATTTCCAGAACAAGGGCTCTCTATGCACCAATATTCTCAAAATCATGGTCTAGACGTTGACCCACAACTTGGAAGGGTAGATTTTGATATGGACTTCGACATGAACGGTTTTCAGATTACGCCTCACCCCAATGATGAAGAGAACTTCCCCTTAGATGTGCCTACTTCTCTTGAAAGCTTCCAATTCCTTCAGTTACCCACCGAAAGCTCTCGGGAAGGGTCGGCTATGACACCTGAGGTTTCTGTGCCAAGTCGGTCAAATGCAACACCTATAACACTACCGGAAGATGTCGACGTCATAGTTCATTACGGCATGGTAATTACATACACCTCCGATCATGTTACTCAGCTAAGGCCTGTCACTAATTTGATTTAGCTTCATAACATCGAAGTGAAACTAGTGCCTGTCGACATGTCATCCATAGATGAAAGACTGGCAGCAGAAACCTCAGCTTATCAGTGCTTTACGCCAACGGAGTATCAGAAACAACTTATGCTTCGCTTTCCTGGTGATGGGGATCATTTTGGACATCTGCCTTTAGCCGCAGGCCAGACTCTCTTACTTCTGATGACGCAGCCTTCAGTTGATATTCAGCCACTGGCTCTGAGATGCGATCTGAGAGAGGTCATAAGCCGCGCAAACAAACCCGCGGATGCTAGGGTGAAAGTCGACATAAATATCTATGGCCTCCGATCTAAGGCGTTGGATATTGGCAAAAGGCTCTCCAATGGAAAGCTGTGGCTTCAGAGATCTAGCCACGGAAGACATGGTGTTGCTTACGAGAATCCGCACTTCTTGAGCATTAGCGTCCAAGATACCGGGATCGATGAAGTCCAGATTACGGGACTGGTTGTCACTGATAGCGCCCTGAAGAAAGTTAGCAAGGAAGATCAGCTACGGAAGATGGTGGATGAGGTCTACAAAACAGTCGAGAACAACCGCGAACTCGAGATGGTTGAAGGTGGTGACAGGGTGACTCGTCGGTTGCTAAGGTAGCGTACCCGAACTAGAGCCCAGTTGACCGTGGTGCTAATAAGGTAATAGACATCAGAAGGAAGCACTTGGTTTTATGCTTGAGAGAGAGTCTGGGCACATCAACGAGAGGTACAGACTTTGGGAAGAGATCAAGCATGGCGATGGGAAAGTCCAATATCGACATAGAATCACCAAGAGACGTAAGGATATACGGCCAGAGGAGAAAGGCGGCGGTATTCTTGCCGATGACATGGGGATGGGAAAGTCGCTTTCCATCCTCGCTTTGATCATGAAAACTCTTGAAAATGGCCGAGAGTGGGCCGAGGGCAAAAATGCAGAGCATAAGAGCAGGAGGTCTCTCAAATTCTCTCGTTCTACTCTGGTTGTAGTCTCAGCAGCTTGTGAGTCTCTCCTCATTATCACGCTTGTTTCAGTTGCTGACGAACTCAGTATTGGTCGATGAGTGGATGAACGAGGTGAAGAAGTAAGTGTCACGAGACTTCACTAGGGGGAAATTTCTGACCCCGTACAGGCACCTACAGAATGGTATCAGAGTGGTCAAGTACCATGGCGAAAAGAGGCCAAAGACCGCCGAAGAGCTAGAAGACCTAGATATCGTAGTGACAACATACCATACGCTCACTGCCGAGTATCTAGTAGGGAAAGGAAAGAATTCACCGCTATACCAATTGGGCTGGTATCGAATAGTCCTTGACGAAGGTGAGCCATCTTGCTGCTGCGCTTATCGAGATGCCTGACTAACTGGGGGGGCTTAAAGCTCATATCATCCGTCGTCCATCCACCAAATTCTTCCAGGCGTGTGAATATCTCCACGCCAACTCTCGGTGGTGCCTCTCTGGGACACCCATCCAAAATAAGCTCACCGATATTGGCTCACTGTTCCGCTTCATTCGCGCCGAACCATTCGACAAGGCATCCGAGTTCAGAAAGTGGATAGAAACACCATTCGATAACTCATTCGACGAACCGGAGCTCGTAAGGGATCGCCTAGTCCTACTCCTTGAAGCACTGTGTCTTCGCCGGACTAGAGAGGTCCTCAACTTACCCAAAACAAGGCAGTTTGTCCGGCATTTGGATTTCAGTCCGAAAGAGCGAGATCAGTACGACAAAACAAAGGCTGTCATTCTACGTAACATGCAGCATCGTATGGGTGAAGTCAAAAAGAGCTCCCAGTTCGGCATGTTCCAGATGTGGCTTCAGCTGCGAATTGTCTGCAACCACGGAACATATCAAAAGCTCTTTTCCTGGCATCGGAGAAGCCTTTTGGAAGAACGAGAGGCTATAGTTGGAACTGCTGGTCAATATGGCGAGATATCCTGCGTGGGATGTGAGGAGCCGATGCCGATACTTGGACGTGACTTAACCAAAAGAATGTTTGATGACGAATGCTCACATATCCTATGCTCGAAGTGCATTGAAGAGTCAAATATGAACTTACCCGAGGCACAAAGACGGTGCCCCGTCTGCATCAGATGGTTCAAAGAATCTTCAGTTCCTCGAGATGAGCAAGCTTTGGCAGACGGTGAGAGACCGAAGAAGCGGAGAAAGGCTGCTGTTGCAAAAGATGATCACGAGAGTTACTTCAACGAACAAGGGTTTTCAACGAAGATACGGGCTTTGGTGGAGGATGTTCTGAAGGATCTATGGAAAACAAAAAGGTATGCCTATCTAAAATTCCTGTTATATTCTAACAATCAACAGTATCATCTTTTCTTGCTGGACACGAACGCTGTATTTGATATCAAGACATCTGGAACAGGCTAAAATTCCATACCTTCAACTCGACGGTGAGAGCCCACTGCACCAACGACAGGCTACGCTCCTTAAGTTTGAGAAGGAGGATGAGACTCCTGTTCTTATCATGACAACAGGAACCGGAGCATTTGGGTGAGTCAATTACTCTTGTAGTGGCATCTGTAGACTCACACTATTCTAGGCTGAATTTGACTTGCGCAAATCGAATCTTCATCACAGAACTACAATGGAATCCCAGCGTCGAGAGCCAAGCGATTTCCAGAGCTATTCGCCTCGGGCAACAAAGTGAAGTTCGAGTTACAAGATATATCATCAACAATACTGTGGAAGAGGTACGAGGTTCCATTAATAAAAATGGAGCATGACTAATAAGTGCAGGACATACGGCAGCAACAAGAGTACAAAAAGCAAATAGCAGCACTAGGCTTTGAGGAAGTAATCAATTAGATGTCATATATACCGGCCTACGGATGGTTTCTTTTCTCCCTTTCAAGATCAATAATGCTTCACCATTATTATTGCCGTGGACCCTGGACAGGAATGCCTAATCCGGAAGGCTCCAGAGCGTGTTAAAATTGCAGTGAAGGGGCAGCGCTTGTTCCAACAGACAGAACTTAGAGCCTCAAGGTATATGCATCCATACTTAGCGCCGAAGAGACTTGCAGCTGCCCGCTCAAGACAGCCACCAGTAACCTGACTGAGTCTAGCGTACCACTGGTGCTCTCATTTTACCCTCCACTTTTGGCTTAGTGTCCATCCAATCTCTGACTAGCGTTTGCGGAGACAAAGCTCCAACCGATTCCCCGCAACGTCGGCCATAGATTTCCGGATCCTCAACATTGATGCTTGCAAAATTCTAAAGACAGAGGAAAATTTCCCTCTATTCTTCCCCAGCCACGCAAGTACCAGCCGTTATCTCGCCTGAGATACCGAGTTTTGTGTGCCGAGCGTCGATCATCTTAGCTCATCTCGGCTTTATCCGATGCCTGCGATGCCGCCAAAGAAACGTGCATATGTACCAAAGACGAAGGGTCAGTACAACCTCATCTTGGCTTAGCAATGTTTTAACGTGTGACTAGGTTGCCATGAATGCTCGAAGCGACGTATTCACTGTGATAGGAATGAACCAAGTTGCAACAAATGTACTTCCAGAGGCCTGAGCTGCAGTGGCCTTGGTATTCGGCATCGGTTCAACAAGGGTGTTGCTGCGAGAGGAAAGTGGGCTGGCAAGACTATCGACAGGGTTTATGAAGAGTATGCACGAACATATGTCTGTTTTTGAAGCATGATGCTAATAAGATTCGCAGGAATGAGTGGAAGGTCCCTTCAACTGACAAGGACGCATCAGCATCGTCGGCATCAAGTTCCGCCGCAGATACAAACCCGGAGACCACGGATTCTCATCATGATGACAACGGAGACTCACACGACGATGATATCGAGAATATCACATCAGACACAGGGATCTATGACCTTGTGCTCGCAAATTCACAATCACCTGTAGACCGTGAGGTTTTTATGACACTCTTCTTGAAAGGGGTTCCAGACAACATGCCAGCTTGGAAGAGGAACCTTTTCATGACGTGTAAGTCCAATTTTCACTTCCTTAGTACAGGCACTTACACATTCTAGTCTCACGCTGCATATCGACTGAGATGGTAGCCATAGACGGCCTTCACAACGACTGGCGACACGTCCTTCTTCCCCTCGCCCAACAAGATGATCTCGTTATGGATGCCGTCCTCACTGTCTCAGCCTTTCATTTTCACATCAATAAACTCGATAATAATTTCAAGAAGAATCAAAAGCAGTACTCTACTTTCGGAACAAACACATACGATACTTACGTTCCCGATCCATATCAACTTCTGGGTCGAACGCTCCAAGGCCTGCGCCAACGTCAGGAACTCATATGCAACAGCCAAACTACACAGCACTCTGTGCTAATCAGTCTTCTGCTACTAATGACATCTGTGCTCGTTACCGGTGGCTCCGACTTTCCTGTCCTTCTTCGAATGCTCGAGTCAGCGCTGGACGCTATTGGAGGAAAGGAAGGACTTGGTACGGGTATCTTGGCTGGTTTCATCATGCGAGAGCTTCACAAGTAAGTACATACAACTAATACCGAATAGAAACAGGCATTCTAACAGTGTCACAGGATCCGAGTATATGCCGCTCCGCATCTTGGTGAAGAAACAGGTCTCCAAATGATCTCATCCCAAGCCCGAACCGATCAGCTATTTGGCTGTCTCAACCACTGCCTTCAGCTTTATCCAGAGCATACACCACTCTTCTCACAAGTCACAAGTCTCGTGTATCAAGCTCGAGATATTTATCTTCAACAAGTCCTCTCCGACCATACCTCCAATTTCTTTGACCTAGATCCTATACCCACCAATCCCGAGTCGGTAGCACGCGTACAGCGCTTTATCGAAGCACTAGAACAATTTCCAGAGACTTCTCCTGTGGCTCATATGTTGGTTTGGACGACATTTGTGGCGGCATCGGATGCACAGCTTGAAGAGCACAAAGTTTATTTTGAGAATGTTTTGAGAAGACATCATGCACGAAGTGGATTTGGAAATTTGCTGAAGGGTATTGAGGCGTTGAAGAGGATGTGGAGCAGAAAGCCTGGAGAGAGATGGACGACTCTCTTACCACAGACAAAAGTTCTTGTTGCATGATGTTGGAACTTTAGGTCAAGATCACGAAAATGGCGATTGGAGGACTTGGTTTTTGATAATACCCTAATTTCGTTTCTTTATTTTGATACAATTTGAATGATAGCTGCTATGATGATAAACATGAATTCTTCCAGTGACAAACCTAACTCATTTGTTCCGTGAGTCGCAAAGGACCATCTCATCAAGTCCGAAATACAGCATGTTGATGCAGATTCACTTTGCCGCCGTACCAACCAAACACAGATGTCTTCATTAAAAGTCCTCAACCCGATAGACCTGATACGGACATTCCTCATACGGATGGGCCCTACCGAAATTAGCTTTGTTTTTCTCACAAACCTTGGAACTCACTCTTTCAACGCCGCAACAGCCTTCCGCACCGTCTCCTCCCCAACAACTAACGTCTCAACTCTAACCTCCGGCGTCTCCTCCAACTCCCCAACCTTGCCAATAGCCGGATTCGCCGCATCTCCCGGCCTAAACTGTCCAATCCCCGTTGTCTGCCACGCGCACTCAGTGTACCCGCCAGGACCAGGATAGCGGCCCGCGCCGGCTTTGAAGATGGCGGCTTTGCATGCGGAGGCGCTGGCGGGTGGGACGTAGAAGACGAGGCTGAAACGGCGTAGTGATGCCATGGTGTTGCGAGATCATCCGGGACCGGGAAAGAGATTTGCTTCTGGTGATGGTTCGAGAATGTTTGGTGAGGAGCCAATCAGTGGGGTTGTGTTGAAGATGATGTGCATCATGTGACGTTGTGAAACGGAAAATAATCTCGCAGCCTGATCTGATATCTGCATCTCGGACAGCGCCGATATGAGATATTACATGAAAATATTGACGTCAGAACCGGAACTGTTCCCGGTCAATGTCAACCCTATAATATAATGAGAATTATAATATTATTTCTTATTAAAAGACTTTTGAGCTGCTTTCGTCCATTATAGCTGACCACGCATTTTCCACCTCGGTTGGAATGCCAATAGGTGACTTTGCTCTGATAACTCCACCTTGCTCACCAATGATTCTGTCCAGAAAGCGATCTATAGACCAAAGTTCCCTTCTGACATTTTTCTCAGGTCCCACCTTTTCTTGTTGAGCCTCTCTTGTTTGCTTCAGCCGTGGCCAGCACGAAATCTGGACGGTATCATTCTGGTAGACTTTTTCAAATGAAGACATCGTCCGGCAGCTCATAGCTGGGTCCTGCACAACAACCATAGATCTTGGGGAACGAATGCCATTCTCTTCTAAAACCTTTTGTGCCTCCGATGCATCTGCTCCGCAGTTGTTTGAACGGTCGGCCACCAGGATCCGAAAGCCATGATCTTGGCTTCCAGTTTCGTTGATCTTGAGTTTATAGAAGCGTTCCGCCATGACTTTCAACACCTCGCCTTCAGGTTTGCCGTTAATCGTGTCAAATATCGTGCAGTATTTCTTGCTCGCTCTGATAGCGTCGTAAACAAATGGCGTACAAGGTCCGATACCTCCACACAGCACTAGTACTGTGTTTCTCTGCCTTTCCTCATTTTGGCTCTGCTGCTGCACTCCCCACTCAAAAACGGCCTCAGGGATAGCCAGGATTGCCGATGCACAAAGAACGATGACATCAGTAAATCCATTCTCGGGATCTGATTTGTGCTCTTGGTTTTGTTGCCGTGACTGGAGATATGAGTCTAATTCTTTGGCGCTGTATATTTGCTGCAAGGCTAAGAACCGCGAGATGATATCCGCCGGTTCGGAACCCTCATTTGGAAATTCACTTGTTCTTGAAGGCATTGTGATAAATCAAAACTGATGGAAAAAGTATCGTAGCAGACGGAGCACACCTAAGGGGCATGTGCCAGTTGATATATCTCGGTGAGCAATAGCCCGATTCTTCAGCCTCCATGCACGCCCAGAAACTCAACGCTAGATTTCCCCGCTCCAATACCCATCAAAACCGAATTAATGGATGATTTTCTATGGTGTTAACCAGTGGGAAATTTTCCCTTACACATATTTTAATCACTAATCTTATCGCAGCCAGAGTTACTAACACGAACCGTACGTAACGTGGATCCTCTATGCCTATTTAGGAATACCACAAACATGGACACCTCAACGTTACGTCAAATGATTTATTTTGCGGCAATTTGTAGTAATCAGATTATCAGTCATGACTGAATCCCATCAATGATAATGGTTTTTAACTTTGCCATGTCTCAGCAGCTTGTGACAGAAGCAGCCCAACTTCTAAGACTACGTAGAAAGGTTAGTACTAACGAGATGATCGGTAGGAGTTGGAAAAGAAATAGTTTCCATAATATTGCCTGTTTCGATATATGAAAGACGCTGCGAAAAGGATAGAAAAGTGTTCTTTCTTCTATTCCTCCTTGATGAAACAATGTCTAAGTGTTCGTATCAAAGGATAACCTCATCAAACATGCAGCTCGGTAATTTAGACCAGACGATCCCATTCAGCCAACAACCTCGCTACCGGTGATTAAGGCCTAATCATTACTAGAAGGTCTCTTTTCCAACCTGGGCTGAAGTGAAAACAAAATATTACATTACTTTCGATGGTAGGCAGCCTACAAAGACGGCTTAGGATTATCTGTACCTCAGGTGGTTGCGGTATCGGTCTTGTTTATTATGACAACATCCTGTAGTTAGCTTATCAGGCACAATTTGATATGATAGTGTGTCTGCCACATGGCTCCTTGTTCTATGTCTTGGTTCGTGACGACTACATACAAATCGCGAATTGTCTCGGCCGGTCACGTGTCGTTTGGCTATCGTCTTATTCTGCATGATATGACGATCAGACCACTACGTCAGTGGTCAAAAAGCAGAAGTCTGTGTTGCATAGTTGACAGAAGCATGAAGGCATATTTTACTTATCAAAACTTGAGGTTTTCGTATTTGATCCGTGCTTCGGAGGCTGAGAATGCTGTAGAATGGTGGTATGGATGCTCGGTATCTGACTCCGATCAACTGGTTAAGGTTACACAAGGATAAAATTTCGTGATAAAAGGCATAACACGACGATAAAGACAATAAATAACTCCACGTGGTGTAATCGGAGAAAGACGGAGCATATTGATTCATCAATTTAATGAAGCTGTCTCTCAGTAGTGACAAGATAATTAGTTGCTACTAGGCCTACCCATTACAATCTGGGCTATAAGGTTGAGAATTGCTAGGGCAAATGCTGCAACCGTGATTTTATGGATATATCTATCACGAACTTCCTGTTCACGACTTCCGGAAGTTATCTGAACTTCCAGTTGTTGGTAGGCGAGCTGAATGTCCCGCAACCGGCTGCATAACGTATGTATGCGACGTAGGAGTGTTTCCATATCATTTGGCTTACTCCCATCCACAAAACCACCGCCATGAGGGACACCCTCAAGGTCCTTTCTGGGATCATTTGATAAGAATTCTTGAACATTACGTGTCAGAACTGTTACCGAATGGAGCAGTTGACAGATGACCTCTTTTAGCTGACGGTTGTTGTGTGCAGATCCATTGCGTTGTTTAGCACTCTTCTGGGAGATAGTTAATACCTTTCCAAATCTTATTTATGATATCATGGGGTTTCCAGAGAACAGACTTACCGATGAGTAACGCCCTCGCCCCTTGATGAAATCCTGGAAGACTTCCAAAATCTCGGCGTGCTGGTCCAGGACCCGATCAAGACTTAAATTCATGGCATGAAGAAAATAGGTTCGGGGGGAGTGTCTGAGCATTTCTTCGGGCATTTGGAAATCGCTTTCGGAACCGGATTCTTGGTCTTCGAAGTCAAATCCAAAAATCGACATGTCCGCGTCACCTTCTTCAAAGCAGTATACGTCCCAGTAATCAATGCTATGTACAGCGATCCCAAATGAGATTACCGATTCACAGAGAGTGACTGGTCCATGTTGGCTCAACAACGTCTCCCCAGAGCATTGGGTAAGAAATGAAAGGCTCAATCGAGTTCTGAATGGCTCTCCCGCCTTGGACATGGTTCGGGGATCATTATAACCTTCAGAAACGAGTGTAAAGAAGGGAAATTGAAACCTGAGATGATGCTGACATGATCCCCACCATTGCTATATTATTAAGTTATTAGTCAAAGTGTTCTATAGTTTTAATGCTATATTAACTTACAATTTCATTGATCTGTATGTACGGGTCGATGTTTGTCGTGACATAGGACATAATTATCGGACGGAGAATGGCTACTTGGCGGCAGGACATATTCCTCATGAGAGCCAGAATACTAGCCCCATCTGGGTTATGGATATAACTGTTTCAAGCTATCAGCTCAGTGACACGCTGTGATGCTTGTCCGTTGCCTACATTCTTCTGATTTGCCTCATCAAGCCTGGGCCTGGGCCTGTGTGATGAAATCGCTGTGAAAGGATAAGTCACAAGTCCTCTCCACATATTAATGAAAGACTCCTGAGTACACACCTTTTCTTTCAGAATCTCATGTAGCCTGAGGCTTGATGCAAGTGGTTTGTCTCGACTGATATAGGAATGTGTATTCTGGCACCAACCTACATCAGTGACGACCGCAAAATAGGGGAATCCCAGTCTCGAGTTTGTGGCCGTTGGTTTCGAGCTGGTATCTGAGCTGGAGTATAGACTTGAGCTAAGTGGGTGTGATACAAAATTGTCTAGAGCGAATGAAGCACCACAGCAAAAGTCCTCGACACGTTCTATACTACGTTCTGTAAACCTTGAAGGTGAACTCGGATAGTCGAGTAAAAGGGCCGGAATTTCGTCTCCGTCATCCAAGAATCCTGATTCTTTCATTTTTTGTAGGTACGAAGTGTCCTCCTTTTCTGAATAAAAAAGTCTTCGAGGCCCATTGAATTGGCCTCTGTGGCTTCTCGGATCTTCCGAATAATTCCATGTCTGCGTGATCGAGGAAGATCTCAAAGAGGATTCTGGGTGAACGGGATGAAGATGATTGAGTACGGCGGTTGACCGTGGTTCGATAGGAGAAAATCCTACCTGAGTAGCAATGGTATCTTCAGATATGTTGTAAGATGGCAGGATAAGGTTCTGTGAGGGAAGGATCACAGTGGTTGCATTGAAAGCAACTCGGACTTGTTCAATAGTGTCCGAAAGTGGAACAACGAAAATATCACCGATAATGTTTGATCCGACAACATGACCATATATATCGAAAGTAGCCTGGTCAATAATGATTGAGCCGCACTCTCCTGGCTCGAGACCTAACACATCGATTTAGTCATAGTGGAGTAAGATTCAAACACATCTCTCACCTTGATCAGAATCTAGTATCATTTTCCAGGCTTTACACGGACTTCGATCCTGTAGTGGGCCAAGCTCACTGAGGCCACTAAATAGACGGCCCTTTCTTGTGCCATTTATCCCCGAAATCATGTACACCGAGGTGGTATGAGACGGCAGTTGTTTCGACACTTGGTGAAGGAGTACGGGGCTTGAAATAGAGTCTAGGGTGACGATGTTAGGTAGTTGGAAGCTCGCTGAAGAGTCGTTCAACTCGACGAATGCCCAGTCCAGGTATGATGCTGGCGGATCCAGCGTATGTGGGAAAGGAACGGGTTGGCCCACCAAGCACTCGGCAAGACGAGACTGAGGAATTTCCTTCCTGTGCGACGCATTGAGGTTATCCTCTGCTGCACTCTCATGCGCTCTGCTATGACCAAAGTCCAAAGTCTGTTTTTCCTGATCTGGATGATTTGGTGGAATGACAGAAGTGTCCTGAAGCGCACTTGTTGACTCCCCGCTAGGGCGGCTGCTGCGATAAACTGGCTCATCACCACTAGTGAAAAGCGAATTTTTATCTCCCATGCTGTTATTGAAGAGATGGTCGACAGTCATCATGTGGCTTATGCCATCTACGATAATTGTCAGGCCGATGGTGGCTGTGCGACCCTCATACTGGACCAGAGAACCGCAGAAGGTATCTCTGGATGAGTTGCTGACAGCTACTGAAGTGTTTGCAGCGTGTTGTATCGTGGGGTGATATGGGTGCGGTAAATAGATGAGTTGGAATGACGGTTTTGACGATGGGAGATCGTGATGGACTAGGTTAGGCCAGTTTGAGTCCTTGCGACAACAGAGTGTCGCAGCGTGCTTGTTAAAGAGCTCTCTCAACATCTTGAGATCTCGTTTTCGACACTCTATAAGTATAGAGGGTACGGCTGTATCCCTCGAGTCGCCAATCATATGACGACTATAGTTAATATGTCGACCGCACATACGAAGTTCATTATGTTCAGCGACGACCTTCCTCAGTTCATTCGTGACGTATTCACACCTTTTCCGGAACTCTTCTGCTGAGAAGTGCGTCGAGGACACCGGAAGGTCGTAAAAAATCATATTGCGACTTTGAGGCAGCGCCTTGACGCCTGTGCTTGTCTGTTGGCGGGAAGAATCTGCAGTGGGTAGTATGCCAGTGTAATTTGAGGATCGCTGAAACACCTGAGGTGGTGCTGCGCACTGTTCAAAAGATTGTGACTGTATCGACTGAGATGATAAGAATGCTTGACGAGCGACTCTTCGGTGCGATCGTCTCAAGCTCTGGGAAAGGTATGTTCGATGGATGTTTATAGGATCCTGCAGAGGTTGGATTACCTCGGAGCCTTTCTTCTTTCGAAAACCCTTCTCAAATAAAGTCTTGAACTTGAGTGCAAGTTTATCCTTGAAAGAGGCGTTCTCGTCACTTGGAAGCCCCCATACCATGGTATGGACGCATGTCTGATTGCTGGAGGCTGAATGATGTCAAAGAAAGATGTTCAGAGATCGATAACTGATGGGGCGACATATGGTAACTCCCCGTCACTTAGAGCTTTGAGGCTCAACTAAGAATTACATTGTAATTGTGATTATGTATTGATACCCAACGAGGCTTGACGGGCGGCCAATGGAATATCGAAATATGAGTGCGGTCAGATTAGGATTTGTGGTCCTTGAGGCAATGCTGACAGGCGAACTGGGCGAACCTTGGAGTGGTGGGATCAAGTGCAGGTAGCAATTCCGTTGAATATTGGCCTGGTAAACGAATATTTAATGCCCTGATCCTCGGGAACGTGAGATGCGGCTCATACCATTTTCCTTCTCGCAAAAAATGAGACTAACAACGCCCGAGGAGCAAGATGAGATTTCTCTCAAACTTCTCGGAAGGAAGGGCAAGTTTGAAGCTTACTTCACGCTCTTCGACGAACTATCTCTCAAGGAAAGCACATTTAGTTGCAATTATATTTCCTCCTCACCTACCCATCAGCATGTGCTATCAACCGCCATACTGCTCAGAAATAACATAGAAAAGACAAGACAAGAGACCATGACCCAAATATCTCATGAGAATCGGGCGATTGGACAGAATGTCGGCAACATCATAAACAGGGCAGTACAAGCAATGGTGATGATTGACTCGGCGGCTCAAGAATGGCACCCTGCAAACTTCGTGCTTGGAGGATACCATCCCACTTCATGGCTACCACAAGAGTCATTTGTTTCGTTCATCGAAAGATCAATTCCCTGTGCCCCCGATCAATCATACAAAAGATTTGAGGCCATCATTGGCCACAAGTCAAAGCTCAAAGCTTGGAAGCTGAAAAAAAGGCTGGGGATCTGCTTTCTGCCAACAAATGACCTTGCATGTCACCTTCTTCTCAATGAGAAAGATAACACGCTCTATCTCTTCCATCAGGTGGCCTACTTGAAAGCACATTTAGAGCAGTTTCAAAGCCATGCGAGTCCTCTAGATATAACTGCGCTAGAAAGTCTAGGCCGGTATGCTCATTCAAGTTACCTATTACAAACGGGAGAATCATTCCGTAGCTAATATTGATGGCAGTGGAACTCTGCCGCCCCAGCTCCTGTTTGAGACTTTACATTCGTTGCAAGACATTCTCTTCCCTCTCACAGATCATCGGTCTGAGAAGATCCTCCGAAATCTGATTAGTAGGAACGGTTTTGACCCTGAATGTTGCGAGTACGACGGCTATAATGTCTTCCACAAGGGAGTGAGATACATGTACTGGGGAGAACGGATTGCCAGGTTGTATGAGCTTGCGAAGAGACGGCCACCAAAAAACAAACTGGAACGTTGGTTTGACCGTAGAAGTACCGATGGAAATGCTTTCTCTATTGCTCTGCTGGCTGTTGGTATCTCAATATTGGTCGGGATTGTAACGATTTTGATGAGTGGATTCCAGTCATGGATTGCATGGATGGCTTGGAAGTACCCCGCAGTAGTACAGGCGTAGGGTTATACAGATTGTATCTTTCATTTAAACGTTGTTGCTATGACAATTTAAGTTTACTTCTCAATCAAAAGCGACTGGAAAGGCCATTTCAAGAAATAAAAGGCTATATAATGTACTGCCGACTCTGTTAACCTATAGACTATCCATGCAGTAACCGTTTTCATTCCCGTGTTGGTCTCCTTTGCGTCTGAGTGAGGCTTATCCCTGCAGTTACTTGCAGCCATATACTCGCTTCCTCGGCTAGGCCTGGCAATACCTGTAAACTAAATAACTCCAAACGCTCGCTCGCTTTCCCGAATAGATATCCTACATATTTGCATGCTAGAAAAAGCCCTAAGGGCTAGAGCACTCAGAATCAGCCCTCTCATCAACCTGCTCAATCCGACCCGTCTTGACATCATAAACATATCCAGTAATCGGAACATCCAAAATCAACGGGCTCTTGCGCAAGAAGGCAACGTCATCAATAACACTCTGCCGCAAATCAGAGAACGGAAGAAACGCCATGTGGTCCACGTCTTCTTTTAGTTCTCGTCTGATCTTGGACCGGAAATCTGTGTCGGAGAAGCTCTGCATGCCGCAGCCGGTCTAGAAGCGTGGGGTGTCAGCCGGGCCGGTCACTATCTTCCATTGGGGGGGGGGGGGGGCAGCTGAAAATATGGCCTTATGATATTGCCGTGGGAATGGAAAACATCGAATAAAATTGAATGAGGCGGTCTTACATGGTGCATGACAATAATCTCACGCGTGCCCAGCATCTGCTGAGAAATCAAGATTGATCGAAGAGCTTCGACAGCACGACCACCAGCTGTAACTGTCAGCTTTGCAGGTGAGACAAGAAAATTGGAGTACGTACCATTTCGGATGACATGGGCATCGCCAAGGTCTAGGCCCAGTACTTTCTCAACGTCCAATCTGCTGTCCATGCACGCTACCACTGCTACCTTTCTGGGAAAATGTTAGGCCCTCGATCCTAGGGCGCGGGTGTTAGATCACTTACCGACGGGGCGGAGATGGTAAGTGGGACTGTGTAAACTTTGCTGCATATTTGCGATTCGCAGCTTCAAAGTCAGAAGTGACGGAGGGATGGAGGACTGGTGAGGATACGGGTGAAGTGTCAAGTGCAGGCATCTTGGTCTTGAAGAAGGCCATTGAAAGAAGCTGTACAGATGGAGATACAAAAGCTTGTTTATCAAAGAGGGTCTTGTCTGTTAAGTAAAGAATAGAGCCAAGAGCCAAGAGAATGCCAATTCTTGCGTTCCATGCACGACTTCTTATCCTCGAGTCCGCACCAATATATAAAACCCTCCGTTTCACAAGACCAATCCAGCTGGCCCGTCCGGACCGTCATCCCCAAACAGCGGCGTCCTCCGACCCCGAGATAAATCCCCGCACACACACTTTTTCTGCAGTAATATTGTCTGAGATTCTGCACATGGTGTTGACAGATCATGCCATAAAAAGAAATGTTACCTGGCTGTCAGGTACACCCACCAGGGGGAAGGGAGACCGGATGTAAAAGGTGGCAGCCATTAAGAGGCAGGCTATTGCATGCCATGGCACCATAATGGCTCGGCGATAGCTCACTTGACCTCGATCTACGACTGAAAAAAGAAAGTCTTTCGGATTTCCAAGGAATAACCACGACTAGTGAATTAGCCAAGGGTGTGTGTTTGCTGGCTATGGTGCTTGGCTTTACGAGGCGGATTGTTAGTGGTTGGGAAAATCCGGGGTAAAATGACTATGTCACCGCGTAGATCCCGGCATAACACCGTATCACTATATCTGTGATAGCCAAGACGCTTTTTCTTTATAGTGGTGTACAAATGATACTCTGTTTCCTCTAGTTTTGTATATCCCCTCTTTCACTTCTCCTAGATAGAGCCGAAGATGATGCTCTTTTCAAAAGTGACGAGCCTGCTTGAGGTTCGCTCTCGATCAGCAGAGTATCACCGCGGTACAAGAAGGCTACCGTCGGCCCGGTTGAAGTCCTGTACAGAAATCCCGGCGGTCTAGATGCGCATGTTGGACATGGCTGTTGCAAAATCTCGCAGCTAGGCGTTGAAGATTCGAGAATGATTGCGGCAGGGGACTTGAGCTGCACCCCGCGGATTAGCGTCACCGTTGTGAGCTCGTGTAGCCAAGGAATCTTACGGGATTATTACGCAAGCCATAGAAAACTGTAGCCTACTCCATCTCACCACTGTTCCTCAAGATCCATGTCGTAAATTCATCTGGGGGGTGAGAGGCTTGAGAGTGACCACGCTATTGGTTTCGTTGCTAGCACGACGAGTATTTCACCCCGAAAAGGCATGTCGACAGCAAGCACCGCTGTTATATAACAGCTCACTCACGGAGGGTATGACTTGTACCACCAAAAAGGCGTAGCAAGCTGAGTCCGACGGGTTCCGAGCCCTGCAGTGGTCAGATATCAAATCTAAGCCGCTCGGACCAAGATACTCGACGTGTCGGGCTGTCGATTAAGCATCCAGCTTTTACCAGGGTCGTCTCAGATCACCCGATCGACCATCTTATTCCCCTCCATTTAGGCAGGTCATCAAAAACTCGAGAGTGACAGCTCTATAATGTGGGTTGTTAAATACCGCTTATCGAACCACCCCTGCTTTCTTTCAAACAAGCTTTTGATGTTGGGGTAGACTCGACTTATTCTATACAGCTGTAAAGTTGATATCACGTTTAGTCCAAATATTTCAATGTAAAGAATACGAAAATGATCAAAGTCTATTGGCCTTTCGGTTCCCCACGTCTAGATACCGTAGTGAATAAACGGAACCCAGGCCGGTGATGGCTCGATCTTGTGTCGCAGGAGAATAGCTAAGGAAGCCTCTCTAGACCATCTCTGACCCCGGGTCTCGACCCCGGACATGATTTTCTTGCTTACCCGAACACCTCTAGATGCTTTGGTCGCTACTCTCCTCCACCTTGTCCCCAAGGATCTCGACATGCCTTTAGCGTTTGCTCTACTCCGAACTCGTCTTCTTTCAAATCTAACTCCATGAACCATAGGCTCTCTGATGACAAAATTGTTGTGAGCATCATCACTCATACCTCTACTATGCCCTTCTTGATCCATCTTCTCCAGCCACTTATCCCTCAGTCGACGGCTCGCCTCATGAAGCCCCCAAGCTACAGAATGATCTGACATCCGGCCATCCTTGATTCCTTCATATACTACCTTGTCATTGACCTCCCACAGAGTACCTATAACATGTTGGAAGCCGGCGAGTTGAAAGGCACTGATGAGATGAACGCTCTCATCCATGAACTGCTCCTGTTGGATACGGCCCGTTCCACAAGCCGACAGATATGCTAGAAAAGGTGGCTGATCCTTTAGATTCAAGTCCAGTAGACCACCGACCCGCAGTGGATTCGTCACGACATCTTCGAGACACAAATAGCTCCTCAGCGGGTCTTGAAATGTCAGTGCATCCGTGACCTGCGAAATGAAAGAATTTGCACTGGCGAAGCTGGTCGATAAGTGCTGCTTTTCGTCGCTCAGGCTCAAGAACCTCTAGTCCAATCGACAAACAAACATCTTTGACGGCTTCCAATTCCTGGTTGGCAAACGCCAAACGTGATAGCGTTGGTGTAGTCTCCATAGCCACAACTACTGCTTTGTTTGTTTCTCGTGTTGGTTTTCGTCTCTTTCGAGCTTGTATCATAGCCTTGACCGAGGAAGCATAGGATGAAACAACCCTATCAAGTGTCGTCTCCTTTGTTCTTTTCCTGTGATATCCAGCTGCATGTAACGGGAACTGTTTCAGAAGACCAGTAGGGATCCACCAAACATGCGGCCAGTTGTCACCTTTCGGAGTCTCTGAAAAGCCAATTCTATCTAATACAGGACAGACAATAGTGTCCCAGAGCTATTCAAAGACATCAGGACTACCTCTGTCTCCGTTCAAGACTTTCTCTTCGATGTCGGCTCGGCTCAAGCCGTCTATCGGTATGATCTGAATACAGTCAGGCATGATGACAATAGCATCACAACATATAATGCTGATGTTGATGATAATAATCGGTCCTCGATCTGTTATGTCCTGCATTTCGTCAAGTCCCGGTGCCTGTAAAAAGGTATCGAAGTTCGGTAATTTGCGAATCTTTTCAACTAATTCATCAAACTCCTTTCCTGCGTCATAGAGGCGCAGCGCCAGTGCTTCTCTCAGTCCAGTACTTTGTGTGGCAGAAATATCAGGGTCAACTGGGCGATTGATCTCCTTTCGAAGACGTTCGAATTCGGCTGCATGTTCTGGATGCGACTTTTCTAGGTCCACGATATCCGTCTGCATTTACTCTGTGGATACTCCAAGTAAACCTTGGCCCTGTTCAAGGAGCTCCAAGGCATCTACCACCTGTCCAGCCTGTATAGCAACAGCAACCGCATCTGATGTAAAACCAGCCAATTCAGCGAGAGAACTCTGGCGATCGGAGTTGTCTTGCTGCCGTGGTATGATACGTGGAATGAGACCCATGACGAGTTTCGCAGCGTTTAGGCTTCGCTGTCTATCGTGGCATATTGGTAACAGACACATACAGGCCTGGATACGGCAAAGTGGTGGTGCGTTTGATTGCTTGATAGCTTCTTAGAAACAAGGTATCGATTCGTCGATGCCAGTTGGAGTCTTGCCCGTTGCCTGAGCTGCCAGAAGACCAAGACCTAAACCGTAGAGTAACTCTCCTCGATCTGGATGAGATTCCGGTGTAGCTTCTAATGCTTCCTTCACAACGGATATCCACTCATCAACACCATCGCCATCGAACGTTTCAGAGCCTTTCTGTATCGGTCCATTTGCAAGGCGATGGAGAAAGATAGCTCTATAAGGATGCGATTTTGGTGTGCTGTTGACTGCTTCTCTCAGTGACTCAATTCCAGCATCAAGGTCTTTCATATCCTTCGTGACGGTGGATTTGCCAAGTCGATTCTCCTTCTGAGGCCTCCTCGACCGCCTGCCGAGCCAGACTAACGACTTCGTCCTTGTCGGCTAAAGAAGTTGTTCTGTGTGGCTTGTCCCCCGGAAACCTGAGAATATGCGCTAGCAACTGCATCGAATGGTTGTTGCCAGATACCTACCATACAGTAGCCATACAGCCCGTTGAAATGGCGTCTTCAACAATATCCACGACTCCAGGGGCGAGACTTGAGTATTTAAAGTGAATTGACTTGGTACATCTCGTAGAAAACATCATATGTCTTGCCTTCAATCAATCAGGACTCTCTACAGTAGAAGCGAAATACAGCCTCCCAGGCGTATTAGATAGTCTCTAGACCGTGTGATATTGAGGGTAAACTTCGTCGAGTTCGTTAGCAGCTGTGCTGACCTCTTCTGCTGGCTTCATAGATTGCCAAGATCCTCAGTCTTATCCTCTGCCAAATATATGTTCTTCATTAGATTGGGAGGGTAAAGCAAGCAGGTTGTCCGAAGCCCAGGTTCATGATCATGGCGAGTGAGTCGACAGCTTTTAAACGATGTACTGATCGCCGCTTCGTTTAGATCATTCATGTCACCACCACATTCCCGGTGCTTTCTACCAAGCTCTCTAGCATAGCTAATTAGATGGTTCAGCTTTCCATACTCAGCATCAGGATCAAAAATCTTCTCCGATTGTGTCCCACGAGGCTGAGGGCAATCATATTGTAAGGAGGCAGAGAATGGTTTTTATGAAAATCCGAATCAAGTTTGAAAATCCTGAGTTGGTATCGCTTAAAGTCACACTGCGTTGTCCTTACTGCACCTACATGAGCCTCAGGCTTGAAAGTCAACCTCAGCTGAGATGCCTTGGCGCTTACAGTGGCATGCCTTATTTGCGGCTGTGTCAACATGCCTTGGGCACGGTTCGCATTTCGACCCTAGCTCACGAAAGGAGAATGAGGTATGGAGGATACCACGCATGAAAAGGAAGAAGAAAAGGAAAAGAAAGAGCGCTTTTTTTCCTTGAAGACGGGGCAGGAAGAAGTTGTTATTCCTTGGGTAATTTCTTCAGTGACGTCAAAGCTTTTAGGGGAGAGAAGAAGGTTAAACCGTCCCACTGTTCTTATTTCAACGACCATCAGTCCAGTGGCTAATGCCGCCACGCAGCCTTGATCTCGCCTGTCAGACTGCATTGCATTGACTGCCCGCGCAGGCTCCATCTCCCGTTCCTCCCTATTTCTTTTGGTTCAAAGTCTTCGTAACCGGACCCAGCGTAGGTAAACTATGGCTTGGGCCACGCGCCCATCTAGCCGTGGCGACTTTGAGATTGCTGTCATATGCGCTCTAACGATCGAGGCCAATGCCGTCGATGCTCTTTTTGACTGTCACTGGGATGACGAGCGCTCCTATGGTAAGGCTCCCGGCGATCCCAATGCCTACTCTGTTGGCTGCATCGGCAGCCACAACATCGTCCTGGCCTATATGCCCGGCATGGGGAAGGCTAACGCCGCAGCCGTTGCAGCCGGGTGTCGTGCTAGCTTCCCTAACATTAAGCTCGCTCTCGTCGTTGGTATCTGCGGGGCGGCGCCCTTTTTGCGTGGAACTGGAGATGAGATTGTGCTTGGCGATGTCATCATCAGCGACGGGATCGTCCAATACGACCTTGGACAACGTCTTCCCGAGCGCTTTGTACGCAAAGACATCCTTTCGCAATCTTTAGCAAGACCTAGCATGGAGATCCGCTCGCTGCTAGCTAAGCTCAAGAGCAGACGCAGCCGAATGAAGCTCAGAAGTAAGGTAGCTACCTATGTCCACAAGCTTCAGAAACTGCCAGACTTGAAAGCGGAGTACCCAGGCGCTCAGCACGACAGGCTTTTCGAATCGACTTACCGCCATCTTCGCGACGGGATGGCATGCGAAGAGTGCGGCTGTAGCGGTGAACTGGTGTCCCGCTCAAGCTTCAATCAGAGCAGTCGACAGCCTTCGGTCCATTTCGGCTTAATCGCGTCCGGTGATACAGTCATGAAGGCTGGGGAGGAGCGTGATGATATCGTTCAACGTGAGGGCGTTGTCGGGTTCGAGATGGAGGGTGCTGGGATATGGGACATCTTCCCTTGCGTGATAATCAAGGGGGCTTGTGACTATGCAGACAGCCACAAGACTAAGGGATGGCAGAATTATGCTGCTGTGACCGCGGCGGCGTGCGCGAAGGGTTTCTTGGAGGACTGGGTGCCTTCAGTTACTTCTGGTGTGTGATACCGTTACAAGCGCAATGCGTTGAATAGGTTACTAAACTTGTGGTGATAGACATTCATGGCGCTACCGGTATCCCAGTGCCTCCGGTACCTACTTTCAATCCTCCCTGGCAAGCCAAGTCAATTGAAACCAGCCGTCCTCGGCCAATGGAGCCACTTTCTGTAGCAGCATTCGCCATGCAAATCGTCGATTTTGGTGCCAAGGTTCTGTCCAAGGCTGATGAAAGTATTGGGAGAGGTAAGACTATTGACAATAAAGCATTGGCAGATATTACCAAAGACCTGGAGAACTCCTATGACAATCTCCGAAAGTCATTGCGCCCAGCCCATGGATCGATATATAACCCTCTCATAAATCTCGCGAATGAATGCCAAGCGGTCGCCTTTGAATTGTTAGAGGCACTGAAAAAGCTGCCCGGGGCTGAGGACCAGAGCCAATGGCGAAGCTTCCGTCAAGCCATGTTGGGGATATGGAAAGCGGAGCACATTGAAGCGATGGAACGGAAGCTTGACATATTTCGGCAGCAGCTGATTCTTGGAATGTTGGAAACTCTGCGGTAAGCACGTGAGGTCCATCTTTAAGCGTATGCAAGTCCAACTGAGCCCAGAAAACAACTGCGAGAACTGTACGGACAACGCATGGCCAGTGAGAAGTCTTTCGATGTCGAAATCGGCCAGTCTTTTCTCAATCGTCTCCAAGAAACCGAACTTATGCAGCATGAGCTAGTAAAAGACATTGAGGGCAGATTGCGTCAAGTAATCCAGACGCAGCATGAAGCGATGCAAGCTTCGGAGTGGATGACTAGCCCAGACCCGCCTCGGCAAGTTTTTGATCGACTGAAAGTGAGATTTCTTTGGACTCTGAAATTCTCGGGGATGACAAATAGACGCGACAGAATCCCCGTTGCTACTCGGAACACTTTCGAGTGGGTCTATCGAGTCCCTGAGGATGGCCAAATATGGTCGAGCTTTGTGGACTGGCTCCGCGAGAAAGACGGCGTTTACTGGGTAACTGGTAAGCCTGGGTCTGGGAAGTCCACTTTGATGAAGTTCTTGCAGGAGGATGCAAGGACAAAACAAAATCTTGGGCAATGGTCCCAAGGTCACCCCTTGACATGCGCAAGCTTCTACTTCTGGAACTCGGGAACGGAGATTCAAATGTCAAATGAAGGCTTAACTAAATCCCTACTCCATCAGATATGCGAAACAGCACCTGACCTGATCCCCCAAATCTTCCCCGACCGATGGGAGGCCTTGAATCTATTTGGAGCAACAAATGAGCCATGGACGACGTCCGAACTACTTGGCGGCCTTCGAACGATTTGTACACCCGAGTTCTCTAATAGGAGGTTTTTCTTTCTCATTGACGGGCTGGATGAATTCGATGGGGATGAGAGCGAGCTTATCGGCCTGGTAGAGGCAATGCAAGCTTGTAAGCACGTCAAAGTCTGCGTCTCAAGCCGCCCTTGGATCCAATTTCAGCAAGCCTTCGGGTCCAACCCGAATCTACGACTGGAAGATCTCACTTTGCCGGACATCAGGATCTACGTTGAAACAAACTTCAACGCCAGTCCAGGATTTTCTGAGATTCGACGACGAAGTCCTACCTCGGCCGTTGACCTTTTCAATGAAATAGCGGATCGAAGTTCCGGAGTCTTCCTCTGGGTGCATCTCGTTGTTAAATCTCTACTACGTGGCATTTCGAATGGCGATAAGTTTTCTGATCTGCAAAAACGACTTGCTGAGCTTCCGAGGGACCTAAAGGCTTTGTTCCAAAGGATTCTGGAGAGCATCGAGCCCCGATACAAATCTCACGCCTCGCAGCTATTTCACATCCATCGTGAGCATGGATCCATCAGTCTCTTACGGCTTGCCTTTGCAGACGAAGATGACGATTTCCTGAAGGCAAACGACGAACACACATCATTAACAACGGATGAGTTTTTCTTCAGATGCGAGCAGATGAAGAATCGGGTTGATAGCAGAACTAAGGGTCTGCTAGAAGTCACGAAATGGTCACCGGTGGAACGATCTCAAAGGTATGATTCCTTATTCGACATTCTAATCTACAACGAAAAGCCTCATAACCATGACTAGGACGCTGGAGGTTCCAGCAGGCCTTAGATATAAGTGGCAGGTTCAATATCTACATCGGACGGTCAGGGATTTCTTCTCGCAGCCCCAAATCTGGTCGACACTCTCAGAATCAGCTCCCGGATTTGACCCCTATCTCTCGCTTTGCCGTGCTTTTATACTTGAGATCAAATACTTATGGTCTGTAGACGCGTCGACTACTATTCTGCAACAATACATTAATTCGGCGATGATGCTCGCCTCGATGGCCGATGTCAGGAGCCGACAGACCCTGATTGCGCACTTGGACGCTGCCAATAGCATTGTAGCGTCTCTACAGAAGAAGGGTAGTATCGCGCTTATTCCTCTGGACTCCCTTCGGACTCCTCAGCACGCCGCTCTATTCCCCATCGCCATTGAATTCGATCTTGATTTCTACGTTGAGCATCTGCTCTTGAAAGGCCACCCGGTCAAATCCAGGAAGCAGTTCGACCCTTACATCTCGTTCGGTGTAGAGAAGCAATTCCCTAAAACCTGGTATTCTGGAGATGTCCTGTGTCTAAAGACTATTGAAGTCAAGGACGGCTATCACCCAGTCAGTAGTCAGACTTTGCGACTTCTCGTCAAAAATGGAGCAACGCTCTATGAGAAGCGTAATGATGAGCCGTACCTCAAGCATCTTCGACTCGAGTTTGCAGAAACTTGCTGTAAGGTGGTGAGCGTTATCGGGGGAGATGTTCCATTGATGGAGCGTTGGTTGGAAGTGGTAGAACTATTCATTTCTCTTGGAGCAGACCCTTCCTTCTTCTGGCGCATTCTTCCGGAGCGGAAGGTAAAGGAACTTGCTAGGTTGGCACCTGATCTCGAAGTTAGACTACGGGAAGTCCTCAAGGTTACAGATGACCAACCGTACTCGGATAGTCCAGCTAACTCTCCAAGACTTGGAGCATTAGAGAAACTCAAGAGGCGAAGGATCGCCAACTTGGCTGCCGCCGCCGCAAAGCGTACAAGGCGATAGTGGATGTATTAGTCAGCCTGAGTTGTCTCAGGAATCAAACATCAGGTGGAAGGAACAAGAATGGAAGAATCATAAGTATACTATGTTATACCTCAAACGCTTTTGCTCGTCTCAAGGATGGCTTTCCAGAGACATCTGCATTGCAAGAAGTGAAACAGGGTTCCTCAAGAACTACAATGATTTACTATCTTTATGTCCCAGAGAAGACGGGAGTATAGCATGTTCAGAAAGAAAATGCGATAAGATTGTCCGTCGATTTATCAAGGTAAGCAGATTCCATATTGACTGCTCCAGACTAACACGACCTCAGAATTCTGACAATATTTACAACGATCCTCATGTCCAAATCTTCTCTCGTTCCTCGACGATCAGAGTAGCTCAAGCGATCTTGAGCCCGCTCATCGTGTTCTTATTACTGGCACCAGTGGTGATCTGCAATATTATTGATAGTTAGCCAGCGAGATTAGCCATCATGATAATATCGACTGCTGCATTTCTTTGTTGCATGTCTTTGTTGACGAATGCCGAAACGGTTGAGTTGGCTGTAGCTGGAGCAACGTGGGTCTCCTGTCCCATGGCCTGGGGAAGTACTAAATTCAGAGGCAGCTACACAACTGTTAAGATAGTTTTTGTTAGTAGTACTGATTGAAACTGAGAGCTTTGGGTCTTGCCTTCAACAACCATATACAAATTTCAATTTCCCTAAAAGGCATATTCTCGAACTAGTCTAACAAATATCATAGTTGGACAGCCAACTACACAACTCCATCTTCAACTTACAGTGAATAATTGTAGCCTGGGCCGCAATAAGGAGCATACATATCTTGGGCCTATAGATACAGAGACAAATATTTATGCATAACACGAGTCGAAGAAAAATGTAGGGAAAGTGAGCGGAAATAGCTCCACAGCGAAGACGATAGGTGTGTGAATCACAATTGGATAGTAAGTCGGAATAATGAGATGGAAGACGACATTGCTGTTGTCACCAGCAGTTTCAACAAGCGCTTGCCTGTCCGCTCTCATTCTGACACAAATCGTGGCTAGGTCGTGATGATAGCCACCGAAGTTGGGACCCAGAGGATCATCTCTCTGTCTTCCTTCGAAGTCTGGATACCAATTGGTATTGGGGTTCCAGACATAGAAGAAGTGACTCTCTCCGTTTGTACGCGACTCCAACGGTGCCATTTCGTTCCGAACAAATCAGTGTACATATGTCCCGAAGCCATCGTCAGCCCAGCCTTAAACCTTGGCTATGTTTGAAATCGCGAGCTCGTCTTTGATCCCATCGAGACTTGCGCCAATTCTTTTGATAGACTGCGCAACATCCAGGAGAATAAGAGGCACGGCACCAACGGTGGCGGCTTGGAAGTATGCAATGACTTCTGGGGTTGAGTTGAATGCGTTGGCGACGTGTCGAATCTCTTTTTGTTCAATAAGCTCAAGGACCTTGGGTATGGCTTTCTCCATTTCCTTGTACGTCGTCTCCTTCTGCGCCGCTGCCTTTCCTTCTTTGAGCTCAGTTGAGATGGCAACCAAGCTTGAAATAGCTGGCAGCCCATACATCAAAAGTTTCCCTGCGATCTGTCCGGCGCTGATTGTGCTGATTACGTCCATTTTGACGGTACGGTTCAGGGATAAGATAAACTATTACAGTATGATTCGGAGAACCGCAAAATGCTTTCTTTTCGTTGGTTTTGTCTTTGATGAATTCGAATCACTTATGAGGCTAGAGGATTAGATAAAAGCGATTGAAAAATGCCTTGCCGGTTGCCTCCTTTTCTTATGGCGCCCGGGGGACGGCGCGAAAAGGGCTGCAAGCGCCAGTCTTGCAAAGCTTGACCTTCAGGTCACAGGTGAGGCAGCCCTTTCAATAGCCTTTATCATTTTTTCTATTTTGCTTGTTATTCGTTGGTTTGTGGAAGATGGTGGTTGTTGGCCATTCTATGGGCCAACACTGGTCCTACGTGCGCGTCTGGCCAAAACTCGGACCCAGAAACGGGCGTCGGCCGTACAAGGCAGACTTTTACCCATAATAGAAGAACGCTGATAATATTTGAATAAATACTACGCTTCCAAGACAGTGATGAAATGCCACCTACAAGCTGGCCGGTGAGGCTGAAAGCAAAGCCGGCTGACCAACATCCTAATGCAGTGATGTATCCACCAACTACTCCTGAAACGATATGAATACATATTGGAGGCCTATGAAGGGTTGTTTAACATGTGTAGCTACATCATTGGGATACAGCGAGACTCGAATTGGCCCCCCATTCTCCAGCAAGGGATCTGTTAGACAAGAGATGAGAAAACTGGCAAAGCTCTCATTTTACCCTCGCAAATCTCGAGAGCTCCAAATTTTTCTTTTTTTATCTTCTCCGTGCACATGTCATATTGACTATTGAGGTTATCCATATCTAGGTAGACCCTGCTGCACGCCAGCTTGTTGTCCTTGATTCCAGCCTTGTTTCTGCCGTAACGTCTCACTGTGCCAGTAATCATGAACAGCTTGGTTCTTATCCCCCATCCTGGGCCATATCGACTCTGGTAACACTGCTCCCGATGGTGGTTGGTGTCCTTCTAATGGTGCACTCTTGTCTGTCATTCTGTTCTGAGATCTCTCGGCAGCTCGCTTTCGCTTGGATTTTCGTCGTCGGTCACATAGAATGATGCTCATGATGAGGAGTAGTACACCAGCTAAACAATTAGTCATGAGCGTATAGATGAGAGGACTGTCTTACCTAACACACCAAGAGCAATGATAATCTCAAGTGCTCCAAAGATCTTGGTTCCAGGCTGACCAGGCGAGCCATTATCTGAGTTGCTTTCCTGTGTAACTGTAACAACAGGTGAATCTGCAGTTGCCGTACTCTCTGATTGGGCAGTTGGCTTGGGTACAATGGTTGTGAATATCGTGGTCTGTTCGACGGCGGAAATGATTCGCGAGAGCTGTAGATCCAAGGCCGCATCTTCCATATTCATTGAAGCCATTCGATATACCGGATAAGACGGGGGACTGAGATGCTTTGCGAGACTTTTTTTTATCGAAGGGAATGCTACCAGAGCTGAACTGTCTGAATTAAAATTAAAGAATTAATAAAAAAGACCGTAAGAATGGAATTATTCGAAATGAAAGTCGTGTCGCTTCGTGATACCAGATCAACGTGCGCGGGAAAGGAAAAGGGACCAAAAAGAGCGAGGGTCTCGCAGATATGGAGTTATATTCTCCTCGTATAGTTTCTGTTAATAAACACAGCCATAATAGCAGGTTGAGGCGAAACCGGGTGGTGCCTGAGGTGGCATTGTGAGACGGGAGATCAAACACGCCCAACCCCTGGTCACAGGCGGTTTCAGTGGGATTTCGGTAGAGCACCAAGCCGGCTGTCCTCTCTTCCGGCGGCTGCCTCTGTACAGCTGACGCCCTGGTTTCAGAAATGTCAGCTTGGCTGGACTGCTTTTTACGAGCGCCAAAACATGAAAGTCCCTTATTCTTCACCGCATATGAATGTTGCTGAGATCTGAGGTGTCGATTGAAACCCCGCCATGGCTTGTGCTTGACAGCGGTTATCGGTTGTTCGGAGCGCACTGTTTCCATGGTCAATTGATGGGCGGTGCAGGTGTCAACCGCGTCAGCTGTTTCATTTCCATCTTTATTTTTTGTCGCTATTGGAAGAGATTTGGATGCTCAGATCGGGTAGAGTAGCACGCGACTGTTGTGTGAGGGACTGTAAACAGAGCCAAGACGGTCGTGTTTCTGCTTGATGCGGGGCATCAACTTGGCAGAGATCTAGCCCTGTAGGCCTCGGATGGGCTTCGGATGATGAGTCTCGGAGCCGTCGTTGTAGCATGGAGCCGAGTGGTAAGCATCCTTTGATGATTGTATATCTGGTTGAACCTTAAAAGGTTCTCAACACTGGAAGTTTTCCGGCAACTGGGATACGAAAACTGGGAGACATCGTAGAAGATTATGCCCACGAATGTGATGGGCTTCTCTGGAATTTGTTTTACTGGAATTCTGCTGACTTTAATAACAAAAACGTGATAAATGATAATGAAGTATTATTTTTATATATAGATCCTAACAGATCTTGAGTTACGCTCCAGAACGTGTCTAATCTATAGTCTTTTATTAATCTGGTTGCCGCCATAGGGTAGATATTCATTCATGACGCACTCCACACTGACCACCAAACGATCTTTGCACTCTAGCTCCAAAGACAGCAGCATGGTATAGAAAGATATCGGCACTTCCGGAGGGCCGAGGCCGAATGTCATTATCTTTACTACTACGTCGTAAGTTCAAACTAAAGAGATGCCATTGGATCCCGGGTAAGCTCTCGAGAATATCCCCATCTTCACTTAACTACCGATCCGGGAAAGCCGCAAGAGATGCGGGGGCGAGCGGAGGTTTAGCTAGCCCAGAATGCGGAAGTTTGGAGATGGCCGACTTCATTCTTCCGTCCTCGTGGTGATTCAATTGCTTAAATACTGCTCTGCTGCTCGAATTGACCGGATGAGTGTCGCGCTGTCTCTAAACACTTGCGCTTCTTGAGCTATCAAAGGTGAGCTTGCGCGACAGTAGACAATGAATACGGCTAACCATTTGCAGCATCGCAATCGGCGTCATGGCTGTTGTCGACATCCTCTTCACCTGGTGGTCAATCCCCATCGCCGCAGGTGTCCTCATTGCGACCTATCTCTACTCATATTTTGTGACCTACGGCCATCTGAGAGATATCCCGGCGCCTTTCCCAGCGCAGTTCACGAATCTGTGGCTTCTCTACGTGTGCAGGCGTGGTGAACGATATCGCGTCGTGGATGAGATTCACAAGAGATTAGGTCCTGTCGTACGAATCCAGCCTAACCACACCTCCATCGCGGATCCCGATGCAATCGCCACTATATATGGCCACGGAAATGGCTTCTTGAAGTCGTGAGTGTCCCGCATCTTCAGGTCTTCTCATAACTAATAAGCGGTAGTGATTTCTACGATGCATTTGTCTCAATTCGTCGCGGTCTCTTCAACACGCGCGATCGCGCTGAGCACACACGAAAGCGCAAGCTCATCTCTCATGTCTTCTCCGCCAAGTCAATTAGCCAATTTGAGCCGTACATCCACGCCAACCTCGAGCTCTTTGTCAAACAGCTCGACAAACTTGTCGCATCAGGCCAGACTACCGATAAGAACGGAAAGCGACAAGCGCTTATGGATTGTCTCCCGTGGTTCAATTACCTCGCATTCGATGTCATCGGCGATCTTGCGTTCGGGATACCCTTTGGCATGCTCGCAAATGGCGCCGACGTAGCCGAAGTTCGAGCGACGCCTGATAGCGCGCCTATTTATGCCTCCGCGATTGAGATTCTGAACAGGAGAGGTGAAGTCAGCGCGACGTTGGGTTGCTGGCCGCAATTGAAGCCGTATGCGCAATGGTTGCCCGACCCGTTTTTCAGCAACGGCCTCAACGCAGTCAAGAATCTCGCCGGAATTGCGATCGCACGTGTAAAGGCAAGATTGGATAACCCGCCATCCGTTGAACGAAAGGATCTTCTCGCGCGACTCATGGAAGGCAGAGATGAGAAGGGTGAGCCGTTGGGTCGCGAGGAGTTGACGGCCGAAGCTTTGACGCAGCTCATCGCTGGCAGTGACACCACGTCTAATTCATCATGCGCTTTACTATATCATGTCACGCGAACTCCAGGCGTACTCGAGAAACTACAGGCCGAGCTCGATAATGCGATCCCTGCTGACGTCTCGGTTCCTACGTACGACATGGTTCGCGACCTAACCTATCTCAACAACGTCATCAGTGAAACCCTCCGATACCATTCAACATCCGGCATCGGCCTCCCGCGCCAAATTCCCGACAACTCGCCCGGCGTCACGATCAAGGGCCATTATTTCCCGCCCGGCAGCGTGCTCAGCGTGCCGACGTACACGCTGCATCACTCGAAGGAGATCTGGGGCCCTGACGCGGATGACTTTAAGCCGGACCGTTGGGATAGTCTGAATGACCTGCAAAAGACGGCGTTTAATCCGTTTAGTCATGGGCCGAGAGCGTGCGTGGGTAGGAATGTGGCGGAGATGGAGATGAAGTTGATCGCGGCGACATGGGCGAGGAGATACACTCCGGAATTGAAGCAGGATGTTATGGAAACACGTGAGGGGTTCCTGAGGAAACCATTGGGGTTGGATATTGCTTTGAAGATGAGATAGATTGGCTGTTGCTCGCTTTGGAGACTGGACACTTGTAATGATATTGGATCAATGCCAATCGTATTTTCGCCCATTTGCGTACATCATGGCCGTGGTGCTTTGGGCTCCCAATTGCACCTTCGTGAATCACTAGGCTCATTTGTGAAAAGTGGGGAACGCTTTGGGTTGCCTCATAACTCTAATTCGAATTCTGTGATGCTCAAAATGCAACCATCACCAACATCATCGCCAAACACCATCAACACCATCATGGATCCCAACATCCCCCCACCTCCCAACATCGATGACCTTCTTGTCATCGTGGAACGGTTCATGGCCTCTAATGATGCAGGTCTTCCGGGAGGAACAGCGACCCAAAGCGAAATAGACGCAGCGCAGAAGGACTCCCCCGACAAAGGGGAACCGGTTAAGCCTGGGCCTTGGCCGACCTCCCAGAAGACTTCCTCCTCCTCCTCAACCGCCCCCAAGGGCTAAACAACGATGGTCTTCTTTTTTGGCGCTCCAACGGGCTTTAAATTTCTCTTTTCATTCCTTTTTTTTGCACAGCGAATCGGTCCCTGGGCTTCGCGTCGCCTTTGATAGCTCTCCCGGGAGCTGCGGCCGCCCTGACCTTGCTCAAGAAACAAGGGCTGTTTTGTAAAGGCCCCAGGTATGTTCTTTCATTTACCTGCAAGCATTGATGACACGTAGGTTGCTAAGTATTGGCAGACCACGCGCAGTTCGTACGGTATATGCCAACCGATAACCTTCACCTCAGGCCATGACTTGCGAGCTCTTCTGCAACACTCATAATTCCGCTAGCCACTCTAAGAACCTCCCGATACTCGAGCTATCACCTTTTACGTAGCAAAAGTGGTAGGTGTTCTTAAAGATGGTCAGTCATTCAAATAGTTTCCACACAGGAGTACGTGACTGATCAATCGAAGCCCCAGACCCCAAGCGTGACGGAGAATTCCCACCTTAACAGCTGCCGGCTACCAGAACCCCCAGTTTGGGCCAAGATTTTCTTTCTTCTCCTCGACTACAGTCGCGGGTTTCACCTCACTTTTCTGACCTTGCTTCCTCTTGAGTTCAGAGCCATCTGTACTATGTCAGAGCTATAGAGACATGCCAGTTCCTCACTACCCCACGATCGCCTGGCGAAGGCCTCGCCGTTACTTTGACGACGAGGAGTTGATGTCTTGTCCTTGCTTTCACATCAAACCTCAATCATCCATTCACATCCTACGGCCATTTAGCCATGAGAACACCAGCGATAGGCTCGAGAACCACCACCATCATGGCCACTAGAGCTGAGAAGCGGAACCGAACCACGGCGAGTGATTGCCCTCAGTGAGATTGGGGTCGCCTGTGAGTTGAGACGGATGGGTATTGACGGTTCAGGGATGGGGCTGGACGAACTGGACTGAGAATATGGACAGATGTTGTTTATGCCAGTGATGATTGTATGGGAGATAACTACATCATGCATACAATAATTACCCGTCAGCGCAAGAAATATCACCATCTTGATTGTCATTTCAGTGCTAGAAATGGTACCTGTGCCAGTGTGTCCCGCCAATATCGAAGCAAGGAGCAAGCCAGGTTCCCGACAATGGCCGAAGCGATTGTCAACAGTCCCCATGGCGACATTCTTGGCGGCTGAACTGTTTTAATTCGATTTTGGTCGATCCACTTTGTTTGGTGGCAGTACAATGTACTGAAGCCCAGAGGTTGGACTGTGATGTTGCTTCGTGGATTGCTTTCTTGCGGTTCATGTTGTGCTCGTTGCCCTTGACCCTTCTTTGGTCACACTTTTGGAAGAGGATGCCCCCCAATTTTTTCCTCAACCTTTGAGATAAAGTTCACTTATAGTAATCCCGATAAATCGTCGACTTGATTTAAAAAATTCCAAGCTTGGAAGTTGATGAACATGAGTTGTATGGAAGTTCTACAGTGGCGTTGTCTGGACCATCGATGAGATCACAGATGCGCAGTTGATGCAGTCATTTGCTAAATTGAGCTGTATTTACATGTTAATATCTCAATTTATGATTCAAGATTAGGAAAACTTTCTTGGTAATGACATAATCGAGTAAAAAAGCCAGCGTTGACTGATGACCGCTGACTAGAGCGAAGCAGCAGTGAAGGTAGTCGCGTGAGTGGTTATCGAGAAAGCCGCAGAGGTTGGATATTGCCTTGGAGATGAACAGATGTGAATTGAGCTAAGTTCTGCCTTGAATTTCTGCTACTGTATCATAAAGTAATATGTGAGATGGCAAACAGACGTAGAGCGGCGAAAAAAGCTTGCTGAAAATCAGTGAGAAATGAGAAAGGCTGTATAACTAAAACAAAGCCCATGGTTCCAACCAAACAGGCTAAGGCCCGCGTGGCCTAATGGCTAAGGCGTCTGACTGTAAGATTTCCCCACCCTCAAAGTCACCTTTCCGAAAACTAACATCCCCTCCGTCTACCTAAAATTTCACAAGAAATTCAGAAGTGAATCAGAAGATCGGGAGTTCGAACCTCCCCGTGGGCTATCGTTAGATTTTTTGAATTGTTTTCTTATTTGGATATCGAATAATCGTTGTTTTGCTGTTCTGGTGATGTTTTCATGTTGTTCTGAATTTTGGCTACGGGCGCATGCGGCACAGATCGTCGGGAGGGCGGGAGACCCACATCTCTATTTCTCAGCCTTGCGATTTCATTGGGCGCAGAAAAGCTTGACCGCGATCCCCACGTGACGCATCGGCCCAATCGCAGCCTTGTCTGTGTCTTTCCGTTTCTTGCATGAACCGCCGATTAACGAGATTATGGGGAGTACAAGTCTATTGTTCTAATTGAGCTTAAGCTCCGGGAATGATTTTTAAACCTGAGTCTCCACCCAAAAAGTCTACCACGGCATGGGGATATCCTATAGAAAAAGCGACAGAAGATAAGAACAGAGAAGCGCCATTGTTGGCCTCACTTTCCGATGGCCTGCAGTTGGTTTCTGTACCAGGTCTGGGAGGGATTAGCTTTGCCATCAGTTTATGCAGAGAATGACTCACAATTTCAACACCGGATCCAACACTCTTGGGTCCAATCTGCTTCAGAATCCAAGGCGTATGGATCCTCTTCGCATAGAGCTTGGCATCCTCAGTCTTGACCTCCTTGTTCAAGATGATACTTGCAGGCAAAGAGGGGTTGATAATAGATGGCCTGCCAATTCCAATCAGATCGCAAGCGCCTTGACTCAAGGCGTCTTCTATACCCGCCCGCGTGCGGAATCCGCCAGTGACCATCAAAAGCACCTTCGGAAACTTGGCGCGCACCTCGTGAGCGAATTCGAGGAAGAACGACTCTCGCGCAGCTGTACTAGCGGCCTTCTTCTCACCAGTTCCAGTAAACATCTGCACATGTTAGAAAAGTTCTAGAGGATCTGTCTTCTGACTTACAGTTGGGTTCTCATAGCTTCCGCCGCTGACTTCCAAAAAGTCCAAGCCGACCTCTGTAATCAGAGAAATCTGCTCTAGACACTCCTGGAGCTCAGTGGGAGACTGGTGGTCTGCAGAGTTCATCTTCAGGCCGACGCAAAAGTTCGCAGGTGTTGCTGCTCGGATTGCCTTGACCACGTCGACGATGATCTTTGCCCTGGCTGCTGCTGATCCTCCATACTCATCGGTTCGCTTATTGGACTTGGCAGACAGGAATTGAGACAAGAGATATCCGTGTGCGGCATGAATCTCAACTCCGTCGAAGCCGGCGGCCGCTGCGATTCGGGCTGTATTAGCGAATCGCTTCACGACATCATCAATGTCTTCGAGAGTCATCTCCTTTGGACATCCGAAGACAAAGGTCGTCACAATCTTTGAAATAATGTCGTTCCCCATATCTAGTGGAACAGCACTCGGGGCGATATTCTTAGCCAAGAATGACTTGCTGCCAGCTCCAATGGGTGATTGTCGACCTGGATGGTTGATTTGCATGATTGTCGGCGTTCCCTTTCTTCGGCAGATACCGACGAATCTCTTATATGCCTCGAGAACCTTTTCTTCTGGCAAACTCCCATTGATAGAGCAATCAGCGAATCCACCGAGGTAGCGTTCGTCAATCTGAACATTTCCAGTCAAGATCATGCCCCAGCCTCCATCAGCCCATGCACCGTATGTACGTTCCATCTGCTCTGTTGTAGGGAGATTTTGGCGATCAGCCATTTCCTCGGCGAGGGCTGCCTTGACGAGGCGGTTAGGCAGCGTGAGACCGCATGGTAGCTCAAGGGGTCTTGAAACGAGTAGGTCCGTCATGATTTCAATCTGTGTCTATGGTGTCTATGGTTCATGAGGTGACGTTGGCTGATCTCAAGTTGTTAAATATGAAAATCTCGCCTTGTATTAGTCGTTGAGCCGAGGCCCGTGTCCGCGGACAGAGTGGACTATTGCCCAAAGGAGAAATACCTCCAGTAGACTCGGCGAGTCTTTGCTCCGATTCCATTCCCTTTGGCGAGTTAATTGATCCGCTCATTGTTTGAATCGGGATTATTTCAAACTATTTAGTTGATGGTATGTGAACATCGAGAAGTTTTTTGATATTGTTATGGTTGAGATAATTAGGTGCTTACGCTTACATGACAGCCTGCGCAGAACCGTTTCGAGACCCTCAGCTGTCAGCTATACATGACGTATCAGCGCGTCTAGAACTTGACTATCTGCGACTATGAACCTACGATAATTAATTTTAGGATATCCCGAATGTGTGCAAAGAATTTGAATTTTTTTGACGAAGCAGTTCAAGGTCGCGATTCCATATTTTGCTGCTTTTTGCTGAATTATGAAAGGAGATGAGGCGCAAAGTCTTGATTGGCAGCTCGGAAGCTAAACTTGATCTGATCGATTTGCAGCGTTAATCATTCGATTAAGTTGTTCAATATTCTCATCATTTATACAATTGGCTAGAAAATGCTTAAAATTGGTTTAATTCGGCAGGTCTTTGCCCCGAGTCCTTTTCCTCTTGAGAACTAGATCTAGGCACCCTCTAGGCATCCTATAGTACACGAATAATGAACGTCATAGAATTCATGGGGACCATGATGGAATTTTCACATGTTGTTTTAACAGATGAATTGAGATTTTTGACTTCCATATCCCTTCGAAAGCCTTGATATGTCTACTCAGAAAGGGAACGACATCTTGGGAACATAGAGCTCTTCGATATACTTGATCTCCTCATCGCTTAGTGTCACCTGAAGTGCTTCCACTGCCTGATCAATTCTTTCTTCACTTTCTAAGCCGCAGATAGGCATGAATCCCTTTGCAATCAACCAAGACTGCGCGATCTGGGCCATGGCGACACCCTTCTTCTGAGCCAACTCCTCAACACGGCCAACGACGGCTCGATTGGTATTTTGGTCTTCACTGCGGAATAGAAGCTTGAGGAATGGGTCTTTCTGTTCTCGAGCATCTGTTCTGTCTGTCCAGGAATGTGCAAGAACTGCCATCTTCTCGACTGGTTAGCTTTTCCAAATGATAGCATGGCCGAGGTCAACAAACCGAGCTGGCACCAATATAGCGAACCTTTCCACTTTCGATCACATCATTGAGTGCTTTCATAATCTCCTTCGGAGGAACATCATGTCCATCCTATGGATCTGTAAAACGTCGATATAGGTTCCCAGTCGTTCGACGCTCTGGTCCACCGCGTCAAGAATATGCTTCCGAGAGAGACCAACTCTGTTGACACGAGGACCATTGTTACTGGTGAGAGTTGCTGGATCTATAGGGCCTTTCTCCTCGTCGACAAACTGGAAGCACTTGGACATAATGACCAACTTGGAGCGGGGAATGTTATAGTGCTTGATAGCCGCGCCGAGGATCCTCTCCGACTCTCCATTCGAGTATGTATCGGCGACATCCCACGTGTTGATGCCTTTGTCGAAGGCATACCTGAGGACCGGGAGAGCCTCGTCCTTATCGAGAAGCCAGGGCTGCCAGTTCTTGTCGCCGAAACTCATGCATCCTAGGATGATTTGGGAGACCTTGAGACCGGAGTCGCCAACTCTGAAAGCTGGGTTAGTTGGCATATCCAGGAGGAGAAGGGTTCTTGAGATGCTCACCGGACATGTTTCATTTCGGACGTCATGGGGATAGAAATGAATTTAATGAACTACTCCTTCATGATTACCATGTATGTCAAACTTGGGATGGCAGTAAATGCCACTGATTTATATACATGTTCATTTCACTATTTCACGATACAAGTGATTCAAAGAATGATTTTAGCTGCAAGTCGTGGATTAGCACAATAAGCCAAGTGCATACATCGCCGCTGGTTGAACTCTCATATCTCAATCCGCGTATAGACGCAGAGAGACTAGACTAGTGAGAGCTGATCCGATCCGTATGGTGCTAATGCAACTGGCTTATCCCCCACTCATATCCAGAATCAAATCTTTAAACCTTATGCGACTGGCTTACTCCGAGGACCGATGGCCCCACCATAGATTCTCGATGGTTGCACGGCGTCATTGTGGATTGCTTCGTTTATCTCCTGATGGACTTTACTGTTAAGTCCGCAGCCTCATTGAATATGGGGTACTTCACCATTATCCGATGAGTATTAATAGAGAGAAAACGCTCTCGAAGAATTTTGCATTGAACCAACACTGCAATAAGCACTCAACAGTATCCTGTCAACAAAATATCCATCTTTCAACTTTTCAAACTACAAGTATTTCATTCACAATGGTCAAAGAGATTCAGTTTGGCGGCATCACCGTCCCATCACCTGGCTTCGGAGCCATGGGAATAAGCTTCGGTCTGGGATCCAATCTGTCTCTAGAAGAAGCTGAACCCGTCCTGCTCAAAGCCATTGAGTTAGGCTGTACCTTCTGGGATACAGCTGTACGTCCAATGAAATGAAACCCACGACATGCCATGGGCATGCTAACTTCTCGTGGCAGGTAGTGTATCAAGCTGGCGTCAATGAAAAGCTTCTTGGGGACTTCATCAGGAAACACAACGTGCGAGACAAGGTTTTTAGTAAGTCGATAAGACGTTCTCAAAGACTTGAATTTTGGCTGACTTGGTTTTCAAACTATAGTCGCTTCAAAGTGTGGTTTTGATGTCTTTGGCAAGGGAGGAGTGACCAATTCTGCCTCCCATATCAAGGAGTATATCGAAGGGACCATTGAAAGACTTGGCTTTGCCCCTGATTTGTACTATCTGCATCGAATTGACCCCAGTAAGCTTTTCTCTGCTCATGTTTATGAAAGATATCGACTCACCTATATTAGACACTCCCCTCGAAGAGTCTATTCCTGCTCTAGATGAAATCCGAAAGCAGGGAAAGACAAAGTACATTGGTCTGTCTGAATGTTCTGCAAAGACCTTGCGCAAGGCGAATTCCAGTAAGTATATCGCTGCAACCAGTGGACTTGGCTTACGAGTAATAGTTGCAAAGATCGATGCTGTCCAAGCTGAATACTCAGCCTTTGAGACACTGCACGAGACCGACGGTCTTATTGATACGGCGAAAGAGCTCGGCATCGCCTACGTCGCCTACAGCCCACTCGGACACGGCTGGCTTGTCGATGACTTTCCTTACAAGAGCCCAGATGATTTCGCACCCGACGACTTTCGACGAACAGGTACGTTTTCCTCACCGCTGCATCCTATTGCAGTTTCTTGTAAATCCCGTTTCCTGACATGTCATGCAGTCCCCAAGTTTCAAGGCGAAAACTTCTACAAGAACAAGGCTATAGTAGAAGAAATCAAGAAACTCGCTGTTCGCAAGGGATGCACCTTGACGCAAATCGCGCTTGCTTGGGTTGCTTCCCAGGGAATGATTGCTATTCCTGGTACGACCAAGGCGCACCGTTTGGAGGAGAACTGGGCATCGAGAAATGTTGACTTGACTGAGGAAGAAAAGGCTGAGATGAGGAGGATTGTTAACTCGGCGAAGCCCCAGGGAAATAGATATAGTGCTACTCATCAGGCTATGGTTGGTCACTAGATTGGTTCACCAGCAGAGTTAAAATAGCAATTTTAACTTGTTACTTGGAGGTTTCTCAGATAATCCATAACTAGACGGCTTCTTGTACAAAATATAGCCTGCAAAGTCGCTGTTATCTGATAATGAGGGCCTTCGTTTTTAGTGGCTTTGCGCAACCTGATTCTCTGTGGACAGCAACGTCATCACCACTAACTCAACTATAAGGCACGCTAAAATTTGCTTTTCTCCCACTGAAAGTTATCCCAGTGCCTTTCCCTGATTAACCCCGCCTTTTCAGCATTCGGCCGAGACAGTAAATATCACTGCTGCCTGTAATCAATTATAATTCGTCACTATGGGGATTATATTGGACTTCTGCCCTCAATCAAAATGGATTCGAGCTCAGCGATCAAGCCTCTTCCCGACCTCCGCACCCATACAGACGACTGGACTGGTGTGACTTTGAGGCACAAGAGAAAGCGGAGACAGAATAGGCTCAATCAAAGAGCATGGCGTGCGTAGGATCCATGACATGACGGCATGGCTTTACTAATAACAAGACCAACGGTAGGTCGGAGAAAGGCTACTCAGGATACATCGGATGAACGGACTGCTACAGCAGCATCTACTCGCACTTCTCACGATGATTCGGTGGTGTTGAGAGACACTTGCTCTTCAATCTTTTCCGGAGTACTGACAATTGGCGGCGGTATCTTACTAATACCCGATAAATGCGAGGCGGAGAGACTTCGAAACTTGATACAGCAGTCTCTCGAGGACTATTCACTACAAACTCTGCGCCCATCCAACTTACACATCATTATCCGCCTAAATGTTCTGAACGCCATAGCCGATAACGCCACTATAATCGGGTTTCCGAAAGAAAGTCTATGCCGCGACGAGTTCATATCGCCCTTCTGCCAGATCGGCCCAATCCGAATACCCTCCTCCAGCTGTCCCACGAGCCTTCGACCAACGTCGCTGCAGCGGTCGACTGCACATCATCCCTGGATAGACCTGTTCCCTTTCCCAAAGTTCCGCGACAATGTCATTTGTGGTGTGCAAAAAGGATTGCTCGATGATGATGAGCTGTGCGGTGACTGTTAGGCACTGAAGGAGCGGGTGTGGGAGAGCAGCCGTCGCTTGTGGTATGGACTGTCGCCTGGGATGCAACAGGTTGGGAAGTCAATGCGACGCTTGTGAGGAAATGGAGGAGCTTGATTGAAGATTGTCCTGAGATCATGGAATCGACGAATTATTGGCGGAGAACGAGGGGACAACCTGTGCTGAGGTTTGATGTTGATCCTGGGATGGGTCCATAAAATAAGAAAGGCTCTGCACAAAGTCGATAATGGCGCATTCTGATATTATCGGGCAATATGAACTGTGACGTGTTTGAAAACTAGGTTACCCCTTAGAAGCTTCTAGCTGTTGCGAGCTATCCCTCTTGGTATCTGACGGCGCCATGGGAGTAGATGCTGGCTTGGTTGTCTGACCTCTTTCTCTCATTCCTCCCTGACCCGTGTCACCCTTTAGAACAATATCATCTACCAAGAAACTGGCCAACAGACATAAAGCCATGAGAGGTATCGTGGTGATGAAGATCACTCGGAAGCCTTGCATGCGCGCATTGATGATAGCGCTTTTGAACTCTGCAGTGTTGGAGTCCCCAACAGCCCATGTGCCATCCAAGACACGGTCGCGAAGCCATTTAGGAACCGCGTTGGATTGCGAAAGATCTTTGCTTAGAGTAGCATAGTATGCCGCTGTGGATACAGCGATACCAACAACGCCGCCGAGGGAGCGAAAGACGTTGCGGGTTCCGGTAGCTACAGCACGATCTTGGTCTGCAGAGTTGGCTTGTAAAGCAACAAGGCCTCAATGACAGTTAGTCAATCAGGTCCATTGCTTGTTCAACACCAGAGAGATCGGTCAACATACCTGGCTGATGGACCCATCCTATCCCTGCTCCTTCAATAGCTAGGACTATTACGTAGACGGCGACATGAGTGTGCTCATTGAATAGAAGCTTGAGACCGGCACCGATGGTCCAAATAGTGAAGCCGGTCCGTAAAATGGGCATGTATCTGTAGACAAGTGAGTTATGCCGTCGGGGTTTCAATCACGGGCCTGCTCACCTTGCATACCGAGCCATGATAGGCCCTGAAGCAGCGCCAGCAAGTCCTTGCGCGAGAAGAAACGGTACAATGAGCGTCGCGCTCTTCAACGGCGTAAAACCCCGAACAGTTTGGTAGTACAGAGGAACAAAGTACTGCGTAGACTGCCACGCGAAGTCGTGCAGGAATCCGGTAAGGATGAGCACAGCTGGTGATCTTTGCTTGAACAGCCTCAAGGGGATGATGGGGATTCGGGCAAAGAAAGCTTCAATAATTATGAAGGCAAGCAGCATGAGGAGGCCGATAGTGAGGATGGAGATGGTCTTGACATTTTCCCAGGCCCACATGCTTCCACCAGAGTTGATGGCCATCTGTGTCAATTGTCAACAGAGTGTGACTCTTGGGATGCTTAGGATACTCACAACCGTTAGCACGATACCAGCAATCGAAGCCAACACTCCCATCCGATCAATCTTGCGAACTTTCTCTCTGAAGCTCCCGGAAACGTGCTTCAGAGGCAAAAGTAGAAGAAGAAGCACAAAACATACGGCTCCCATTATCGACGGGGTCCAGAAGGCCCATCGCCACCCGTCAGTGGTCAATTGTATTAACCCAGCAGCGACAAATGGGCCAGAAGCAGCTCCAATCCCAATGGCAAGGCTAATGAATCCTTGATACTTCCCTCGTGATCTTAAACTAACGAGATCGCTGACGATGATAGCCACTGAAGAGCTTATGCCGCCTCCGCCAATGCCGCTGATTGTGCGACAGACGTACAACCAGACGGGCGTGCGGGCGAAACCACAGAGGAGACCGCCAATTAAGATACAACCCATTGAGAATAATAAGACAGGTTTCCGTCCGGTGATATCGGATATCCTGCCATAAAGTGGCTGGAATGAGAGTTGGCCGAGAAGGTATGACGTTCCGACCCAAGTAACAGTCGGACCAGCATCGAGAGCCTCAGATATGGTGGGCAAAGATGTCGCGACAGAGTTCATGTCGAGATAGGAGATGAAATAGCAGAAGCATAGACAGAGGTAGGCGAGGATGAGTCGGAAGAATGGTAGACGCTGTGATTGATCTTGGAGCTCTACATTTCCGCTGTTGCTTTCGGTGTCAGAGCCACCTGGTTGGTTTAATGAGCCAGCAATAGCTTCAGCAGTCGTGGCTTTCTCAGCATCTGGAGTTTGCGGATAATTTTGAGCTTGTGCTGGCTCAATTGCGTCTATATGAGGCAGTGAGGTCATGATGAAAATGGTCCCGAGGTTACAGGTGAAGATTGGAAGAGAAGCTGATCTTATGGAAAGCGGCTGCTCTTTGCTATAAGACGGGTTGCAGTCGGAGAACTAGCAAGTGCCACATTGGTTGCAGGAAACAAGAAGTGGATTTCTCTTTGTTGTAAATGAAGGTTTGACCGATCGCTCATCGAATCATTTGGCTTGGAGTTGTGTTCCCGTGTTGCCAAGATGATCCTTCAGAAACCCCTCACGATAGATCATATCAGGGCGCTGCGATGTCGGCAATGAATTGACACGCAATAAGTCACATGAAGTGCAATTTAAATAGTGACTGGAAGGGAAAGACTTTTTTAGTGTCATCTTGGATCAATCTCGTACTACACGTGCCGCTTAAAAGACCATTCTCCGTGCCCTACGACTTGGACGTCAGAGTCGCCATTCCCAAGTACGACTTCCATTTCTGTAAATGGCGGCACTACCACGTCAAGTTGTACCCCTCCTCCTTCGATCACTTTCCAAGAGACTGAGACGTTTCCATGCGGTGTCGAATGCGACGCCCTCGCAGACGTGATACCGCCGCCAACACAAGGATCTACGCGACATCTCGTCCACGCAGGTTCCAATTGCTTCAGACCTGCGACGCGCTCGACCATAAACTTAGCAACTGTGCCGTAGGCATAGTGGTTGAAACTGGTCATGTCTCCTGGATTGATCGATCCATCGGGCAGCATACTATCCCAGCGTTCCCAAATCGTTGTCGCGCCCATGGCCACTGGGTAAAGCCAAGAAGGACACTTCTTATTAAGAAGCATGCCATACGCGACATCCATATGGTTTGTCTTTGCCAAAGCCTCACAGATGAATGGGGTTCCTGCGAAACCGGTACCCACGCGGTACTCATTGGCTTGTACAATCTCAGCAAGACGATCGCCTGCCAACTTCAACTGAGAAGGATCAGCGACTAGGTTGAAGCAAATGGCTAGAGCGTAGGCTGTCTGCGAATCTGAAGTCATACGACCAGTTTCTGAGATATATTGCTTGGCGTATTGTTCCCGGGCAGTGGCTGCTTTCGCTTTGTAGACAGAGGAGTCATCGTTGCCAAGGATCTCTACAATTCGAACCATGATGTCGTATGAGTGTATCAGAAAGGCGTTGGCGACGAGCATCATGTCAGTCGCTGACTTCTGAGGAGCATCTGGAGGGGCACTAGGGTCAAGCCAGTCCTGATATTTATGTCAGCACAGAATCATCAACGAAAAGGGCGGTCGAGCACGGTACTTACTGCAAGCTGGAACACGGTTGAGTCCCATAAGTGGTCTTTATCAGCTTCCTTGCCCATTGGCACAGCATTCAGCCACGCCACCATCGAGTCATACTGCTGAGCAAGAATCTCACAGTCTCCATGTTCCTCCCATAACGCCCAAGGCGCGAGCACAGTAACATCATGCCAAATAGCAAAGGGGTGGACCTGCGCAAAGAGGCCGTCCACTATGGTATTAGGGGAGACCATCGGCGGGATACCATTGCGCTTCTTCTGTTCGTAGTACAGGCCCTTGAGCCAGTCGTTCAAGATACCATGGCACCCATAGAGGAATGTCACTGTAGGGGCAAAGAGAGCGATGTCGCCCGTCCACCCGAGACGTTCGTCCCTCTGAGGGCAATCTGTAGGGATGGAGAGGAAGTTCCCTTTTGTTGACCATCGGACATTGCTCCATAGTTTATTGAGCATGTCGTCTGAGCAAGAGAAATAGCCTGTTTCTTCCATATCAGTATGGCAAACAACGGCTTCCACTTTCTCCAGAATATCGTCTTGGGACCCGGGCCAATTGTCGATTTGGGCATATCTGAAGCCATGGAATGTGAACCTGGGTTCATAGACTTCTTCGCCCTCGCCACGAAGAGTGTAGGTATCTCTAGCTTCGCAATGTCGTAATGGCCTGGTTCCAAGTTCGCCGTGTTCAAGGACCTCGGCATGATAGAGAGTTATCTTGTGGCCTCTTGAGCCTCGAACACGGATGCGAAGATAGCCAACCAGGTTTTGCCCAAAGTCCAGGACTAACTTGCCTAAAGGCGTGTCAATTTTGGAGATTGGCTTGATGGTCTCAATCCTTCGAGTTGGCTCTGCTGATCCAGCAATGAGGGCAGTCTCTTCAGACAATGGCGGAAGGACTTGTACTTTCTGCCAATCTCCTGACACAGACCCTGACATTGACCATCCTTCTATTTCAGCAGTGGCATCGTATTTCTCCCCGTCGTAGATTTCAGCCATTCGGATTGGTCCTTGCGTTGTAGTCCATGTCTCATCTGTCGATATCGTCGAGATAGTTCCATCTTTTGATGTAATCTCAAGCCGAGCAAGCAGCGCTGTCCGTGTTCCATGAATATTTCGCTTTCCACCCTCAAATCCTAGACGGCCTTTAAACCACCCTTCAGCCACGCGAGCTCCGATGCAATTATAGCCATCGGAGATAAGTTCCGTCACATCAAAGGTCTGATATCTCAGGCGATGCTCATATACTGTCCAACCAGGTGCAAGAAAGTGATCTCCGACTCTCTTTCCGTTGATCTCAGCTTCGTAGACACCGTGAGATGTGATATATAGCCGCGCGGACTGGATACCGCAATTGATGCTGAATTGCTTGCGGAACAAGTCTTCAGGCAATGACTTGTCCTGGTTATTGGACCATGGTGCTGAAATGAGCTGGGTTCCTGACCAATCTTGTCGGTTCAAGAGACCGGCTTCGACAAATGTAACGTCACTCCAAGGCGTTGGTTCAGCATCATCGGAAAGGTATGCTCTTACTCGAATCTCATAGCGTTGCCGAGAACTTAGCGGTTCGTCACGAGGCCAGGGAACGAGGTACGCTTGTGATGACTGAACCTTGTAGGTTTTTGCGTCTTGTGGCTGTCGCGACTTCGGGTTGACACCTTTCAGTTCAATCTCATATGTATCTTGTTTCGAGTCTTGAGATATTCCATTGAAACGCCACGAGATATGAGGCCTCGTATCGTCAATTCCAAGAGTATTTCCAGGCCTGTAATGCTCGAATCTGACGTCGACGACTTTGACGTTTGCCATTGTGACGGTGGCTAGAATAGAAGACCACCTTGACAAGTTAGTCAACCTAACATAATTTAATGAGAGGAGAGCTTTTGTAGCGGTGCTATATCATCGGCATCTTCAGCTTTCGTTCATTTGTTAATGTCGGGTCAATGTCAACCGATGAGGCTCTTGGCTAGACAGGCTTCCTCCACATCCCGATGGGGAGACGTTCCGCTAGGTGCGGTTTACGGCTGAACTTCGCTTCACCACGTACGCCTCAGGTGGAAATATTTCCAGTTTTGGAATCTGGGATCGATCTTGAGCGGTCTAGAGCTGGATGAGTGCATTGACAGATCCGAGCTATGAAGGATCTAATGGCCTGATGATCAACTGTGGCTCCTAGCGGGTGAAAGTATGGGTAAAGTCCGGTACATTATGGCTTGGTGAGTCTCACACGAGCCTATGCAGATGATGCTTGGGTCTCACTATTTCGTTGGCTCGGCACAGTGTAATTTAGAACGGGTTTGTCCAACAAAAAACACGATGGCCCATGCCATTACGAGAAGCTTCCAAGCAAGCAAAATGTCTAAAGTCAACCTACAGTGTTGAACTGAACGGTCATCCAAGATTCACTAAACTTGCCTAGAATCTTTCTACTAGTTAGAATGAAGGCCCTGAACTTTCTTACCTCCCCGGACGATAAGCTTCTAGCTCACCCGAACATTCGTTCTACATCTAACTCTCCTTGCGGTAGTGCTCAATCCATTCTAGTTGGTGGTCAGATCCGAACCAGAGCATGTTAATACTCTCTCCAAGAGACTAGGCTAAACAGGCACGGGGCAATAAACAAGTAGTAAAGTACTTCTTACATAAACCCGACCTCAAGCGAGTATTCTTCAACAATGATCAAAGAATTGGAACATCGCTCACTTGAAAAAATATCATCGCTGTATTCATCCGTAGAGTATGCTTGATTCGAATTTTGCTATCAACGCAAGCTATCTCGAACCCCATATCAATACGTACCAAGGCGGTAGCCCCGAGTATAATCGCCAGAAATATCAATCAGCAATAATAACATTCCAAGTTCCTATCCTTGCTAAAATCTTCGAATTTGAAACATTATGCCTCCTCAGCGATAGCAGTAGTAGACCTTTCCTTGAATTTTCGTGGCGGAGTCTTAGTCTGGAAGAGATAATCGATCTGGGCATAAGTAATGTTCTTGGTCTCGGGGATTTCGATCCAGGTAAGGATGAACCCAATAACACAGAAGCCAAAGAAGACGAAGCCAATCTTGCCTCCCAGGTTACCCTGATCAGCATTGAACATGTACGGAACACAAAGAGCAAAAGCCCAGGTCATGAAAGCGTTGACGAAGAAACCGATACCAAGAGTCTTAGCTCGAAGCACGGTTGAAGGGACTTCGGCTGCCACAATAGGATATGCTGATCCTGTGCCCAAGTTACCAGTGCAAGCGGCCAGAAGAAGAGATACACCGATGAATCTATAGATGTTTTTAGTATTGAATGCTGGTAAATCAGGTTGTGGAACTCACCTCAGTGCTGTTTGGTTATGCGGCCAGAAGCCAGCAATGCCCATACCAATAAAAATGGCCCCAGCAACAGCAAAGCTTGCTAGGATAGCAAATCTTCGGCCAACTTTGGACATGATGACCCAAGAGACAAGGGTGCATGCCATACTAAGACCAACGCCGATTTGGTTGAGAGTGAGAGAAAAAGTTGGGGTCATGCCAGCCATGATGAAGAAATAAGTCGAGTTCGAGACCAAAGTTATGCCCATAAACTGCTGAAGGGTATTGAGAAGAGCAACAATACGAGTTCTTCGCAAGTTGGTGCCCTTGAAGCACTCCGAGAAAGAAGGCTGCTCCGTGTTCATTCTCTGCTCTTGCTGGATTGTAGCTTCGATGATGGCGATTCGTTCGTCGATGTTTTCGCAACCGAGTGTCATCAAAGCTTTTCTGGCTTGGTCGATCTTGTGCTTACTGGCTAGGTATACAGGGCTTTCGGGAACGACTAGGGCTGCGATGACTGAGTAGCCGGAGAATGCCCACTGTGAGGCGAAGGGGATCTTGAAGGCCCAGTGTGTCATTGTAGCGACCTCCTTGAAAACGACGGTAATGGCAATCATTTGGCCAACAGTCTAGCAACACCTTGTTAGCGTCGTCGGTACTCGGTAGGTAGTAGTACTCACAATCATGAAGGGATAGAACCCTAGAAGTATAGTTCGAAGCTTGGGTGGTGAAATCTCAGATACGTATGTCTGACACGTCGACATGCTAATACCCATGGCCAGACCAATGAAGAACTTCCCGACCAAAAGAACACCGCGTCTTTGTTCGACGGTCTCGGGATTACCAGACACAAAGGTTATAGCCGTTCCTAGAGAAATCCAAGTTAGACTGGATCAATATTCAGAATACCTTGTCTCGACTTACCAACAGCAGATATGAGGCCTCCAACTCCAAACATGATCTTTCGACCGAATCGATCCTGGAGAAAGCCGTTGCTTGCTGAACCAGCCATGATCCCCATTGCGCTGAAGGCTTGCCAGAGACCTTGCCACAGGGCTGGAAGGATGAAAGTCTCGCCAAAGGGAGATCCAAAAGTGATTCTCCCTGTTCAGCTATTTGTACTGGAGACGTGTAGGGAGGTTTTCAACTCACGAGAACATAGGGAGTGCATTGATAGCTCCCTGAACGAGAACATCGTATCCAAAGAGAAACGCGCCGCAGTTGGCAAACCAAGTGAAGATGATCACACGAACATTCTCTCGCAGGAGTTTCCAAACAGTTGTGTTGCTCTCCTCCGCAGCCTCAACAGCCAGGATAGTCTCCTTGTGGTCAACTCCAATGGAGTCGGCCTTGCTCGTAGTTCTTTCAATGTTCGACATTCTTGAGATGCTCAATGATGTTGAGAGTAAACATCCACGATCGAGTCTGATATCAGGGGCTACTTATAGGAATAGCGTTATGTTGAATCGTCTGGCCCAGTGCCGTGGTTCAACCGGCACGATACCATTTAAGCTCATGCTGCATCTGGGGCCCCAGACAATTGATAGGTCTCCCCGCATTAGTAGGGATGGTTTTCGGATCCGTGGAGGAGGAAAAGTCTGGGGGCTCGATCTGTAGTACGCTTGGTCGGGAAAGTGGAGGGAATTCGGTGCATTTACCGCCGAGAGATATTGGCTGATGGACCATGCGGACCGTAGAACGCCGCAACTAAAACCTTCCATATGTGAGATATCTTGGAGGTATTTCTGTGCTTTGATGAAATAGACATGTGGAAGAATGTTGGTGGTGATGCTTTGTCCAGACGATTTGATTTATTGGTACGTCAAGCTCATCATGCACTTCGAGCCAGAGCACTAATAAAGTACCCACTACGCTTGTGAGAAAGTCAGTAGGGAATAGGGGCAAAGACTAGGTAAAGTTCAAGGAGGTGCATCAGTAATTCCCCTTTTCCTTTTCGTTGACCTTTTAGTAACAGTTAAACCAGGTTCTCATAACCAGCACGGCCTAATGGATGAGTATATGAATACCCAGGAGTTAGAGATGCCATAGATAACAGATTGTCGAATTCATTCAATTTTGTTTCAACTTTTTGTGCCTATGGTGCCTCATGCAGTCCATATATCGTCCGTACCTTGTTCTCATCCCCAAGCTCTCCAGGCTTTTGCGTATCCCAAAGTTCAGCTGCATCTCTCGTGCCATCAAGCTCTGAACTTCCTATCTGTAATATTTGGGTATTCCCCAGCTCAGACTTTTCAAAATCGGACTTTTCCATGCTATCCACTCTCTCCGTCGTTCGTCTACGCGTGAAGCGTCTCCATAGGCATAAGCCTACACCTCCGGAAATCAAAAGCCCCGCTACTGTGACACCGACTGAAATTCCGACCAATGCTGCTGTTGATAAACCAGTATTGTTCTCTGACTTTGTCACTGAATGGTGTGTCGTCTCTGTGGAACTCGTCGAGGTTTCTGATGCTTGAGACGCTGTAGAAGCTGGTGTTGAATTTGATGCCGATGTTGCTTTGAGCTTTTCAGAATTTGTTCCCGAGATATTGAACGAGCCGGAATTTGCGAGCGGGATATCCTTGTCCGAAGAGTATAGCGCAAAGTGAAAGACAGTGTCTTCGGACTCTGGAGAGAAACCGCTCGAACTTGCGTTCCAAACATGGGAAGTTTCAGTCGTGTTTTCTACCTTTTATCAGCCTCTTGGAATCAGAGAATTATCGGTCATGTTTACCTAACAATCTGCTGTACCATTCAACCGCCAATTTCGGATAATCCTGCCATAGGAAGAGATTGCAGCCTTTATGATCGGTCTTCCATTTTATTTCCAATTCGTCGTTAATTCCGTACACTTGATTCTCTGACCACGGTGCACTCGATAATTCAGGTGTAATAAAGTCGGAACTACACTGCACGTGGCCCACAAGCGCGACAACCGCAAGACACGTGGGGAATAGGCCAAGCATCGTGATAGCAGCTCAGCTTGAGGCTCAAAATATTAGAGAAAAAGTTCAAGAGGGGAATTACAAAGATAAAAGTCCCATGCTGCGCCTCAATGCACTTCTTAACAGGACCTCTATGTTTGTCAGATTATAGACCCTTGTCCCGCTAGCCAGCCTCCCCAGACAGCACGATACCACGATGTTAGGCCGAGAACTCGATGCGAGGTGAGGATGGATGAGTAAGCAGCGAGCCAGCCAATGAATAACCATGATAGTTTGTGAGCGTTGGATTTAGGTGCAGGTAATGACGCACTTGACTTTTCATAAACCGTTGAGTAAGCCAATAGAAGCTCAATGTTTAAGAAACGGTGCGTTCAGGGAGTTATTCCCGCACTTTTAACGCAGTGAGCTGGGTTTAAACTTCAGAAGGATGAGAGACTAGTAAGGATATCCTGAGCGGTAAACGATTTTCGAAAGCCTCGATACTAAGCCGTGTTGTCCCCAAATCTTCTGACTCTATTGTTCTAGATAACGATAATAGTCAGACTGCCGACTTTTAGCAACAGAAATGAAGAAGCCAAGAACAGCGAAATAATTACAAAGAACAGGAACGATAAACAAAACAGCACGACTTCCCCTCGAAGAACCAAGAAAAAAGGCAAGGAAAACCCCCAGACAGAGCCCTGGCAGGACAAGATCGCGATCCCCGGCATCGTACAGCAAGAAGGGGAAACTTAAAACAATGGCTGTTAATAAAGTCAATAGCCTCTGTCGATATGTCTTTCCTAAGGCACATGAGATAATCATGCTTGCGGTGGCGTACAAAACAATCGCCATGCAGAAAGTCCCTTTATCGAAGTGGTAATATAGTCCATCAGAGCGAAGAATGTTTTCCAGGCAAATGAAAACAACGAAGTATATGCCTTCTACCGGACGTGATTTATGCCTCCACATCCACCGCCATACACTGAAATGTCCTCGAGGTAGGGTTTTCTCTGGCTCGGATTCTCTCGACAACCTAGGAACTGGTCCCCCAGTGAGAAGATGCTGAATTTCGCCATGTAGCTCTTTGTCTGTCAGATCCTCCCAAATGATACCAGCAGACTTTATTTGTTCTTTGATGTTATCCGTCAATTCGAGAAGGCCCTTCCAGCCTTCAGATGATGCTCCGATGTCATTTCGTTTCAGCGTTTGTTTTGTGGTTACCCACAACACAAAAACACTGATGCTCCACAACTGAAGAAGGATAGCCATGACGAACAACTGGAGAAATGAAAACCCCCATTGATATTTGATAGATTCCTATGAATGTTAGCATTTGTTCTGATCACTGTTAGTATAAACATACTCCGCTCTTTATTGGTTGACAGACTCCTCCCGCTTGGATATCTTTCAAATTGTATATCTCATCCTCAACAATAAATGCCGAGGCTGAAATGTCTTCATATGTCCCAAGGGTTGTTGAAGATGCCACATCAGTAAGGTAAGTCCAGTTCCAGTAAAAATTGTTAGGGAGATAGAAGGCTTTGATGTTGAGGGGTGGCCAGTTCAGTGTCTGGTTACGAAAATAAGTTTTCTGACCGTTTCGAGTTTCACGGCCGCCTTTTCCGTCGAAACCGTAGAGTTGAGCATCTAGCGGAAAGTCAATATTCGAATGGCCAGCCAGAGCTGAGACTACATACACTCAGATACATCTCTTTGTAGCTGGCACTCAACTTTCGTGTCATTAACATCCCACTCATTACACTTGTCAAAAATCTCAACAGAAGAAGATTCGGCAATAGTCTCTGAGTCTAATAACCTAATCAGCTTTGTCCTTTGCGTTTGTTGCCTGTTCAATGATCTTACTGCCTATCCATAATACAGGATAGTCCTTGCTCAGGCCATCGACTCTATTCCCATCTTTTATCAAGTAAGCGACGGGGACGATTTCCGAAAACTGCACTAGCCTTCCGCTGGTGCTGTTAACATAAGCCTTGTTGTACGGCGTATATCCGGTCATTGAACTAGCGAAGGTCGGAAAAGCAAGAATGAATGATGCTGTCCAGATAATGAAGCACATGACCTTTTTGGATGCGAGGCCAACCTTGAAGAATCCCGAAGCAAGTTCCCAAGTTGCAAGAGCTGAGTTATTTTTTTGCATCTTGATAAGCCACACTGTGCTGTAAGACGCCGGCTTCATAACGAGAGAGAGTTGGAGATATTGGACAAACACTTCCCATGATACAAGAGCCATGACTGTTTGGCCCCCTCGACCAACAACCTGTTACTTTAGTGGGTTGATAAGAAACTTCGACGTGGGCACTTACCAAGTCCCAAATAACATCAATGAGCTTCGCAGTGCCAAAACTAAACCGACCCCAGCCAAGTGTGATTTGAAAGAATCCCCCAGGCGCCCACCAATCAAAGCCACCAAGTTGATCTATGCCATCTAATCGAAACTCTCCATCAGGCTGGCACCTATCTTCTCCGTCGCTGAGTTCCATCAGCGGTACCAGACATAAATAAACCAGCAAGCCTAGAACAGACAGGTTCCAGCAGCTGGCCCAGAGGACTCGCCGGACGAAACACCAATCAAGTGGGCGACTATCCTTGCTCTTCTTACCAATACGCGTCAGATCATAGAAAGCGTCTTTGAATGCCCTAATCACTGACGAATCGTTTGATAGCTTGTATCCGAATATTCCTCGCCGGCTTGAGGCTTCCTGCAACAAAGATCGCTCAGCTAAGTCCGGCTCTGCATCGCAATTCAGTAGCAACGGGTTCGTCGGAGCAGACATTGCAGATTTTGGCTACAGGTCAACGCGATGAGAAATGGGAAATCGAAAAGCGTGGCCAAAAGTGCGAGAGCCTGGTTTAATACTGAAAGGACATCGCTCTTTATTCTCATGCTATTTTTATCTCCCTGCAGTTCAGCTGTTCTGGATCGTTGTCCAATTTGCCAGAGGACAAGCCCAGCTGAACGCTGAAGGTCTTGAAGTGGCTGGCAAGGTGGATTTATGCAGTCCTCCAAACCAATCACGTACCTTCGACACAGATCAGACTGTGATATTAAACCCGTCATTGGGTGATGAATACCACTTCACCGGCACAATCAAGCCTATGATGTATGTGGCGGCGAAGTATTGGTAAGTGAAACAATTATAACACAGCCCCTGACTATGCATGTTTACACAAGTACAGGATTTAATATACGGAATAAGGCAAGGTAGCAACCTGTTGACTCGACCCGGAGGGCAACTAAGCAAGCTCAACGAATAATGAAATAGACTTCAAGATGTAAGAGATACAAATATAGTAGGCTCTTATATACCTATATATATTTTTATAATAACTTTCATAGGATAGCAATGATTGCACGCTTCCAATGAAGGTACCCTGCCATATTATCATAACCTCGCAAACAGTCAAGAGGTGTATTATTTGAAGTTTCATGTCGACGATATGTAAGAAAGTATCGCCACAGTATCACGACTATGCTTTTGTCTGATTCAGTTATGATCATTATATCCTACTTATTCTCCTACGGAACTGCATATAACTCCTACTGTTCATTCAAGCCAACAACCTATTTGGTTTTGATTAAACACCGGACACAAACAGCATAGCCAATATAATGTTCGTTCAAAGTTTCTCTCCCCCTTATCCAGACACCTCACGGCTGAGTGACTCATCGGGGTCCAGGGAAGAGTTCCTTATCCTGAGTACCCCCAACAGCGTTGTTGCCCTCAATGTGGCTGGCATCAGGCTTCTCGTGAGGATAGTTTCCGTCATTGGCAGCAAACTCATACAGTGGAGGGAAAGGAGGAACATCCTTGCGTAAAATGTACTTCTTGAGGTACCAGGGCAGCTTCCTCCAGTAGTATGAAGCATGCTCTCTGTTGGAAACACCAAAAACGTTGTCAAGCTCCTCAAGGGTCAAGTTCTTGGTCTCAGGGAGGAGGAAGTAGCAGAAGATCCAACCAAATATGTTCCAAGCACCATACCAACCGAAGGCACCAGTATTAGAGAAGGCGTCTCGTAGAGCTGGCCAGGTGAGACTGATGATGAAGTTGAAGCCCCAGGTGATAGCTGTACTGGAAGCCATACCGATGTCTCTGATGTGGAGAGGGAAAGCTTCAGCGCTGTAGGTGAAAGGCACTGGTCCAAGGCCGGGAGAATAGACTGCCATGAAGAGATAAAGGCCCAGAGTGATAGTGGCGATCTTGGGGTCACGAGGTTCGTCGGGAAGTTGGAACACTCCACCAGTGAAGAAGAGGCACGCTGCCATGAGAGGGAAGGTAACCAGAAGAAGGTTTCTGCGTCCAAACGTATCAATGGTGTAGATTGCAGGAATAGCGAAGAGGAAGTTTATGATGCCGCCACCCATGGAGACGAGCAGGGCCTCAGAAAGACTGTAGTTGGCATCGGTGAAAATTGAAGTAGAGTAATATGCGATCACATTTACGCCACAGAACTGCTGCATGAACTTATGTAATCTATTAGCATTTGTGGCGCATGTTGGGGCTGGATATCTTACCATGCAGAACCAGGCACTTTGAGCAGCACGTCTGTTGCGGCGTACAGTGAAAAACTCCTTGAGAAGATTCCGGCCTTCACGTTCCCCACGCTCAATCTCGAGTAATTTGTAAGCGTAATACATATCGCGAGTAGCTTGGACAGGCGAGAAGCGAAGCTTCCTGACGGATTGGAAGGCCTTGTCAAATCGACCGCGTTCCATGTACCAGCGGGGAGATTCGGGGCAAAAATACACTTGGAGCATGACAACCAGCGGGGGAATAGAGGTCGAAGCCATCATCCATCGCCATGGAGAGTTCGGACCGCCGATTATAGTGACGTTTTGGAAGGCAACGCATACGATAAAGCCGAGGGCGATACCGAAAGCAGTCCACATCTGGAATGTTAATCAGCTTATGATCTTCCACCACTATTGAGGGTTTCTCACCTGCCACATCATAGTTAGGGCTCCACGAATGTTCTTCGGTGTAGATTCGGCAGAGTAAACGGGTGTTGTGCTGGACTTTGCGCCAACAGCGAAACCAAGCATGAAACGGGCAAACAAGAAATTCCAGAGACTAGCAGACGTCAGTAAGATCTCGAGCCTTGAGACAGTAATCGAAAACTTACGAGGTAGTGATAGACATCCAGAATCCAGTGATCGTAGAGATGGCGCAAGAGATAAAGATGGTTCCGCGGCGGCCGGTGTACTTGTTGAGAATCGGACTGGTCCAGCAACCGACAACGGCAGAGCAAAGGTAAGGAGCACCGTTCGTCAACCCTTGCATCCATACGCTCTCGATTTTGAATTCTTTAAAGTAGAATTCCTATAATTGTTAGAAACTTTCAGAGTTCCCAAGATGGTTTTAGCATACCTGCGCACCATTCACGGTGGTCTGATCCATACCCTGAACAATGGCCGATCCAGCACAGAGAGTACAAAGGAAGTACAAGGCAAACGGCTGATGCCATCGAGACGTCTCTTCCTTTCTCAGGATCGCCTTCTCATCTTCGGAGAGCATCTCGATTTTCTCAAAGCCCCCGGGGGTGTTGTTGACTTGAGCAGCAAGTGCTCCCTTTCGGAAATCCTCGCGGTGCTCCGTGAGGCCCTTGGACTCCACAAAAGCGTCAACATCGGCGAGGATCTCTTCTCGAGTCATGCCAGCCAAAGGATTGCGAAGAAGAGTTGCCTTGGAGACTCGTCGCTGGCCAAAGCCGGCGCCATCATTATCGTTGACGAAAGTACCATTGCTGCTGGAGTTGCGGTAGCTGTCGTTGTTGGGGCCAATGTGATCCGTGTCGTAGGCGGGCGGAGCCTCGCTGTCGGCTCTTGGCAGAGGCATCGTGCTTATCTCCAAGAAGCAAGACAGCAGATAAGGAGCAGGCCACTCAGAGGATGATAACGTTACTGGCAACTGAGTCTGGGGAGAAGTTGGGGCCCCCGGATTCTGTCGAGAGAATACTTTGGATGCAACAGAGTCACAGAAGCTGGGGACGGCCCAATTATTATATGTCTTTTTAGAAAGGATTTGAGGAGACTTACTCCACACGATGAGCAAACGTTCAAAGAAGTTCGAGGATGGAGGAGTGGAGGCTGCCAAGATGATCGTCGGGTTCTTTGGCTGTGTGCGGCTCAAACCTCGGTGTATCCCTGTCTCGGCAGCATATTTTATGACGTTGTCCAAGAGGTGAGATGAAATGAGATGTCTCTTTGCTGCTGCCTCTCGAATCCTTCAGGGGGGGCTGTGTGATGATGACGCGTTGCATATAACGGGTGTTGAAGTTACAACCTGACAGCATGCGTATTTTCACTTGGTGGTTTCCCCATTGAAGACCGCTTCGATGTACTCCATATCAATCCTGTCGTTCTTTTACAAGCAGGGGTGCTCTCGTCTGTATCGTGACCGTGGTCGGGGGCCGGAGAATTCTCGATTTAGTTCTGTTCAAAGTCAATCAGCGGTTATCATCCACAAACTCAAAAAATGAAGCCAAAAGAGCCTCACACAAACCTGCTCCAAGCCGCCGACGTTAAATCGTCTGCCAAGCCCGTTATGTCTCCCCCAAGAACGATCATCGGCGCAAAGACCCTGGTAAGCCGTCTCGATTAAGCTTAAATGGGCGATCCTCCCACGACAAGGATGACTTGGCGCTAGTCTGGGCATGCGTCACACTCTGCCGACCCAACATTGCACTTGACGTCAATTCTTCAATCGTCCCAAGAGCAAGTTTTTGATGGTAGCTGTGAGTTTTTGGGTGTTTTTCGCTTACCCCGGATATTGAGCACGTGGATTTGAACCAGATATGGCCAGCGTTTGGTTTGCTAGGTAAGGACAAGCTTATCTTGACCTCGGCTGAGCTTAAATCTTTGATTGGCGGCGTTGGGATTGACTACATACCTCGGAGCTACCAAGCATTGGCAACTTGACTGCTCAACTTCTGATACTTCGTGACCTGTATACCACTCGGATTACCCTTTGTGGCCCAAATAAACTCAATCGATCATCGAATACTGGGAGTGGCTGACCGGTAGCTGAGATATGTGGACCTGGCCCAATTTACCCCGAAGTGCAAGACATGTTCCACAAGAGCTTCTTGGTATGGAGAAGACCCAATCTTTAATTCTGTTGCCTGTTGACTTGGCCGGACTTGTCATTGTGCCAAGGTCTGAGCTTCTGATCAGATGAAAGACAAATCTTTCAATCCGCATGTTGTTTGCTTGGCTTCGGTAAAGTTGTGGACATTGACCACGAATCTTTTGAAAGAACAGTTTGGGAAGCAAAAGGGTTCCTGGCACTGAGCCAAGCTCTGAATTTCGGAGCACTCCATACCAATGGAGCTGTATTACCGGAAGCTTGCGGTGCAGATGTTCTCGTGGCTAGGGGCTCCGTGCTTGGTCGATAGAAAAAGCAACGATCGCCGGTAGCAGATCTTTCGGCTATCTATGCTGTTAGCTCTGCATCAGGGGTCTATCTGAAGTGAACTGACTTGCTTTTCATGCGTGTGACTCGAGAAAGGCTGCCGAAAACCAACGTCAAAAGGCAATCTTCAGTGTTTGTAGGGAGACCATCGTGAAATAACTCTGGGTACCATCGGTGAATTTTGAGATTTCCTATCTGTCTCCGTAGAAGCGTGGTTTTTATGAATAGCCAGAGGCGGTTTTATTGCCGTCGTCAAAGCAGAGGGCGAAAGGTCGTCGAGTGTCACCATGTAGTGTTTTGCCAACGCACAAACATATTTCTTTCATTGGGTGCATTTCCCACGACCGCGGAAGCGGGGCTACGACCCCTGTTTGTGGGCTGTTGCTTTGGTAATGCAGGTACGGCAATCAAAGGTGGAAAACATCGATTATCCTTCTGGAATTTCAAAGGCATTAACCATGCACTCGACAACACTCGACAACGGGCACAACAAATGTGAGCCTGCACAAATGCGAATCATTGACCTTCGTGGTGTAAATGCACTTTCTGTTTGTGTATTTTTTCGGGAGGTAGTCAGGCGTGGAGCTGGAGAGTACATAGGCCTAAATACACATATCAGATTGCTACCAATCCCAACCAACAGATACACTATCAACCAATATCTCCTTTGAGATATGATATTCATTTAGTCTTTTTATTTTTTATAGTGGCACTCAACTCGAGCATTGGAGCTCCACATGAGTCTCCGTGTGTCAAAATATCAAGAGCAAATAAGGAGTTCCTCAGGAGCTGCACCACCACCTTGTCTTTCTGGTTTACATTCCATCTTCGCCTTTGGTGCACATGCAGGGCATTCTAGCACTCACTTCTCGCTCTTCGATCTTTCGCTTGCTCGCTTCGTCCCATTTTCATCTCTATTTCAGTGCTTTCAGGCCTCGAGTCATGGGAGGACCCCCTATCGCCCACTGTAATCTTTAGGAATTACAGCTGGTTTCTCCTCAGTGCCTTCATTCCCACTAGCGCCTTCTTTCTCCTTCCTCTTCCTTCTTTTCTTTTGATTTCACCCTCACGGTTGCCTGATCTTTAGGGCTCACACCTGAGGCACTTCACTTGGCCTTCTCCCCTTCCTGCCTTCCCCTTCCTGCCTTCCCCTTCTCCGCTTCCCCCTCCTCTCTCTTCCATCCTTCCTTCTCCTCTCCACCGCACTCAAGGCACAAGAGATCTTGAGCTTTTCGCTTTTCTAACCGACGGTAAGTATCTCTTCCCTCTCTCCTTCATCTCCCCTCTCTCATATTCTGTCTCTGCAGCTCACCCTCACGCGTCTTCCGCTTTCCCTCGCGTGTTTTCTTTTCGCCGTCAAGATGTGCTCTGAGACTATCACCGTCGCCCAGTGCGCTCCTAAGGTGTCGCCTGTTCTTGCCTTCTATTGCGCAAAGCTTCACCTCGTTGCAAAGGAGCGTATCGTCTGTGAAGCTGCCAAGGGAAAATGCATTTGCTTCTTCGGCTCTTGTGGCGCTATCGACCGTGAGATTCCAACCAAGGGAATCAATCTCAGCGATGTTGTCAAGGCACGCTGTGCTGAGTGTACTCCCCGGGAGCACCGAGTTGGCAACGGCATCCCGGCGCAGCAGATCCTGGAGTCTGTTCTTCTTCGCTCTGCCGACGCCCAGAATGGCTGGGAGGAGCGATCCAAGCTCGTCTCTGAGCTTTGGCTCAATAAGACTGCATGCCCATATCACGTCGACAACTCCACCGAGCCTGCTACTCCTGCCGCCGAGGTCATCAACATCACCGAACACGTTCATCTCGACACCGAAGTCGGTCACTCTGGTACTGGTATGAGCGCTGAGCCTGTTGTACCTACCGATCCTGCTCCCGAGTCTTCTGAGCTCAAGCCAGGCTTCGAAGCTGCTGTTGAAAAGGACCTTGGTGATTTCTCCAGCTCCGACAATGCTGCTATGAAGGATGCCTCTTCATCTCCGGCCAGGCCTGTTTTCACCGACTCCTTTGTTGCTGAGCCCGCTTCTTCTCTCGTTGATGAGTGGACCACCAACGCTGACACCGCTGGCAACGCTGATGAATGGACCACCAACACTGCTCCCGCTGGTGGACATGGTGACAATGCCGAGAACCATGGTTCCGACTCTGGTAAGAAGATTCTCTCTTAGTCTTAACAGTCACTGACATCAAGCTACAGGAGTCAAAGACATCCTGGACCCTGAGGAGGTTGGCATTTCCACCAGCCGCTGGGCCCCAGGCAACTCTCCCACTAACTCCACAAAGCCAACCAAGCCAGCTGTTGACTTCAAGGAGAATGAGAGTGGAGAGGAGCGGGAGAAGGTGCAGACTCCTGTTGTCGCTGTTTCCCGACGTGCGGTCAACTTCTCCTACAATCCAGACAATGCTGAGAAGCTTCTTGAGACCGCCGAGATGTTTGCCAACGTGAAGAAGGCCTTCCTCATGGGCAAGGCTTAAACGCCAATCTGGGTGACAAAGGATTGTTGCGGAGAGGATGAAGAGTATTACGGGTAGTCTTGGTCTTTCCAGAGGGATGATTGGAGTGTAATTGAATGAAAAGTAGTCAGCCGTATTTTGACTCAGCAGACAAGACAGAACACAGTACTCAAGTATCCTACATATCCATGCAGACAGTGACGTGACCAGATGATCCTTAGTATACAACGTGACTTGTAGTATCACTCAGTAATGCAAAATGCGAAAGACTTGACCTAAAGAAGTCCCGATTGTGCTTGACATGCCCCAGTGAAGTCTGCGTATAGCCTCCAGCGTTGTCCCTCTAGGGGAGGAAAGAAAACTCGAGACCTTGATCCTACATGATAAAAAGTCTTAGGTAAATTTATGTGAGTTCAGGATATTTTTACTGAGTTAATTTTAATACCCTATATGAATGAGGGTCTGGTGTTTTCTTGCTCCCCGAGGTCTCTCGCCAGGGTTTACGGGCACTAATGTAAATCTCCAGCAGGCGAGCAGGGGTCTCCCCCAGAATGTCTCATCATCTCACAGCCAGTCTCCTCCATTGACATCTTCAATCTGGCGGAGAGACCACCAATGAAGCACTCCATCTGCTTGCCATAATTGAGCTCTCGGCAGCTCAACTAAAGCTATGTCAGAATTTTCGCTACTCAATGCGTTTCATGGCAAAAGCAAAACAACAACGAAATGCCACTTGGGCTAGGATTAACGTGGGAGTCTGACACCTTAGCGATGTTTTGGGCCAATCATTCCCTCATCTGCGTCTCAAGCTGAAAGCCCCTGCATCGCCTTCTGACGCGCCTTTCCGGCCTCGTACGAGGAGAGCGGTAGGAGAAATCGCACATTTCAGAGCGAGGCGGCTAATAAACATACAGATCTGGCGGTCGTTTCCCCCGCTTGTCTTTGCTTCTCTTCGCCGCATGCTGCGTCAATCTACTCACGATAACTACAGGGTCTTGATAGATCAGGCTCCGCTGGGCCGCGCATAAGATGTCCACCGATACTCTGCAGCCCGGGCCGGTCCAGCGCACGGCTCAGGATCTGGTGAAGGAGATTGCGAAAGAGCGCGGCTATCTTGGCGAAGAGCAGCTTGCGCGGATTGGAGAGATTAACCCTGAGCTTAGGCGCGAGGTGGAAGAAGCTCTCCTTCGAAAGGATGAGATGATAGGCTCAGCTGTCTTGACGTATGTACTTTATCTCAAACACGGGCTTTTATTGACGACATTGCAGTCTGGCACGAAACCTTTACACAAGTAATGCTAGATTTGTTTTTGAGCTGCTCCAGAATGCCGACGACAATAACTACAGCACTGCTCTCTCAAGCGGTCAAGATCCATTTGTGTCTTTCGAAGTTCGCCCAGACAAGGTCTCGATTGAGTGCAATGAGAACGGCTTCACACATGAGAACCTCAAGGCCATTTGCGCAATCGGCAAGAGTTCCAAAGTCGGGGCAGCTGGGTACATTGGCGAGAAGGGCATTGGCTTCAAGTCTGTATTTATGGCGGCTTGGAAGGTTCACATTCAGTCAAACGACTTTTCGTTCTCGTTCACGCATCGCAAGGGGGACTCTGGTCTCGGCATGGTTACACCAGTATGGGAAGATGCAGATGAGTCACTAGGGGGCTCTTCAACTCACATCACGTTGTTTCTGCATACGAGTGATGATGCTGAAGAGGATGCGAGACAGCGCGAGACCATCCGACTTCAGTTCCAAGACTTGCAACATACGATCCTGCTTTTCCTTCGCAAACTACGCAAGGTGCAGGTCTCCTTCTTTGATGAGGATGACACTCGGACATCAAGCACGACTTATTCTCTGCATGGGAGTAACCCGGTTACTGTCAAGAAGGAGACATCTGAGGGGGTGGAGGAGAGGCAGTATCATGTCACGAAGCATGTTGCGGAGAATATTCCCAGGAGTGAAAACAGAACGTATTCCGATGAGCAGGATCGCGCCGATTCGTCTACGGAGGTTGTGTTGGCATTCCCATTAGCTGAATCAGGTGCTCCAATTGTCGAGAACCAAGATGTCTTTGCATTTTTACCCATGAGGCCGATGGGCTTCAAGGTATGTTAGAACCCACCCCCCATCATGACAGAACTATGACCCATGGGGGCTCTGTACATACCGTCAACTTAAACAATTCTGTCCGGAGACTAATAGCGTTTGACACAGTTCCTCATCCATACCGATTTCGTCACCGAAGCCAGTCGACAAGGCATAGTTACCGGATCACTCCGAAACCTTGGTCTCTTGAACGGCATCGCAGACTGTTTCATCAAAGCCATCCGGGATTTCTGTCAACACCCGATACTCCAATATCAGTGGATGCGCTGGCTCCCCCAACGTAACTCTTATCCTTGGGACAGCTTCTGGTCCGGCCTCCTTGACAGGATCGAAGCACGCATACAAGAAGTCCAAGTACTCCGCACGCTCGGTACTGGAAGGTTGGATTACATTCACAAGCTTTGCCGTCTTCAGCCTTGGTTGCAAGATAAAAACGGTGATCCCCTTTTCACTGATCTTGACGAGGAGATTTATCTTGCGAAGGAGTATACACGTGATGATCAGAAGTTTTTGGAGCCGTACGGGCTGGAAAGCATTTCTCCCTCGGATGCGATCACTCGTGTTGAGATGGACCTTGAAAAGGACATCGAGGATTCAAGGATGAAGAGTTCTGTCACTGACAGCGAATGGCACTCGCTTGCAGCACGTGCACTAATCTTGTTGAAGAACACTGCAACTGCAGGTCCCGCTCAAGACCGCCTCAAGCAACTTCGATTCATCCCCCTCGAGAATGGCACCTGGGTATCGTCAAGCAGCGGGCCACTGTACTATTCGCATGCTTCTGGCAGTCTCGCAATTCCTGACGACCTTGATTTGAGTCTGGTCGATTCGGAAGCAGCCAGTAACCCTGATCGGCGTGCTCTATTTGACAAGTTCGGCGTCATTGAAGCTCTTGTGAAGGATGTACGAGCTTTGATTCTCAAGAAGCCAATCAAGCCGGTCGCAGACGAGACCACACTCGCAGCATCCATCGCACACCTCAAGTTTTTATACCTTTCCGAGGTTTTACTGGAGGAGAACGAGGATCAAGCGAAGTTACGAGGGTATCATGTGTATGACCAGAACATGAGAGCACGGTTACCAACTAAGCATGATGTCTACCTCACAACAGAAGACGAATATGGACCCAGTGAACTGTTCAGGCCTGAAGGAGATGCGCCCGGCTTTCCAGCTCCTTTTCTCCATCAAGGCTACGTCCAGGAAAGGCCAGCTACACCAGCAGGTTACTCAAGGGGATGGAATGATTGGCTCCAGTTACGCCTCCGACTTCGGCATCAACTTCGACTTACCACAAAGGGTTCAGACCGAAAGTTGGAACTGTCATCCGCCTTTCGCTATATAGAGCAGCACCGACCGGAATGTCTTTTGGGCGCGCTCCAGAGAGCCTGGGATGTCGAGAGAACAAAGGTCGTTGAATCTGCTGATATCATGGGAGAGTTGCGTGAAGTCGAGGTCTTGTGCAAAGGAGGGGATGAGTTTACTTTGTCTGAGCCGCTATCGACTACTTACTTGCCTCTGCCCGAGCTTGAAGGGAAGCATTCGCGCTACGCTGAGGATGAAGTTTTTGTGTTTCTGGATTTGGGTGAATCGATCATCCCGAGCACCTATCGTGCGAAATGGGGTTTCTTGGTTGACGATCTTGGGGTCGGGTGTACTGATGACCTCCAGTTCTATCTGACCATTCTGAGAACTATCCGGTACAGTAATGCTGCTGCTGGAGTGCGTCGGAATACCAGAGTGTTAGATCTCTATGAAGTCATTCATGCTCGGTGTCGGGAAGCTGATAGCTTCCTCGACGCGCAGGTGGAAGCAAGGTTCGTTTTCATTTTGTGAGGGACCTGAGTCTACGACTGACTAATGTGTGTATAGGCAAGCGATCAATGACGGAAACCTCATATACATCCCCGCACACGATTTGAGCCCAGCGACATGGACATCAGCCGAGAAATGTTTGTGGAACGCTCGAGAAGACATGCAGACGGCATACCCCCTCGCCCACCTCTACCGAACCGTGTTCCATCGCTCAGAAGAGGATCTCGATGTCTTGCGACAATTCTTCAAGACAGCACTCGGAGTCAGAGATTGTTCGTGGGAAGATTACCTGAGCGAGATACGGAGATTGAAGGACTTGAAGTGTGAGGACTTTGACTGGGTTAATGACCTGTACAGATCCTTGGACTCGGACAGGTTTGGTATGATGGATGTGGATACTACAAAGCTTAAGTATGAAATCTCTATCTTTCTACGCTATCAGCTAACAGATGCATAGGAAAACTTTCGTCGAAGAGCCATTGATCTACTTCAATGTCGGCAACGTAAGCCGCTGGTACACAGTCGGCGAATGCCTATGGTCGAGCGCTACACAAATCCGAGGCAGAGTAGCTCTCAATGACCTTTACCCCGATCTGGAAAATTTCTTCGTCAGTTTCCTCGGCGTACAAGAGCTCACGCTGGACATGGCCTACGACGAACTCAAGGAGATGGGCATCAGAGTGCCGCCACCATCAGTCGCTGCTGTCAAGGAAACCATCTGGGCGCTCAACTCTCTACTCGACACGACAACTGATTCACCGGATGAAGAACCTATTTTTCGAGGATCGGTCTTTCCTGTGAGGTATCCGAATAAGTCAGTGAAGTTGCAGTCTGGCAGGACACAATTCGCTATTGCCGACCGAAAGGCTCTGGGTGATATCTTCGCTCCTCAGGCCAAGATGCTTGACTTTACGCTGGATGAGGTTCGTCGCTTGCGGCCATTTCTTTCATGGCTTGGCCTAGAAAAGCGGTATTTGTCTACTTCTGTGCGGGAGATTTCTACTGTGGCAGATGGACGAATGGACGAGCTGCAATACCCGGACAGGGAGATCAGGCAAAAGGCAGCTGGTCTGTTCAGGTAAGCTGCAGGCGAAGAATTACTGCGGATAACTGCTTAGTACCTCTACAGAATCGCGGTGCATTTTAACAGTCCTCGGACTTCAGAAGACAGCTCGGAGCTTTACTGGACCCTCATGGTTGCAGAGGTCTACGAAACGGATGGCATCTCCTCCGAGCTCCATTTGTCACAGGATGGCCATGGCCTGGTGCATGTACAAGATAGGAGTGAGCTTCACATACGCGAAGATGACAGCGGCCTCAAGATTTACGTACCACGTGATCCCAAAACACAAGGATTCTGTTTCTTTTCGACTCTTCCAAGACGGTTCCTAGAATGGATGATGACAGACCCTGTTACTTTACAAGTCAAGCATGCTGAATCCAAAGCTGTCCAGATCGTGAGTGCAGTCTTGAATGCACCTCTCATCAACATGTTGCAGATTCTAGAGGCGGAGGGTGTTGTCGACGTGGACATCCCTCAAGGCTGGTGTCGCCAAACGACCGAGGAGGCTGGAAATGTCGCTGGAAGAGAGCATGGTGATGTCGAAGAGGAGGATGTGCATGATGCCACTGTGTATCATGAAGCTCAGGAGACAAACGATGAGACTGTCTCTCACGAGGCAGAGGAAGACCCCATTGCTCGATTTCTGGCACAGCCAGAGATTCATGAAGACGACATTTCAAGCGATGAAGACTCTATGCTTCAAACATTCGACAACCTAAGATCTCCTCCGAGACTTTCTGACCTCCCTGTTCGACAGCGAAGTCCAGCGACTTCAAACTCATCCGTCACTGGACGACGACTGTTCACCCCAACTTCGTCCACGGCCGAATACTTCCGCCAAAACAGGCGAACATCATCAAATGTTCATCGGAACACAGGCAGACATGAGTCCTTGCAATCGACGCCAAGATCAGCAAGTCAGCCAGCATTTATCTTTGGCTCTTCCCCTACAGCACAGCCCAGTTCAGCGTTCCTGTTCCAAAGCTTCGGCGAAGCATCACAACATCCTACAATCGAAGACGAAGAAGAATACCTAAGACTAGTCAACAATGTCATTTCTGCGGCAAATACTGCAGCACTGTCTAGCAAAGGTGCTTATGATATGTCGGGTCTCTTTGGTGCATTGCCAGAAGTCGATGAAGAAGAGGTTGAGCTATCGCGGCAATTCCGGTCGCACGGTCTTCCTGAACGAGACATGCGAATTGGAGCTCTGGGCGAACTATTTGTAAGTTGCCACTCCTTATTATTCTGAAATACAATACTTACACGATCACAGGTCTTTGAGCTTCTTCGCAACATGGATCCTCCCCTACCTCGCTTCAGTCGCGACAATTGGCAAAGCCAAATGCGAAAGTTCATCACCATCCATCCCGACTACTCAGACATGCTCCCCTGGACCGCCCAAGAAACCGCCGACATTGTATACTATGACCGAAAGCGGGTATTGACGAATCACCTGGCGGACAAAGGGTACCTTGACAAAACAGCCTGGCAGAACAAAAAGCCATTGTTCTTGATCGAGGTCAAGTCTACAACGGGACATAGCCGAACACCATTCTATATGAGTAAGCGACAGTATCAACGGGTAAGTGTTCACAGCTTTGCTTCTTAGGATTTAAATTGATGGGTTGTGCAGATGCAGGAGAATTCTAATACGACTCTCTCGCCAGCGACGTCGCCTACGATTTATTTGATTGCGAGAGTATCGAATGTTGATAAGACGAATGTGGAGGTGAAGATTTATCTTGATCCTGAGAGGTTGAGACAAGATGGGTCGTTGGTGTTTACGGGGGAGACGTGGTCAATCGTCCCAGGACCTGGATCAACTTGACGATGTTGACTTCCAGGTCATCAATATTTTATCTATCTCAATGAGAATAACATATCATTCAATTTACTTCATGCTAATTAGCACCACCTCGATGCCCTTCCGTGTCCATTTGATTTGAACTTTTCGTTTGCCAACCTTGATGATCTGCCACTGCAAGCATCAAAGCGATCGTGTTCGATGACTATCAACAAACGGGAGGTTCTTCCTGCTTGAGGTACCCAATGAATGGAGAGCGATATATCTGCCACTGCCATATATATGTGATACAAATTCAGGCTTCCACTTGAACGGAAAGGGGAGCACTGGCAACGGTTCCAATGTGATGCATTCCCCCCTTTTCAGCTTCCGAGTCCATTTCGCAGTGGTACTCGAGCATCTCGAGGGCTGCCAGTGAATAACAAATCCATCCTTTATAATCTGAAGTTCAGTCTCGATCTCAATCTTCTTCTTTTTCTTCTTCCCTCCTCACAAGCTTCCGAGCACTTCACATCTCATTCCATCTACTCTTCATCCTTCTTCTATCTTGACAACTATCAACAAACACTACCGCAACCTCATCAACAACCCTACCATACTGAAAACCGAAAGAATCAACAACCTGAAGAGTCTCTTGACTACCTTTACCATGTCTGACCGTCTTTCTATCCTCAAGGGTGACAACCTTGTTCCTACCAACGACATTCAGCCCGAGACATCTAGTCCTTCCACCACTAACCCTCTCGAACTTCAGACAGTCACTCCCCTATCTCTCCCATCTTCCCAGTCTGAAGGTATCAACATGGTTCCCAATTACTCCAACCTACCCTTAGGTCTTCAACCCTCCGTTGTCCCCCCTCGTGAGGATGTCCCTCCTGGACATGTCCGTCTTCTTGGCGGATTCATGTCTCCTGTTGACCCTGCTGAACCCAAGGAGGGCGATGACACTGAGACTAATGTGGATCACTACCCAGGCGGTCCTCTCGAGCCTGAGGATGCCGATGACTTCCCCGGTGAGACCTTTGCGGATGATGGCGAGTCTCCGTATGTCCCTTCTCCCATTGCTCCTCCGCGCCGTATGCTCTATCTTCGCGATAATCGCACTCCTACAGCTTCAGATGGCCCGGCACCTACACCCTTTATGGAGTATAGCACCCTGTATCAGGCTCTCAACTCTACTTTCCCTCAGTATGTTGGCCCTGAGCACCTTCAGCCCATCGATGCTTCAACCCGACTTCGTATGACACCTCATCATGCGATCAACACCCCCAGCCCTGACTTTGTTCAGCCCATTATCCCATATCATCCCAAGCCAATCGTGCCTGGATTCCTCCCTCAGCCTATTGGCCCACCTTCAGCTCAATCTATGGTCTACCACCATCCTGAGTCTGTCGTCCCTCATGGCCAGACTCTTGGTTCCCCCCCTGTCCAGCACATGGTCCCTCACCATGCCGAGCCCATCAACCCGGACTTTGTGCAGTCTCCTACTTCTCATGACCCGCAGACTGTTGGTGTTCATCATCCTCAGCGTATCGGCTCCCTGGGTGAGGTGCTCAGCCCTTCTCCCAAGCAGGTTCCCACCCCAGTTGCCCGTCGTCGATCGACCATTACTTTCAACCCAGCGGCGGCTGCGTTCACCCCCAGTCCCACTAGTGCTGGCATGGCCAACACTGGGGCGAATGAGATTGCACTTAGCCCTACCCCTACCGGTGCTGGAATGGTTCCTTATGAGGCGAGTGAGTTCACTCAGAACCCTGCCGACCTTGGCATGGTCCCCTACGAGGAAGCTGGCGTTGAGGATTCTGGTGCAGATGCTAATGCTCAACCTCCTATGGTTGACGCGGTCCAAGAGACCTACAAGAAGATCCTGGCCATTGAGGATGATCGTGATCGTGAGGATGCGATCAACGAATTTTACTACATGCAGGCTAAGCCCTGGACTGATGAGATGACCCGTCTTGAGAAGGAACAGCAGGAGCTGGAGGAGCGTAAGCGACGATTCGCCCGCAAGTAGGCTTGTGAGTTGCTAGATCTTGAGTTTTGCAGTTTGGAGTTTGTGATATGCATTGGACACAGAGTATCCTAGAATACTTTGGACCAAGTACGACAGAATGTTTGTTTGGATGACTATTGTTAGAGGATTGTTGCTATTGAGAATTTCTTGCTGTGGGCAGATTTCTTGTATAGTAAAGTAGATACCTCGGATAGTCAATTGTTTTAGATTAGACCAATGAATTGAAATCTAAACCTGACGGCTTTGCACACCTTTTGATGGGTTAAGTGAAATGTCAATGTTATGTCAAGAAGTCGGCTTCTTGTGATGTGGATCTCATTGTGACAGAAGCGAAAAGCTCCAATAATCTGAAATGTGATGATAAGTTTTCTATATTGAGGCCGTGTTCTTGCATATCCATACTATTGAGAAAAAGAAAGACACCGTGATCATATGCCGGGCTTCAGGGTAACCTCCGGTCGCCGGACCCGAGAAAGTGGATCATCGGCGCCGAGCCTCCGCGGGCTAGGAAGGAAAGAAAACTCAGGACCTTGATCCTAAATGACAAAAAGGCTTAGGTAAGTTTACATAAATCTAGGATAGGTTTAGGATTTATTTTCCTGAGTCTATTTTAACACCCTGCATTAAGGTCCGGTGTGGTGTTTTCTTGCTCACTGAGGCCGGGGAGGTCATCACCTCGTCATACTGACGCTTCAACAAATCATAATGAATCTCCAAGAATCTCATATTGACGCACCGCAAGAAATCCCAATGAAACATCCCTTATATCAGACAAACTCACATCAGTCTATGACGTAATCTTGATTGGGCTGTATTTAGAGGTACCAGCCGTTAATCGTCACACTCAGATCTGGCGATCGCAAAATCTTAACTTGACGACATTCGAGATGGCTGAAGAAAAGAAAATTCCTGTTACGAACGAGAGCATGGGAAAGCCTCTTTCGGCTAAGAATCAGGTCCTCACTGCTGGTGCTGCTGTGACGCAGGCAAGTTACCTCTCTAGAGTGGTGGAAGAGCTGCAACTCATTCGATGGTAGGAGTTTCGACCTGTGAAGCATATCTGCGCTCATCTCAACGCCTTTCACGCATACGCCGATGATCTCTCTCGCTTTGTTGAAACAAACCACTACTGCGCCCATCTAAGTACGTCCCATGCCATCCTCCCAACTCAATCACTAACGCCAGCAGACGAGGACGTCCGCCAATGTCTCCTCTACGATTCCGACGAGCCCAACGCGCGCCTCATCGGCATCGAATACATGATAACCCCCAAACTCTACGAAACCCTCGACAAAGAAGAGCGCAGACTCTGGCACTCGCACGTCTACGAAGTGAAATCCGGAATGCTCATAATGCCGAACCGCGCGGTGCCCGAGAGCGCATGGCAGGTGGCTGAGAACTACGAGATGGACCAAGTTGTGCAGCTATACGGAAAGGTGTATCATTTGTGGCAGACGGATCGCGGTGATACGCTACCGTTGGGGGAGCCGAAGCTTATGACGAGTTTTACGGCGGATGGACAGTTTGACTTTGAGAAGCATGTGGGGGAGAGGGATCGGAAGTTTGGAACGGATTGGAGGGTTAAGAAGGAGGCGAGGAAGGATATTCCTAGTCCGGTTGTTCATGAGGGTGAGTATGAATGGAGTCGTTGAGGGATTGCACTAACGATTTGTAGATGCGGATCAGGCGTGGAAGAACAATTGAAGCGTATGTGAGAGGTTATAAATGGAGCTGAGTGAAGGCGCGGAGATGGCCACGACATAATGAGTTTACGGAATCCAAGCAAGAAAACATAGCCGGCTGAGCGGTTTGATGTGATCAGAAGGTAGTGGATAGTTAGCGACCATACCGTCTATCATACCGGGTATCATCTATTAATTGAGTGTGACATTATTGTATGCTACGTGCCCCCATGTCTCTGCCCGAAATCTAGTCAGTGCCCCGTCAACATTCGGGAAGTGGGCAGTCTTCAATATCGCACGCGCGGCTTCTTCTGCTTGTGGACATTCTACTTCCCAACCATCACCTTCTGCGGCAACTGCTGAACCCCCTGCATCTGCTGCATAACCCTGGTATCGTGAACCTTGCGATCGATGCCCCGGAACTCGAAAACGCCGTCGAGCTCTCTACGCACAGATAGCAGTTGATCCTGGGCCTTGCGAATCTCGTCCGGCTTGTTATCCTGGACGACATGTGCCTTGACCTGGAGGAACCATCGCTTCTGCTGATCTACGGGCGTGAGAGATTCCCAGGGTGGTAGACTACCCATTGGGATGGTCGCTTGCTGCTTTGATTCCATGGGAGTGTAGTGTTCTAGAGGTTGGAGGAAGTAGTGGCGTGTGAGACAGAACTCGATGTCATCTCTGTAGAAGCGGTAGACTTCCTCGATTGTTTCCGTCTTGAATCTACATTGTGTTAGAGATAGCTGCGCCGTGGAAGGTTGAGTCTTCTTACATGTGATTGTTGTCGCGCATGACTGAAGGCAACTTCTTCTGATCCCAAAGCTCAACCTTCTTCCGCTGTGTAAGCAAAGGCTGTCCACGCGGCGGATCAGGGAAATCCGTCCATCGCAAGATACCCTGCGTCGCATCCAAGTCCATCGGCGACGAATTGGCTCCCATGTCGCGATCTTTGAGTACATCATATCGGGTTTGCAGTATGAAGGATTGCCGTGTCAAGTTCTGATGAAGCTCTTTCCAAAGGAACCCATTGCTATTCCGTATGGGCTTTTCGATAGAGCTCTGATTTGAGATCCCCGTAGGGCGTTGAGGGCCTTGGAAGTAGAGGACGCGCTGAATTGATTGCCATGGGTCCATGTTTGTGAGACCGCCGAGGACTGCGCATGCTGAGGTGAAGTCTTTGTCCTCGATGAGGGCTGTGAGGAAGATCTCGTGCATTTTGGCGGGAGCGGAGCAAAGTTTTTGTCGCCGATTGTTTTGAATATCGCTTTTTTGTTGTCTTCTTAGCTTATGTTGGTATTGCGACGATGATCGTGGTTAGAGCGTTGATGCTTGGGGGAGAAGTTGGCTCATGAAGCTGGTGAGGGGGTATGTCTTTGACTACTTGTCAATTGACGCCAGTTGGTTCGTCAAGTTCAAACTTTCGCTGTGTCGTCTGTTCGAAAGCTTATACTAAGGCTAGTGTATCACTGAGATGATGCCATGTGATGTGTTCAGACGGAATAACTTTGACTGTTGATGAACATTGCATTCAAAATACCCCACCACAGCTTTGAAGCTCAAGCTTGACTTTGTTCGCCGGCACGTGACTTCGCGACCCTTCACGCGTTAGGACCAAATCCAAGCTAATTGCGCGTCTGAATTCAGGGTCCAACCTTTATTCTCAATAAGATCTGATTCATCACCAGACGGATAAAGAGTGCTGAAGTTTCAAAACTGTACAAATTAGGAAAGAGGAAATTTATTTCATATAAATTTGGCTTTATTTACTTAACTTTACGAGTATTTGTTCTGATATTCCGTGTCAACTGCAAGACTGTAGGTTAAGTGCTTGCATTTAGCTGGCTTGGCGTGGCTTTCGTGGTTGGCTGCTGAACCCGACTAACGCCTCGGCATTTCAACGTCGCTCAACAACAACAACGACATATCACAACACCGCCAGATGCAACCGCTTTGGCCAGCGCAAAAATGCCTTCAAGCGACATACCCAAGCGCAAAGCCTCTGATGCTACTGTTTCTCCGCCGCCCCTCAAGCGCAAACTTCAGAGCGGCACAACCAGTGAGTGCGCAATCCCAGAAGCAGCGTTATTTCCATGCCACAGCATGTTATCGTTGGACGGCTAGCTAACATGACCTACCTAGAGACCGCTGTAGCAAACTTCTTTACTCCAGCGTCGCAGAAACCCAAGGATCCTACTGTCTGGTCTGAGCGAAGCCCCAATGACGATACCCCTGCGACTCTCCTGGTCGGCCGATTCGATGGAATCAAGGAAGATAGAACAATAAAGAGGAGGAAGATAGCGGCTTTTGATCTGGACTCGACACTCATCTCCACAGCCTCAGGCAAGAAGCATGCAAGCAGCGGGACAGACTGGAAATGGTGGGACAATTCGGTCCCCGCCAAACTTCGAGAGCTGTATCAAGACGGATATCGAGTCGTCATCTTGTCGAACCAGGCAGGGTTAACACTACACTTCGATCCCAAGTCCAAAGCACCCAAAGCCACTGCGCAGAAACGAGTTTCCGAATTTAAACAGAAATGCAGCGCCGTGCTCAATAGTTTGAACCTCCCGACATGCGTCTACGCGGCGACCGAGCATGATATATATCGAAAACCGAGAACAGGCATGTGGAAGGAGCTCTGCGACGACTACGACATCTCGGAATCCGAGATAGATCTGGGGAATAGTGTATTTGTCGGGGATGCAGGGGGCCGCACCGCAATGTTGGGGAAAGGCCCAGACGGCGTTGCGGCCGCAGCTAAAGACTTTAGCTGTTCGGACAGAAACTTTGCGCACAACGTCGGAATACGATACCAGACGCCGGAGGAGTTCTTTCTCGGCCAGAAGCCTCGGAGTTTCGCTCGTGAATTCGACTTGTCCGAGCATCCCTTTGTCGACGATGCTGAATCGGGGAACTCCGTGGTGACCTTTGACAGGACCAACGACAAGGACATCATCTTATTCTGTGGGCCACCCGGGGCTGGCAAATCCACGTTTTACTGGAAATCCCTCAAGCCTCTGGGGTACGAGCGCATCAACCAGGACCAGCTCAAGACACGCGACAAGTGCGTGCAGGCGGCGAGGGAGCATCTCCAAGCGGGTAAATCCATTGCCATAGGTGCGTTTTTCTCCAAATCCTGCTACCCCAGGACTACCCCATTCCCACACCACCCCCTCACCCAGAGGCGCGCTAACACGGTCCCTTTGCAGATAATACCAATGCCGATCCAGAGACCAGGACTATTTGGGTAGAGCTTGCCAAGAAATTCGGCATCTCTATCCGTTGTGTGTGGTTCAAAACTCCTCTCCAAGTCTGCGAACATAACAATGCTGTGCGGGCGCTAAACACGACATTGAATCCCGAGTCAAGACAGATCTTACCCAAGATGGCGTTTACAGGTTTCGCGAGCAGGTTCAAACCGCCACAGATGAAGGAGGGTTTCCAGGACATCACGGAGGTGCAGTTCCAGTTCCGTGGTTCTCAGGACGAGTACAAGATTTGGGGTCGATACTGGACGTGAGAACAAAACCCATGAAGAGAAGAGAATTTATTCCCCAATTTATTCACCTTGGCATCATGTCATCTCCGCATAACGCAAATTCTTTATCATCAGCAGCTCCAAATCCTCATGGGGTAGTTGAGGTTCAAATCGCCTCCATATGGCTAGCCATATTGGGGAAGGCGAAGCGAAAGACGAGACGAGTTGACATTACAAGCGAGGACAAGTTAAGTTATGGGGTCTGCTCACCGTATTAGACGGGGCTCCTGGGGTATCCAGGGAGTTTATCTGGCAGCCTGGAGGTAGTGGGTATCACTCCAGCCATCTAGAATGCAGCGAATGTCATCCTTACTCGACAGATTACTCGACCAACCCACACGAACGAGTCTGAATAGAGGAATACGCTCCCGGTCAGTGGAGTCTATCGGTCGTAGAAAAAGAACCGGTCCGAAACTTTTACTAAAGGCCACCCAAACGAACAGAGATGATCCTGGGAGAGCCAGGGGTGGCCCGGTCTCTAGCTTTATTTGCTTTAAGCTAAATTTTACACTTTGTTTGTATGCTTAATATTCTGAAGATCTCACTGTGAGATGTTAAAAACCTGCGGGGGAATGCGGAGTGATCGTCTCTGCTTTTTGTCTGTGGGCGCGCGTGGCATGATTGCGGAGAGAGAGATTCTGGACCAGGCCCATTCTTTAAGCAATGTCGCTAAGAGCTTCCAATGCAACGGCAGTTATTCCAACGAACTGTCACTGTCACTCTCACTGTTGTAGTTGAATGAATTCTCTTGGTATCGGGGAACAAGACCTCGCTGCTATTCCCGCCTCCAATTGAAGTTGAATGCCCAGCCGGGACGATTTGCATTGGCAAAACCTTGGCCCTTGGCGAAAAACGTGGTAAACTTGCCGGTAGCGGCTGGGCATCCCACGCGCCCTACTACAGCACAACAAGCCATTGCCGTGATAATTGATGTCAGACTTTCCCTTTTCTGAACGTGAAGGGGGGTCGAGGCACTCGGCGAACAGAAGATGGGTTGCTAGCGTCATTGCTAACAACCCTCCTCCACATTTCCTCTTTTCCCTGTGAGAGGTTTCTCCACGGCCGCTGTAACGTTCTAGTGCCCCAAACGATGGAGACTCCGCTATTGGATGACATTTTCGAGGACGGTTAGTGATCATCATGTTGTTTATTTGAGGGATGGGGAAAGTTTAGTGCTTGGGTTCGGTGTAACGAAGTCCGGAGAGAAGAGCGGGGTGAACCAGATCAAACCTGTAAATCTCGTGGGGAAACGATCATTGCAATTTGTTATAAAAGGATCCCCAGATTCCTCTTGTCTCTCTCCCTTTCCTACACCAGGCACTTTCTGTCCATCTTCTTCTTCTTTCACCCTTATATCTCTTACCAAGGGCAATTTCATCATGGCTGGAGGCGTCAAGAAACCCGTCAACATCTTCAAGCTGAAGGACCTGGGCGAACCATCCGGCGCTTTCAACTGGCGTCTCTGGTTTGCCGTTGTGTCGTTTGCTCTGCTCGGTGCGGCGCGAGGTATTGACGAGGGTCTCATTTCTGGCTCATTCAACAGCAAGGACTTCCAGGAGACTATTCACTATGATTCTTACTCTTCCGTTGAGCAGGCTAATATCAAGGCCAATGTCTCTGCTATGGTTCAAATCGGTTCTGTTGGCGGTGCTCTGATGTAAGTCATCCTCTCCGCTAATGACTGGGAATTTGGTTGCTGACTGGTGTAGTGCTTTCATGATTTGCGATCGTATTGGTCGTATCTGGGCTACTCGTGTTCTTTGCACCCTCTGGGCTGTTGGTATTGTTATCTTCATGATCGGTGGTGTCAACGGAAACCTCGGTGCTATCTATGCTGGTCGCTTCATCTGTGGTCTGGGTGTCGGTCAGACTCCTGTCGTTGGACCTGTCTACATCGCTGAGATTGCCCCCGCTGCTGTTCGAGGTCTCTGCTCTTGCATGTTCACTGTAAGTCTCCTCCCCTTACGTCTCACATATACATCATCTAACAGATCAGGGCGCCGTGTACATCGGTATCGTTCTCGCTTACTTCACAAACTACGGCTGCCATCTCAACCTCCCCGACGACTCTCACAACCAATGGCTCGTCCCCACCAGTCTTCACATCATGATGTCCGGCATCATCTTCATCCTCAGCTTCTTCCAATCCGAGTCCCCCCGATATCTCGTCAAGGAAGGCCGCCCCGACGAAGCCGCCCGTGTGCTTGGCCGTCTCCGACAGCAGCCCGCTGATGGAGAGTACATTGTTCACCAGATCACTGAGATCCAGGCTGCTCTTGACCATGAGCTCGAGGCTACCAAGGGCGTTGGCTTCCTTGGCAAGATTAAGGAGCTCATCTTTGTCCCCAGCAACCTGTACCGTCTCTACATGTCCTCTATGGTTCAGTTCCTCTCCCAGTGGTCCGGCGCTGGTTCCATCACCCTTTATGCCCCCGACCTGTTCAAGATCATGGGCATTGTCGGAAAGCAGGAGGGTCTTCTCGTCACTGCTGTCTTCGGTATCGTCAAGCTCATCGCCGCTGTTATCTGCGCTCTCTTCCTCGTCGATGTCATCGGCCGAAAGCGCGCTCTTCTCATCGGTATCACTCTCCAGACCATTGCCATGATCTACGTCGCTGCTTTCCTCACCAAGATCCCCCAGCTCGGTGTCGTCGAGGACTTTGTTCTCCCCGAGAGTGACAAGGGTGCTTCTCGTGGCGCCATCGCCATGATCTACGTCTCTGGTTTCGGTTGGGCTCTCGGCTGGAACTCTATGCAGTACCTCCTGACTGCCGAATTGTTCCCTCTGCGCATCCGTGCCCTCGCTACATCCTGGGCTATGACCCTCCACTTCGCCAACCAGTACGGAAACTCTCGCGCTGTTCCTAACATGCTTCTGTCTGTTTCCGAGGGCGGCATCTCCCCCAAGGGAACCTTCTGGTGCTTTGCCGCTGTCACCTTCGTGGGTGGTGTCTGGGTCTGGTTCTCAGTTCCTGAGACCAGTGGACGAAGCCTTGAGAACATGGATGAGCTTTTCGCGCTCCCCTGGTATAAGATTGGTCTTCACGGTAACAAGAACGCCGAGGAGCTTGACCAGGCTCGCGATGAGAAGCACCGATATGCTGAGGAGAGCCACGCCACTGGCATTGAGCTCGAGCACCAGCGAAAGCAGGAAGCTTAAATGAATCGGATATGGAATATGAAATGGTTTAGCTGTGTCATAAATGGCACTTATATATAAATAGTTATGAATCATATGAAGCATTTTGAGTAGTATATTACTCATTCTTAAGATCTCGAGCCTTTCTTTGTTGTGACATCACGTGGTTGCACCAACCAACAACATTCATCCCGTCCCATCCACCTCTTTCTTTGTTGGTTTGCTGTTCTTTCGACCACATTTTCTCAACTCATGCAAAATTGAACACTTGAGTTCCCCCATTCGAATGTATTCCAGTCAAGATGTTACTGTCGGATACGCTTCCATGAAAAACTGGTCCGCCGCATCCCATCCAGTCACTCTCATCTCGCTTGCCAGGTTCTGTTATGGGATACTCTTCAATGAGCACCTTTGACACAGCTGCAGCTGTTGCCGCGGCGAAGTTTTGCCATTCTTTATTCTTGTGGCTATCGCAATAGTCACATATACCTTTGACGACGATGCATGGGATTTCATCCCATACACCGGCAGCTTCCATCTCGAACGCGATGAGACCATGGGCTTTCGCAAGCCTATCGCGTTCTTGGGCTGATTTGAGGACCGTGTCTCCAGAACCGATGTGTCCCACGAAAACATACGGGGCTTGAGCATCTTTCTCGCGCCCGCATCGTTGCAACTTCGACTTTTGGTCCAGTCGATCTCGGACCAGGAGCTGCCTCTTGTCGCAGCCTAGTTCGAGACATGAGGTGTTGCGACTGGCTTCGCAAACTTCGGAGCCACTCATACAGATATTGCAGTCCGAGTGATGCTTGTGAAGATATGAGCCACGAAACAGACCATCTCTATCTGGTCCGGGAAATCGATAGTTTGCAGCTCGACGTTGTCCTCCGGCGCGCAGTTGAAGTTCCTCCAAACGCACTGTCGCCTTGTCTTCGAGCTTCTCACGGGCTCTGTCGGTCTCAAACCGAGCGACAAAGTTGCGAATATTTTTCGTCGGTCTTCCTAAGCGATCATCGAGAGTGTCCTTAATCTCAAGCTTATCGGGATATTGCCGACCGAAATCACGCTGCACGACCGCTTTGCTGATAACAACGTCGCCGAGCAGAATCTCTTCGCCCGACGGAGATGTAGGCACACCGCCGCAAACCCCAGTCACCAAAACCAGTTCGAGGTTGGGATAACTGGCACGGAAACTTGCAGTCGCACTTGCAGCGTTGACCTTTCCCATGCCCGAAAGAAGGACAAGAACAACATTGACTTCCCCCATGCGCCCAATTGAGTACGTGTTCGGGTCGCCAACTGACCTACCCAGCTTGGTTTCGTCCCAAAACTCGTCGACAACATGGCTCACAGCATTATACTCAACAGCAAGGGCACAGACAATACCGACATGGAAGTCATCACGGCTTTTGGGTGGAGCGAACATGAGTTCCTATAATTTCCAATTTGCGCGAATATCGAAGACGATGGTTCTATAACTCGGCTGAAGGATTGCTGACCGAGAGGCCTCACGTGGTGACTGCCTACATTAGTAGCCTGGTTCGCCTTGCAGGGCTCTAGACTTGGCCTTGTTCAGCCGCAATCACCCCTCTCGCGAGGCCAATCGCCTCTCCAAGACTCCAACCAAACATCTATTGAATCATCTGCGATGAATGGCCCTACATTTCAGGACCCCGTCTATGGCAGTAATGTCGTGACAGGGATCACAGCGACAGGCAATGCTCATCAAACTTTCAACTTCAATCAACGCGCCGAGCCAAAGCCAAGGGCATTCTATGCCTTGCCTTATGAGAAGAATGAAGATTTTGTTTCACGACCCGATATCACGTCGCGGCTTGAAGAGCTTTTGCCTATGAATTCAGATGAATTTAGAAGCGCAGCACTCTGGGGACTTGGAGGCTCTGGGTAAGCCCAGTAAAACCACCTAGCGTTGTCACAAACGCATTGCTCACACCCAATTGACAGCAAGACACAAGTCGCTCTGGAATACGCATACAATCGATATCGAAAAAGCCCTTGCTCTGTATTCTGGGTCCATGCTGACACCGAAGCGACTTTTTCCCATGATTATAGCTCAATCGCTAAAGTGTTGGGTCTGGAAGGTCAAGGCAGCGGACCAGAGCTTCTGCAGAATGTCCGACACAAGATTGAGTCGCTGGAAAAGTGGCTCTTGGTTCTCGACAATGCAGATGATTTGTCACTTTTTGGTGTAGGCCCAACAGCGAGCAATCGGACTAGCAAATTTATAGATTTTATCCCCAAAGGCCCAAATGGCACTATTCTGTGGACAAGTCGCGATGAAGCTATTGGTGGGAGTCTCGTGGGGACCCGAAGAAGCATTCCGGTTTCGAAGATGACTTTTGAAGAATCCAAGGCATTGCTTGATTCGACAATCTCTCGACCAACAAGTCGAAAAGAGTTCAAAGACATTTGCTCTCTGATGGACGAGCTACAGCATCTGCCACTTGCTATCTCGCAAGCAGGGGCATACATGCGCAGGACAGACACTTCCATCAGCCAGTACCTCGCGGACTTGAAAGAAGAGCAGGCGCGTTGGCGCGTGTTGAAGGAGACCGAGTTCGACAAACATAGATTGCATGGAAATTCCAACAGCATCCTTGAGACTTGGAGCATTTCCATTCGTCGCATCAGGCAAGAAAACGAGATGGCATATGAGATTCTCCATATCCTGGCCTACTTTGATAACCAGAATATACCCCAACCGCTAGTCGAAGCCGCTGCTGAGCATGGGCAGGAGGGAAATGTAGAGGGAACTATGGAGAGTGACAGGAGAAAGGCAGTTCGTCGACTGAAGGACTTCTCGTTCCTGGTAGAGCGTCGCGTCGATGATGGGGATGAACGGAACTTTGAGATGCATAAGCTCGTCCAAGATGCTGCTCGCTATGGCCTTCGTGTTACGGATATGCTGGAAATAGAGGAGAAAGAACCGACCAAAGAATCTCGACGTCTGAGGAAATGGATTAAGAAATGGATGAAATCCCCCAGAAAGAATACCACAAAAACTGCCGACGAAGAAGAGAAGACTCCAACGAAGGGAGAGAAGTATTTCGCTGGTGCTGCGAGCGACATCATGCTAGGGTTGTATCCTGATGAAACAGAGATGGAAAAGGGAACAGGGCTATGGGTGGACTGCGAAAGATACATGGCGCATGCACAACGTGTATGCCACTGGGCGGAGATGTTCAACAAAGAAGACTCTGCGGTATCAATATTATGGCGCTACTGTAGGTATCTTCAGCACTGTGGTAGAGCAGGGGAGAGTGTTGCACCCTTGACTCACCTCCTAGATCTCACCGAGAAAACTTCTGGTGAGCACAGCTACTGGTTCACTTGGGGTCTGTACTCTCTTGCAGTGAGCTTCTCATACCTGGAAGAGTATCCGTCATCAATTGATAGCTGCAATCGGGCGCTGAAGCTGGTTGCAGAGGGCGACGACAACGATAATCTTGAGGTGGCGTGTATGTCCATGCTCTCGGAATGTTATAAGCACCAAAATCGCTTCGATGAAGCAGAGGAGATGGCTCTAGAAGCAATGAAGCGAGGACGAGAGCGTGGCTGTGGGGACGCAGCAGTTTTCGACAGTATACAAGCATTGGCTGAAGTCTACATCGAACAAAAACGATACGATGCAGCCGTGTCCATTCTTGTTCAAGCTGTGGAAGACCACCAACCGCTGGTTGGAAGCTTTTCTCCGCAGATGATACCGGCCTACAACCACCTTGGATCCATATACACTGAACAGGACAAGCTTCTTGATGCTGAAAGAGCTTATAAAAAGGCATTGGAATTCTGCCTTGCAACATACGGCCAAGAGCATATAGATACGATACGGGTCTGCGACAACTTGTCTATGAATTGGGCTAGGCAGGGAAGGTTTGAGGAAGCGCTGCACAAGATTGATGAGACAGGTCGGTTGAGTGAGAAGATGTTTGGGCGGAATCATGAAGTTTGGGAGAAGGTGAAGGATACGAGGGAATGGATTGAGTATGTTAGGGATCACCCAAATATGGTGGCCCCTTGAGATTGAATTGATTCAAATGGTATTGCGGAAAGCAAGAGATGACATTGATGGGTAGCTTTGTTTGCTTGGGACACACTGCAATGGAGCTCTCTCTTGGTGTGGGATTAATCATGTTTACGTTGATGATGGCAGGCATGTTAGGCGCCATTGAATTCTAATTATTCTTTTTACTTAAGCTACTTCTGTTAATCTAAAGTTATCGTAAAGTATTTATCATAGAACAACACCGGGAAATACCATTTCCTGCGAGTGTATGAGCACTTGCGAAGGATCTTGGCTCAGTCTTCCGGTGTATTGGTCCACTTGCTGACAGCAGCATTTACAACATGACCGATTATTCTTCCCAGGTAGTCATAGCCATCGCTCTCTAACGTGTCCATCTTTGGTGAGAGTTGATTGACTGGTACTCAACCCTCTCCACCAACTTCATCAACTCCCAATGAATTCGAGGATGAGTTATGGTGATATATATAGTCTAAACAGAAAAAGCGGTCTGAGATTAAAGGGCCATGGTTCCCTAAAAGCCAGCTAGGATAGGAGTAGGTTGTAAGTCCGGATGCTAATATATAAGGCGCCGATGAGCTAAAGAGATTTTGCGTCCCTGGCGTAGAACTCAATCAGTGACTCTCTGGCGCCTAATACGCTGGATGGAAAAAGCAGAAGCTCGTCTCACCCTGACAAGCGTCAATCATTTGCTCTTTGTGATCGATTTCTTGTTGGGTGGTCATAAATGTAGTATATATTTCTCCCTTGTGCGAGAACACTGTTTGACAAGTCGTGATCTTTGATATTGTGTATCAATCTTTACCTAATGCTCTCTGTCGAGGAGGAAGTCTGGCCCAGTCTGAATTGAGTTTCTGCTAACTTCTTTCACCTGGGGTTTCGCTCTGGTCTTTCTGTAGGAGAAAGTCTGTAACTACCATAGTCTCGATATATGTACTTAGTTGAAACTAAGAATTCTCAAAGTTCATCTGCCGGC